CTTTTTTAAACGGATATGTTTATGTTGTAGCCAAGACTCTTCCCTTTCTGTGGGTATTTGCTCGCGATGAGCGTCTCTTGTGAGCTGGTATGTGGCGTTTCAGCGGGGTTAGCCTTACGGGGGCTGGGGGTCTTAGAGGGCAAGGCCTCGCTGTCTGCCTGTATCTCAAACAGCTCATCTACGTTCACACTGCGCACCCCCTGTAGTCATGGATGCAGAAAGAATGTCTCTGTCATTTTTGTTTCCATTTCCATTGGAGATATAAAGAATAGTAGTTACCTGTGCCAAGTAAATCAATAGTTTGAAATATTAGGAAACTGTGAGCGTAAGAAAACGGTGAGCTTTGCTTTGCATAAAGACTGGACACAGGAGGAAACACCTCGCCTGGATCATTCGATCTCGCCTTTCTTATGTCACTCCCTCACAAATGTCAAACTATTGCATTAACATTCTTTACTTAAAAGCATTAACTGGTGATTCCACACATCTCGCAGCAACAGGAATTTCATTCATTCGGTGCGATTGAAAAAAAATCGTTTTATCTATCTATCCATTATTTCGGCAAATTGCAATGTCATGGGGTCATGATGATTACAATTTCATCTATTTATTTTCCAATGAAAAGCCTCTTTAAAAAGTTCTGTAGAAGACTTCACATCTGTAAAATAGCATGTGTCGCATAACAATATTTATATTTAATAAATGTCTTTACAATATATTGGAGGATATGTTTGCCCTCCCATGGGAGGCAACCAGTGGAGGGCATTTAGCCCAAAAGCTTGGTGAGTTCCATCAAAGTCTGTGATGCATGTCTGCTCAAATCCCTCCTCAGAGAGAATGTCTGACTGCTCCACATTACCAATCTAAAAAATAATTCAAAATCCAGATGGTATTGTGGTTAACAGGCAAGTAAGACTGATATAAGTGAGTCATTGAGCTGGATCCTGCCTCTGGGTTACAGTGTAGGTGTAGCTTTTGCTAAGACATAATGTGTTCCAATGTAATGCATTACAAGATCATGTGTAATATATGATGTGGGTACGGTATTTGGCCTCCAACCGATTCAAGAAGATGCGTTATGAAGTGTGCAAAAGGTTTTGTCTCTGGTTTCTTACTGTAAAAATTGAATTCAGTCCCTATTTATTCTGTTGCTAATTCTAATCCAATGTAGTTTTATCAGAGATGGAGTTCTTTACTTATATATTATTAAATATGGTTTACTTAAATGCATCTGCCCTTCCATCTGTTACATTAGAGTTGCTGCTTGTAGGCTAAATTATTAACACTTGCATATTTAACTTTGATGGAGTTTGAGGCAGGACCGGTTTTATTATGGATATTACCGGGGGCTCGATACTCTGAATGAATTTGTACAGACTTTTTTCTTTAAGAACTTTTTCTGGATTGCTCAAATCAGTCTGCCTTAGAGGAGGGATATACCTCTCAAACATGATTATATGATTCCCTTTGTTGTCAAATATAACATGTCTGTTGATGAATGTCTTACCTTTTTCACATTCTCAAGAAAAGGTTCGTAATGTATGGTTTTCGCCTCCCTTTAGGTTCTGCCATAATATTTTTATTTACACAAATCAGAGCAATACAAGCCAGTGGGTGAAGGACTAATGTCCTTTCGTTTCGTTCGTAGAAATATATTCATTCCACTTCTATTATGTATTTTGAATATCGCTGTCTGTAGTTGTCCAAAGTTGTTTGTGCAATTTCCGGGACACATTTGAATAAGCAAGGGATGAATTCATCTCTGCACTTACAAATAGAAGAAAGAAAAGATGCGGTAGAAGCCTTTTTATTTGGGAAATACTGCCAAGAGTATTCCCCCTGATTTTGTATAACTATTTCACCGGTTATGGGCTTAACAAATGTTATTGTTTGTGTGCAGGTTACTGTGAGGTGAGTTAAAGTGTTTTGCATTCGGTGTGTGCATGTGCTCTGCTTTGAGGCAGCCATAAACCGCAGTGATACTTGAGTTGCTTGGAGCAAAAGTCATTATTGGACAGTAATTATTTGCGGTGTAATTGTTTGTGTTCATGATGTGTGTAATTTATTGATTGAGAATTGCATTGAATTGTCTGGGATGTCAGGTGGCGACATCATTACACACGTAAACATTAACGTTAAAACAACATTAAGCCTCATGGGCTTTGAAACGAATCGTCAGGTTCTTGTTGTCTGGGGGTATCACAGTGGACCTTTGTATTTACAGCAACAAAATGACCTCATTTCCCATCTCTTGGCTCTCACAACGGGATGCAAAATGAATAGAACCACAATGTTTAGTTGTGGTCGGTTAAAAACCTGGTGTTGTACGATATCTTATTTGCTTCAAACCCACATGAGGTCTTTTTGTCACATGAGAAGAAGCTATAATGTCTAGTTTCGGTTTAACTATGACTTGTAATTTATGAGAGGACGATGCGTTAGCACAAAGGGAAGCAAGCGTGAGTAATAATAATACATTTACAAAAAATGATAAACGCCTTCCTGAATGAGGACTCTCCTCAGGATCCTGGCAGCGCTGTTTAGGATGTATTGTAGTTTCTGGATATTCTTGCCAGTGATCCCAGTGAAGAGGGAATTCCAGCAGTCCAGTCTTGAAGAGATGAAGGCGTGGACGAGCTTCTCTGCCTCTGACAGGGTCAAAGTGGGCCGCGGTCTGGATTGGCATCTTCCCAGTCAGACATATTCAGCTCTGCCAGAAAAGATAGAACTGAAACCACTCGAGAGCAGAGTCTTGATAGTCCGATGGTGGTGTGGAGGCGCTCTAGCAGGATAGTGCGACCCGCTGTGTCAAATGCAGCAGTCGGGTCCAGGCGGATGAGGAGTGAGCGTGATCCGGCGTCAGCGGGTCATTTCGTCACACTGAGCAAAGCTGTTTCCGTGCTGTGAGCTCAACGGAACCCTGACGGAAAGTTTTCAAACAAGTTGTTGTGCTTGAGGTGGTCCTGGAGTTGAGAAGCCTCCACCTTCTCTAGCACCTTGGACAGGAAGGTCTGTCGTTGGCGAGAACTGCCGGGTCCAGGTGGGCTTCTTGAGGAGGGGACGGGGGACAGCAACCTTAACAGCAGGTGGGACACAGCTGGGAAATAGCTATGAAAGCCTTATAAATCACACAGGCACAAACAAGAGGAGCTGCAAGCAAACGTGCGCCAGCCTACCCAAAATGCAACCTGCCAACCTCTCGCTGTCAATCAATCTCTCTCTGTCAATAAGTACATTATCCATTATTGTCTTTAGTACAGTACACAGGTTGGTCTGCAGTATTTGTGATCATGTTCATGCGTTAACAAAAGGAATAATAACCACTGGAAAACTATGTACACTTACAAAAAATCTGTGTGGATGATCTAGAATTGAATTATTTTTTTACATGGTTCATAATTTGCTTAGATTCAACAAACTTTTTTCAATATCATTCTCCATTACCTTTAATTCTTGCATGCCTCCAAGGTGAACACGGTGTGAATAATTAATATCTATATACTGTATGTATTAAACTATCAGCAGTATATGTCAAACATACATTACTTAAATAAGCAGAGATGGTGTGTCAATGTGTTTCAAAATAGATCCACATAATTATACGCTGTCCTGTACGTCACTAATGCTATAAATACAGAGAATATTCAAGAAAAAAATGAAAATGTCCATGCTCAGCAAATATGTCCCCAGGCTTTGTATTTTACATCTATTTCTACAAGATTGATTGAGTACCTGACACATTTTTCTTTCAAATGAGTGTAGAGAAATGTTATCATGGCAGTTGGCATCTCGCGCCCCTTGTAGGGAACCTCACTCACACAGATACAGTTGGAACCACTTATCATGCTGGTAAATTAAAACAATGATGGAGCTCATGTACAGACACATTACAATACATGAATCATATGTGCATTTATATCGCAATATTAGGACGATTGTTGGCATAAAATGTACGTGATGTAGTTGCACCATTCCAAATATAACACATTTGACCGTATAACACATCTATGCACATAAATGTAGCCTCTGTGATACATACAAATATTTCTAACACATTCATTTCTCATCTATCATAACTATTTAATGGATTTATCAGGTCATTAAGAAAAGAACGTATGTAAGCAACTCAGACAATAATTTTTTAATTTGTCACTCAACTTTTTTCATTGAGGACAAGATATATTTGTGTTTATGTTTTCATTATTTATGTTATTTATTTATGTTATGTAATGTATTCATTTATTTTGACAGAGCAGAGCAGAAAAAAAAAATATCAAATCAGGAGAGAGTCTAATTAAAATCCCCCCCGGCTGTGTTGATGTTCTTATTGTTGCTTGGAATCTAACACAGGTCTCGCACATTCACTCCGTCTTCTCCAACCATACAAGCTCCAATGTAGCAACAGCCACTGCAAACCCTGCAAGGGAAGCGTGTCCTGTACGTAAAGAAAAGACAGAGTCAGTCAGTCTGTCGGCGGTTGTCCTTTATTCAAACAGATTAAATAACTATTTATTTTTTACCGTACCACGATCTGACTGCTTTGATTACCGAGCTTAATTAATGTCATTTTGATCAAAGCTGTAATTTCCTTTGCCAGCTTTTGTTCAGAATATGAAGAGGCTTCAAGCGAAACACCTTGACACCTAATGTATGTTTCTGAGCGGCAGAGAGAGAAAGAGCGAAAGATTAAGTTTCCTGCGATCAGAAACTGAATGATGCTATTACTGAGTTAATTTCTCTCACTTTCTTTCCTCTGCCTGCTTCTGCCTTTTGCCTTTTGGACTCTGTGTGTTCCTCCAGCTTTCTGCCTGTACCACTTTATCATTTACTTTGCCTTTGTAACTTTCTTTTACACTCAACTCTTCTCTCTCTCAGCGTTGCGAGGGAGAAGAATCTGCCTTTTTGAAATTCCTTTGCTTGCTCTCTTTTTTTTTTTCTCCACTTTATCCAATCTGTTGTCTGATATTTGTCTCTTTTCTGTATTCTGTTCTCCTCCGCAGTGAAGCGATCTGTAGATTTTAAATCGCGAGGCGTTAAATTATTCCCTGGCAAAGACTCCAGCAACAAGTTTTCAATATGTGAGTTCACAACCACTACGACTAACGCACTAATGCACTAATGCCTGGTTTGGCCATGACTGGTTTTGCTTTTTAATTCAATTTTTTTATTCACTGTCTTCTAATGACTGTTAGTTTCAACACGTTTTTGCCTCAGATTTTGACCAACAGCGAATCATTTTCTATGTGAACATTGATTCACCCCAAAAATAAACAATCTTAAATCTGTAACTGACATTATTTCCCACACAAATGTGTTGAAATTGCGCAGCCTTTAAGAGATGTGCTTTCGCCTTCTGCCTTTCTGATGTGCTTGTTGTGTTAATGTTTTGTAGATGCATTTTTGTCTGTTTCTTCATGGCTTGCTTTGATATATTCAGTCATGTCTTGATCACGGCCTGCTCGTCCCGGCTTGGGGCTCAGTAATTCAGCTGTGGTCTTATTGTTTCTCGCCCTTGTCCCTCCTGGTCTCCTTCATTTTCCTCACCCGTATTTAATGGGTCTTTCTCACACATCAAATTGATTACTGTGCAACTTTCATACACGGGTTATCAAAGCAATTATTACATCTAAAACGACATTCCTTTGCCGTGACGCTAATGGTAAAATAATAAAAGAGAAACTAATGTAATATTATTCAAATCTATATGCCGGTTTTGGAGTTAACCCTCTTACTCCTGCCAGGGAATTAAAGTACAGTTGTGCATGTATTATCTTAAGCTGTCTACTCAATGCTTAAATCCCGCGCTTCACCCTTAACGAGTACAAAAAGTTACCCGTCAATTTACGACTTTCTGAAATCCCACTTTTGAAACTAACTATTTAATAAGACAGCCTGAAGTAAAATGATCCCGTGTAAAGGTCCTAATGGTTCATAAGTAATTTGACGCGTTGTATTGTAACAGTGGTCACATGAGTTTTATTACATTTTGTTCAAAACTCAACATCAAGAGAACATGCATAAAAAGTCAGTGTCCACATTAACCTCAGAGATTTTGTTATTTTATATTTCATTCTCTCCTTGTTTCAAACACATAGCAACACACACATACAAGCACATAAACTAAACAGTGACCGTTTTTCTTTTTTAGTATCATTCTAAGCAACACATTTTTGACATCTGCACAGTATATTTGCAAAGGGACACATAGACATTTGCATCAATGCAAGGACGTACTCTAATATGTGCCAAAACACAACAATGTCCACACACGGAAAGATGAGAGAACCTTGCTTGTCCATGTTGTTAATTGGTTTCCATGCTTGCCAATTATGATCATTTTGTTCTTTTATTCCTGAATTAATCTGCTTGTTTTCCCGATTTGTGTTTATGTGTGCATTAACACTGCATGAGTGGAGCTACGCACAGCACACAGACACACAACCCAGATTCATCCGGTTTCCTGACAGTATGAGGAGTCATGGTTGAGGTTGGATTTTACAGCTGTGAGCTTCTATGTTAATTAGTCTGGCTCTGATTGGCTCAGATGTTAATTTGCTCTGCTCTGACTGGCTTAACTCTCCAGCGAAGCAACAGGCCTGTGTGTCAGTCCGTGCTTATGTGCGTGGTCTTGTTTTTGTACATGTTTTTTTGTATACGCGCATGTGTGTAAGTGTCGTAGGTTTTTGTGTGGGTGTGTGTGCGTGCACACACACTCTGGTACAGTAACCAGTCCCTCTGTTAATGTGTTAATAGTCCAGATGGTCAAATTAGCCGCTCCAGCAAAGCAACAAACTGTCTACTTATACACACACACACACACACACACACACTAGCCACCTGCTGGGTTTGTTGACAAGCACTAAACATGTACATGCATGTTAGTCACTTAGGTTGGGTGGAAGCACAAATGGGCACTATTGTTATCGCTGTGTGTTTGTTATACCTAGTTTAGTCGTTTCCCACCCGTGCTTTTGGATTAGGATTATATAACACAACACAGGGGGGGGAAATAAATAAAATACAACAGCTCATCAAAATGAGCATTTTGAACACAGATCAAAAAAATAAACACAGTGGGGGTAAAGATTAGATGTTCACCCTCAGTGCTTTGAACTCGTATACACCAAAATACATGATTAGTTGTGTCTCCCTGTCATTTATATATCCCTCCCTGCATTTGAATATCAAAGTACAACACGGGGGGGGTTTGTTTACTACATGGCTTAAGTAAATAAGAACACAAAGACAGTTCTTCCCCCCTAGTAAAATTGCACTGACACAAGACATTATGAAGGGATGAACGGCAGAAAAAAACACATAGAACTACTCGGTGGCCTAATTTTGCTTTCATTTGTGAGAATTAAAGATGAGGAGGACTCAAGGATTATTAAAATAATTTGCTCTTCACCGTGATCTCATTAAGAAAAACGGGGGATCCTGTCACGTGGGCCATTAAAGTGAAGTAAAAATAGGTCACCAGTGAACTCTGGCTCATTAAGATGCTCTATTGCTAATAATTTAATTGTCAGCCAAACTACTAGAGATAGCTTTGTGTTACCTCATGCTCCCCTATTGGCATCTGAATAAAGACAAAAGGAGCATTATGTGTTTTGATTTTGGAAAAGTTTTGAAATAGAAACCCTTTCAATTGAAATATGTATCTTTTGTCATTTGCATTCTTTAACTTGTAAATGCTCAAGGGAAATATAGATTGTTTAAGGTTTGTGGGAATAAAACTGAAGTGTACCTTTAAAAAAAAAAAGCCAATGAATTACAGCCGAAGTTAGTCATGAGCCAAAGGAGGAAAGGGAGGCCGGGTGACAGGAAAAGATTAAGAAAACAAGTAAGCAAGCAAAGGAATGAAAGCCACAGACACACTGTCAGCAGCAGTACTGTAATTGGACAAAGAGACAGAGTGGAGACACGCGGCCTCGGAAGCATGCGCGTTGTGATGTCGCGGCATTTGTGTCGTTTTGTCTGTTTGGTGTCTGGATGTTACTGTCGAGATTAGCCCCTGTGTTTCTGTGAGAATCTAGATTGTGTCTAGAAGTGTTGTGCGGCCGCTGCCCCTCTGCCTACCTTACCCCTCGCCTTTCTAACGTGTTTCCCCTCCCGCCTGCTCCCCCCTTGAGCGAACAAGAGACGAGGAAAGCAGCTTTGTTAAACTGGAAACTTAAAGGGGAGGGCTGGATATTTCCCCGTGGCGCCTCACGCTTGCGTTACTTTAATCCTTGGTGCCTCGTCGCCACCTTGTTCTAACCGTCCCTGGCTCTCCACCTGTCTTTCTCCCTGTGTAGTAAATGAAGGTGGAGTGAAACAGGCATCAAACTCCTGCCCTGACCCAGGAGAGCCGGAGAATGGAAAACGCCATGGCAGCGATTTCAGGTACGATTTGTATGCACAAAGTTACACAAGGGGACTTTAAAGGACATTGTTGTATTATGACAGGGCTACACAGCCGTGCACGTCGGCACGGTGTTTGCTTTAACACCTTGTTTTTGTCCCTGTATTTCCGTCTTCTGACTCTGTGCCTTCTGTCCGTGTGTGATTACGTGTGTTCAGCATTGAAAGTGTGGTACAGTTCAGTTGCGGAGAAGACTACGTCCTTCAGGGCAGTAAGACCATCAGCTGCCAGAGAGTGGCAGAAGTCTTCGCAGCCTGGAGTGACCACAGACCTGTCTGTAAAGGTAAGAAACCGCTCTCGAAGCGCTTCTGCACCAGCATGCAAGCCACTGACTCCGCCGGGGCAAGCGCATAGACGGACAGCTGGGGAGAGAAGCAGGGAGCACACTGAGAAGGTAAGAAAAGGAACTACTGCCACTAAATGTTGCAGTGTTGCCCTGGCCTCTCCTCGCAGAAAGAATCACAAATCGGTTTCAAGCCTTTGGTTATAAAAATCCCAAAACAAAACAGTGCATGCTCGTCTGTAGGTTCACCCTCACCAAGGCGCTGCAGTCGTGAGCTCACACCGGGACACTTATAATGTCGGTAGTTGATTGCACACTCCATCATAAACACAAGATACTGTAGCTAAACACAAGGTCTTACCACAAGCAATTCACCTCACAGCATCGAAAGTCACACAGTTTTTGTAATATTTGCATAGTGCACATCGCACAGCAAAGAAAGGGAATATGGATATAAAGGCGTAATGGGGACTCACGGGCATTTGTCGTCTTTTTACTAAGTGCTCTGATAATTAAGACGTCTCAGATTCCCGTAGTGGTTTTATGTGAGCCACTGTTTTAGTGTCAGGCATGCAACACACACGCTCATATGCACGCGCTCGCATGTCCAGGGGGAGTGAGACGGAGTGAGAGAGGGGGTCTGTCATGTTAAATACCAAAGTCGTTTGTCATGTCTCCCTTCACCGGGCTTCAGACTGCGGCTGGAGACACATATTTCAACATAAAAAACAATATTCACTGGGTGTGTAGGTGAGAGAGAGAGAGAGAGAGAGGACAAGCTGAAAAATGTCACACCTACTCTTTCTGCTTCAATTATACCCTCTGTGAAAGTGCAACTCGGTGTATCCATCACAAGACATTTGCATACGAAAGCCAGCTGAACTTTGCCTTAACTGATGGCAGATTTAGAACCTAACTTCTAACATCTAGGAGGAAATATGAAATTGATTCATTAGGAACATGCAATTATTTGATCTAACTCTTGGAGGAACCTCCGGAAAACACTAATTACAGACGGACATGAATAACATTCTGTGATATATTAGTTATTACTTAGTAGAAGCTACACCATGATTATTTTTCTTCCCTAATAATTACTCTGTAAAGATCTAACTCAACTAATTGAAAAGGATTGTGTGACACATGTATGTCATAGTGACCCTTTGTCATGTAAGTAATTGACTTAAATGCATGATCGTGTGGGGGAAGGGAAATCATTGAAACGACTAAAAGACTGTAAGAACCGTTAAGAGACTCAAACAATACTCTGCACCATGAGTTTAAGTCAATTTCTTACTCATTCATGACTGTTAAACATCACATGTCAAGTTGCGTATAGTAGAAAAGCAGACATATTAGGTCATACAAGAGGACTGCACTTCTATTTGGTCTAAATCCAGAGGTCTTCAACGTTTTTCAAGCCAAGGTCCCCCAAACTGATGGCGAGGTGGAGCAGGGACCCCCTATTCTACGGAGTTTGGTCCGCCATCTTTTATTTTTGAGCTTCACGCTCTTTAGACGTGAGCATAAACGCGATCTGATTGGCTGGTGCCGGCGCTGTCGTATCAGCATGAAAGCCCAGCTTGAGAGCTGCTGAGGGAAGCTGAATGTGTGTGTTGCGCACTGACAGATAACATCTTCTCCATCAATTTATCTGTTCGCTTCAATATGTTGGATTCATGTTAATTTGTATTTAAAGACCATAAATAAAATTCTGATTCTGATTCGGAAGAATGGGGGGGGAAAAATTGTTTAAGGGACCCCCCTGTTGAAGACCTCTGGTCTAAACTTCCACACAAGTTTCTTTTTTTGCGCCACCCTGCTCTGTTGGAATGTTTTTTTTTTCCAGCCAACATGATTACATTGACAAATTGCTTGAGCCGTACTTTGTACCAAAACTTCTCCTCTATCAGCCCCGCGCCAGAAGACCAAAGTGCAAAGTCAGCGACGGAGTCCATCGGGGGATTATATCTTGCTCAGGGACACCTGAGCGGGGGGGGGGCGACCCTCTTGCACTCTGGCTGTAGGGCCGAGTGTAACCACCGTCCTTGCCTGCTGCGCTGGGTTTCGTTTAGGACACACAGGAGGGCTGACCTTCATTTAGCCTTTTGTTAGTGTGACTGCACGGATCCTTGTAAGCGGGGCAGGTTATAACCTGGCCTGCATGCAGAGCAGGACCATCTCGTTTGGGCTATTCTTGGTTCCTGCCAATCAACACCACATTACCCAACTTATTATCAGGGATATTATAGTGATGGCATCCGTTGATTGGCTCTTTAAGATTGTTATTGGCTGTTAGGGATTCATCATCACTAAATACGTTATAATTACCAATTAAATACAGCTACTGACATTAAGCCAATCGAGTGGCCCATTTGCCCGCATGCACGGATGGACTAAGCTTCCCCAAAGGGAAGCTGCCAGTGACATTTAAAGTCACTGATATTGTCCCCTATGAATGGTTAAAATGGATGACCTCTCTGACTGGGAAATAGAGCTATCAATCCTCAGGCAGAAGGAAAAGCAAAGGTCTGTGGGCTGACTGAGTCACTTTCATCAGAATACGACAGTAAACTCTCTTTGGGAAGGTAAAAACTTGTCGCTGGTATTCGTCCCCTGAACAAACTACTGTTAAGTGTGAAACCCTTTGACTAAGCTATGTCAAAGTGCACCATGGTTGTTGCTAAGTAACCAACAACTATTTTTGTTATCTTAGGAACCTTACTGCAGCATCCCTCCTTAAAACAAGCTGCACAGCTCAGTATGCTCTGCAATTCTGAACGGCAAACCATAGGAACTAACCATTCATGATCGGCATTGTTCAAAGTTCATTACGTGTTCTTTGACAAATCCACCCATAACCGCGATTGTTGAAAACATATCCACAATTCATGCTTCTTTTAGTGCTTGAGTGGAATACATTTTTATTGTATTTTTCTGCAACGGTAAAAGTGCCATTGTTATGCAGGATACATCTGTCCTACTTTGGTGAAACAGAAAGACATCCATCTTCAAAATTCTCATGAATCCACGGATAACCACATTGAGGTTGCCTGAAGGACAAGATACACTGGAATCATGTCTTCCAGATAACAAAGCTAAACCGGCTTTATCTGAGCTGTATGCCAATATTTCTCAAAGGAGCAAGAAATACTTTTTTGCAGCTGTAAACATTCCAAGTATACAGGTTTGAAATAGTCTTTGTTGGAATCGTGGCCTCGCTGGAAAGCATAAGTAATAATACAGAGAATAGTCCACCACGTTTAAAGCCCCTTTCACAGACAAAACGTTTCCCACTTTGCGGCACAAATACAATGTTAAAATAGAATGAAGAACAAAAGAGAGTGACAGTAAGATGTCCAATCAAGACGTCTAGGGGTCGAGGTCTGACACATCAGCACCTGTGGACTTATCTGCACTTAATGGGTGCAACAAAAAACTATTTTGACGTTGTTCAACAGGTTAAATAGTGTGTGTGAGCAGAGCAGCCATAGTTGTATTTCTTTACATGTTCAATTGATCCTCAATGAGAAAACATTAAGTTCTCCACACACTGTCCTTACACAGTGGTACTCCTACTTTGTTTCATCCTGTTGAACCAATAAAGAACGAGCAAACGGCTTTGTCTAACTTGTCTAACTGCTCATATTTGACCTTTACATGCAGGCCAGCCAATAGCTGGTGGAAACTCATGAATAATATTGAAAGCGGTGCAATCTGTCAGGAAGCATCAAGCCAGTTGAGTTATTGAAGGATCACCTCTGCCAAAACACTAAATACAGCTAAATGTGTTGTTTGCAACTAAAGTAAAGTGAAAGGGCACATTTCTCGTAAATGTGCCCTTTATTTCACAACAGTCAACCAATAGAGCGAGATAGATGTGAATTAAGGGAGAGAAATGGAATGGTAATCACTATTAACTTCAATAAAACAATTACAAAACTAAATACAAATAAACTATAAACTGTAAAAAAGCCATAAAATTCCAATGTCCTTCTGTGTAGTCCCCTAACTCTTTATGAGAGAGAGACAGAGCGAGAGAGTCCATGTGGCACCTTGATTAATGGACAGATGGCAAGGCCACCAAGCCAACTGTCTCTCTGTCTATCTGAGTGTGTGAACTCCAGGGGAGCTCACATGATCCGCCTGACTACTGACTCAACCCACTCACATGCACACATGTTGACTTTAAACGGGAGAAAAAACATACGAAAGAAACCTGTGTACAAGCATTGTACAGCAACTGGACGACCGCCTGTGTGTGCGTGCACCCATTAACGCTCTCGCAAAGAGCAGGGGCCATCGAAACGTTGCGTGCCAGCTTAATGATGTCATCAATCATTCTCTGTGTCCATTGGTCGGCCTGTCTGCTCCCGTAGTCAGCCTGCTCAAACAGCCGTTTCGCCCTTCCCGCTCAAGCTCCTGAGCTCATCTGTGAATCAACACAGTAACACTCAGTGAGAACAAATTAACTCTTTTTTATTTACCAAATAAAAAAAAACAAAAAACAGCTTTTCAAGTGTATTTTTCTCCAAACCAAATGATAGACAATTGTTGGTGCGATACAAAGCCAAAAACAAGCCAGACAAAGAGTGCTCATATTCAAAAATGAACAGGAAAGACTCCTTTTTATTGACACCAAAAGAGAAAATGCCCCATTGAATGCTTTGTCTAAATCTGCTGGTTACACATCATCCCTGTCAAAGTCACTTCAATGAGAAATTTACTCTTCGAGTCAGATCCTTTAATAATGAATGTAATTTAATCATAAAGTCCTTTTGATAAAGACATTCTAATAATTCCTAAGGAAGTTAACCATTTGAAAAAATTACTGTATGAGTCAATGTTATTTTATTTTTGATTTACCTCCCAATTTTATTATCCTCTCTGCTTGGGGTGCAGAGTCAGGCGGATAATTTGGAACCGGTAGGGGTTACGCGTCCGAGTATGCTTCACCGGGTATGCTTCACCGCGTATGTCTGTATGCACGACTGGACCTGATCCCTTCACTTACTAACCGAAACGAAGGCAATCCTGCCGAGAAAACGGGAGTTCTAGACCTTGAGTATAATGCGCAGATCAGAGGCAACACAAAAACCCGGCAACCTTGCCGATGCATTTGGTACAATTATGCTCTAAAGGGCGTAAAACAAATCTTTGGAGAACTGTGAGGCTGGAAATTTGAGCTAGATTTTCCAGTTTGCCAAAAACATAATTTAATTATGATGCACATCCCACGGGTTTGTATGAGTGTGCATGTTTATGTGTATTTGAGTGAGAGAGGAAGAGAGAGTCAAGTTGATCTGAATATACAACTTTAAAAGAGCATATGATGGTAGACACACAAACACACACTGGTTCTGGCCTAAAGCATTTAGTTAATCTCCCTTGTGATTCCAACAATACGCTTTTTGTAACAGATAAACCTCATCAGAATTTTTAATTTACTCCAGAATTCATTATGTCTTCAATGATAGTGCTGCCTTTTTGGCTTCCAGCCCTCAATACTGAGCGGCAGTGTATAAATAATAGAGTGGAATGGAAAGAGATGCAAAAAGACAGACAGGGAGGCTGTTAGGAATCTATTAGTCTCTAAAAATCTATCTATTTGGAAATTTAGTCCCTTTTTTCCGTTTTTCACTAACTAAAGATCAAATGTATGTGTAGTGTAAAAGGTGTCCAAACGAGAATTAACACCCAACTGTTCACCTCTATAAGGATTTTTAGCAACCTTTCTTAATTTATTTTGAGCATTCCATTGTTGGTAAGCTAATCTCTTCCTAGAGAAAATACATTTTTTTCCGAAGCCCTGATATTTAAGCGACTTGCTAATAAACACAGCAGAGTGTTGAGCAGCTGAAGGAACGGATGTGTTCCTTCCTTTGGAAACCAAAAGGAAGAAACTTCTATGCAACAGGTCGTCAGATGAAAAACGCCAAATGAATGCTGGAAGTGTTAATAAGCAATAGTTTGCTACTATAGTTGAGCGCAGCAACTTTGTAACTCAATGCAGATTTAAGGAAAAAAAACAAACGTATTTTAGTATCAACACAAGAAGAATTGCACTTCACCAGGCTGTCTCTAATTAGTGTAAACCGCATTACGGGACAGGAAGAAGAATGGAGTGAAAGATAACTAGACGGACAGGTAGAGCCCATGATAGAGTGCCCTGTAAATCACGGACAGACACTGGCCGAGACAGCGAGAAGAAGCAGTGCACGGAGACACGCAGACAGACCGAGGGACTCCGAGGAACGGCCCGAGTTTCACATATTTTATGGGATGCAAGCACCTCTGGTAATTCTGGTGATAACTCTCTCCAAGCTATCGCTATAGCAACCTCATTCCCAATCTGCTGTTGGCACGGTGATGGGAAGGCCATTCGTTCAGGACACACTGATTGAGCTGTCAACGCACATGCATGCATACTCTGTTAGAAAGACACACACGCACACGCTTTGAGACATGTAGATAAGTCGTTTTTCACCGGTAACTCAAACACACACACACACTTCATCTCTGTGTATCTATCACTTTATAAATTGCTGTGAGCTGAACACGGGAGAAGGTCGACTGCAGATACGTTCAGAATTAGGGAAACAAGCGTCAACAGGGTTCAGTCGGGAACACAGAGACGTAGACAGAGAGACAGACGAGAGCGATACGCTGTCGTCTCCAGGGGGTCTTGTACATGTCTCTTACAGCACCACAAGGACACACCCCATTACACACCCAGAGAACACACACATACGCGGCGGTATGATTGTTTGACCTGGACCTCGCCTGCCTTCCAGCTACTCCGTCACAGACGTGTGTTTGTGTGGGTGCTGGAGAGGCTTCTGTGTGTACTGTGTCTGCATGGTGAGTATGTTGGTGATTATGTGTGAACGCATGTCAAAAATGTTCTCTCATACGTAAGTGTGCTGCGAAACGAAGAACTTTGTGCGCTTCAGAGATGATTATTTCGGTGTTTCTCGGTGGCGGCACGTAGCAACCGCATGCGCACACGTCCGTGTTTGTAACATGTGTAATCGAAGGAGCATTTCCCGCTCATGTGCTTTTTGTGTGTGCGTGCGAGCCGCTGGTAGCTGCACGCCTACCGATGAACAAACTAATTAAGGAACAAACACTGCTTCAAACCAACCAGAAAATTACCTCCCTTCTCTAACAGGACGACCCAAGGACAGACACGCAGGTTCTCTATCACATCCAGTCAGAACAAACAGCCTAATAAAGGCTTGGTTGGTTTATTGAACCACCAGCTTGTGTCACTTGTGTAGCTTCACAGTGTTTGTGACGCTTCATATACGTTCGTCATGCGCTTCTCTGTCGACTCAAGCTACACAATGCACTTTAACACACAGGCCGACCACATTTATCTATTGTTCCATCCCGGGGTGATGGTCTAATTTAAGATGCGCCATTTATTTGTTTTTTAAGAACAAGTATAATTGTTATCCAGCTAGTCGTTGGAAGATGTTGACTTCTCAATATATTTTCACAGTAAATTGCTTGTGCCTTTCAGTCAACACCAGCTAATACTGTGGTATTTCACAGCCAATAGCTTCCAATTAAGTACTTCTATTGAGGGAGATGTTGCTGACAGTATCAATAACATCTTTCTGACCCGCTGTTTCTCTTTTCGTTCTGGTTTGCATCTTGCTCTCTTCTCTCGCTGTCACCAGGTTCTTAGCGCTGCAGTCCTGTCACTTTTAATTGTTTTCCGTACACTGCATCTTTGATCCGCCAACTCTTCTATATTTTTCTGTTGTATTTGTTCTGAAACTCTGTGGCTAAGCGCATACCTAATGACTCCATTATAAAGGTAATTGCCTCTCTTTAGTGGCGCTGTGACTCACCAGACTCAACACTGATGTGACTCAAGTGTTGCAAATACTACAAATTCTGCCAAAAACAGTCATTTTTGTTTGTTCTTTCACAGTGAAGACATGTGGCAGTAATCTTCAGGGGCCGTCGGGAACCTTTACATCTCCCAACTTCCCAATTCAGTACGAGAGCAACGCACAGTGCGTGTGGATAATTACTGCTTCGAATCCCAACAAGGTAAAATGCATTCTCTCTTTCTCCCTCTCTCTCTCTCTTTCTCTCTCTCTCTCTCTCTCTCTCTCTCTCTCTCAACCACACTCATTCACTCACTCACAAGTCATCTGTGTCTTTTCCCATTACTTTTATATACATGTAGATATAACATATCAAATACTGCATGACACACAGTATGTTGTGTCTGAATGTATTTACCGAGCTTTAGTTGTCTGCCTCGAGTATTTGAATTTCATGCAGTCAATGTCATTTCAATCAATATAACACGGAAGTCCTTACAGGAAATTTAAAAAAAAGTCAACTTAGCAGCATGTTTTTTCATACTAATTAATATAGGTGATTCTGCAAAATGAAATGCTACTCAGAGCATAGTGGTGTCTAATTGTGATTGGTTAAGCCTACTAAGCACAGAGACCAGAGGTGAGATGGAAGCTGTGATTCGGTGCTTTATGTCCCGGGAGAAATCGGATTGGTATTCAGGATACACTTCCTTATTCCACTCAGGGTCACTGTGGTGACTGCCTGTCGTCATTGGCAACACCTGCGTCAGCACCACGGGGACGCACATACACTTATGTGCGCACACTCCCGCCGACGAACAGATACACTTTAACGTGTGTGTGTGTGTCTGTGTGTGCGCTCTCCAATACGCACAGTGGCTCTTTTAAAACACAAAAATACTCACACGCGCACACAAGCCTACACGTTGCTGCGTGGCTCTCTCTCTCGCCCTGTCGTCTGACACACAGCGCTCACTGTCGGAGCCCAAGGCCTCTGGTTTATGGCCTAGAGCAATGCATTCTCTGTTGAAGGCTAGAACGAGCTTGTGACTCTCGAAGGCTATAATACTAATGGCTTTCGGCACAACGTCCCTGGGTGCATGGGTGCGTGTGTGTGTGTGTGTGTGTGTAGGATGAGTTGGAAATGAATGCGTATGTGCTACGTGTGATTATGGGAATTGCCAAACACGTTGACCTGACTGCAGACCAGATCAACCGGAGCTACATTGAGTCATTTTTATAGCCTCTTATCTTTAAATGATTTACAGATAGTATCCTAACATATGCTTGTTCTTTTTAGCTCATGGACATGTCATGCATCATACTGAATCATATCATACATGTCTTGTGTCTATCACGCTACATTGTGTATACAATATGTCATGCAGCACATAAAACACTATATGAAGAGATGGTCGGGGGGGGACAGCACCTGACCTGAAGAGGACCGATATCCCTTCAGGACAAACAGAGACGCGGTGCCCGAGGGGCTGAGACACATGACGCACAACCCAAACCGTTCCTGGATCAAGTCCCACTACTCTTCCCTCTTTCTCTCTCACAAAATGTCCTCAATGCCTCGCACAAAAAGCCGAAAATGTCATACTGAACAAATAACTTGTCTGAAGGCAACTGGTAATGGTGGTCATGTTCATCAGTGAGACACTTATATGAATGCTGTAGGACAGAGCAACGGAGGCTCCTTAATATACTGAGCCCATTTAAACAGACGGGGGAAGTTACAAAGCACGAGAAAGGGATCAGCACGACACGGACTGACAAATCATTTAGTTTTACTCCAAATCATATCCCATCTCATCCTGCAAATTGTTATGCTCATGCAGGACACCTGAGAACAAGCACATGTGAGACCATGAATATTGATGGCTTCATAAAGAAAGTTAAACCTCAATATGCAAATGCAGATCTTTCTTATGGATTGTCATCTTAGGTGCTGTCAGACATGTCTTGCTGCAGTCAGATGAGTGTCTTTTATCTCCAGTGGATTTGCTGTAAAGTTGGTGAAGCCGATGGCATTGATCAATCAACATGAAGATTATTTGACATAAAAGCCAAGTACTGTTTTGACAAAAGCTTTACTTTAACAACGCCAGTCGCGTAAATGGCTTTACCATACATTATACCATACTGCAAAAATCCGTGGTCTGGTTCCGGAGTCTGATGGTAGAACGTCACGTTTGCAGGCTCATGATGGTTAATCAGCGTACATTCTTTCATGGGGCAAGTACATAGAGGCAGAAGGAAATTGCCGTTTCACATCTAGTAAAGTCAAATGTAATTTACTAGTTTAGAAGCAGGCTTGTGTTGGGCAGCCGTCAGAGGCAAACAGGCAGAGCGGGGTAGAATAGAGTGGGAGCACTGATGCTCCGGTGTACCCGCAATGAAATGTTATCTTCAATTAGGAGGCTGATGAGGGAATTAAGGGCAGTTTAGTGGGCAGGTGAGTGGTCAGCTGATCGCCCGAGGAGAGAAGGCAACTAAAAACACAAACACACACTGGAACATGGAGAAGAGAGAGCGTCTGAGTTTGAATAGGGGGAAGAGGCTCATGGTGCAAGCGCCACAGCACGTTCATAGTAGAGGAATAGTTCCCACTAGCACAACATCACTTGTTTTATTGCTTGCACAGGTCTTTCCCTATTTCATCCTTTTGCTTCTTTTTTTTCTCATTCCCTTTGTCTTATCCGACTTTTTGATCTCTTTTTTTTTTTTTACGATACCCATTCCCGCACCCCCTTCACTCCCAGAGGCGCTGTCCTCAGAATTACCCAGATTTTTCATTAAAGAACTCAGCCTGAAACCATCATATTACTATGGAGAGACTCATTCTACATTTCTCCCTGTCTCCTCTTCTTGCTCTGGAGGTAAAGTTGCAGGCTTTCTATCTTTTGTCTCCTTTCGTCACTGTCAGCCACATTCCCGCTATCACTCTTTGTCTGCACACCATTTGCTCCCTCTCTCTCAAGTTAAGTGTTAATGGGGTTCTATCGCTCTCTGATGTTATTGCTTCATTTAGTTTTGGCAGAATGAGCCTTTAGAGCCAATTCATTCTCTCCTATTCTCATTTAACCTTGGGGATGGCATGACGGGATGGCCATTACTATACTATACTCTCTACTCTTTCTCTTCTATTTTTTTTTCTTCAAACAACAAATCTTATTCTACCATTGTACTTTCTTCATTTTCCCCACCGTTTCGTTTTGTCTTCTTTATCTTTTGGAACGTCGCCGTCTTATATTATATTAATGAGTCAATTCACTTTCTCTATATCATCTGTTTATGATAAATAAGATAACGTGACATTTATTGCAACTCCATGTTTGTCAGCAATTTTTAAGTCCACCAGAGAACATGCAAATGTTGGGCCCCGCCCTGTTATATAAGCTGGCAGCATTAAGAATGAACTGTAATGCATAAGCCATGAATATGAAGAATGCTACTGCAGCATTGCCGTGCTGCACATTTAGTTTTGTATCACCACGACAGCTAAGGAGCAAAGTAATGCTTGCGCGTTCAGTAAGGAAGTTACACTTTTGGGGAGGCTCTCTGTGTACTCATTTGCAGGCATTTGGAGCAAAAATCCAACAAACGCTCAGAAGCCACAGGGCAAAAATCACAAGACTAGAATAAGACTGCACTGGATTTTTTTTGTGATTGAATGGCTCGCTTCTACATCTTCTTGTCAAGACGAGATGCATAGCAATTTCCGTCTGGCTCAGGTTTAAATTTGTTAAACATTAGGTGATAGAACACCGCAATTCAATTGCATTTTTCAGTAAGATAGTCGCATAGCAACAGTAAAAGCCACAGCCTGCATATTCTTTTCTGCAGCTTTTCTTCAGAGTTGGTATCTAAAAAGGAGGCACTTGGTGGATTCAGCTCAATGAATCAGAAGTGAGCGGAAAACTCTAAATTGCAAAGGGCTCTGCCCATCAGTCTTTATCAGCTAAAGCCCGAGTCATCTCACAATGGTGCAATTTATAGCATATAGGCAGAAGCATGTTCACGGGGAGCGGGTGGCGGAGAGTTTACTGTAACACCGCCCCAGACAATCTATTACCCCACGGCCCTGTCTGCGCCCTCTTTGCATCACTGACTGTGCAGCTTGCCAGGTAGTTCAGATATTCCTACAGTAACTGTATCCTCAAGGTATTCCTTTGATCTTATTATGGCATGGCCGGGGAGGAGACTCCCCCATCACATTGTCTCCGCGACAACCAAAGGAAGTGCTTTATCAAGCAGAAATCTAATTCTGTTGCCTCATTGGCTAGAAGCCATAGATGGATGGAGAACAGGAACGCAGCAGCCAATTAGAAAGAGAGAGGGCCGAGAGTGTGACAGCAAGAGGGAGGGGAAGATAGGAGATGGAGAGATAGATGGATGTTTCTACGAAGCCTTCTTATTAGAGGAAGGAAGAAATATCTAGAGTGTTCACTAGCGCACACACACACACACACACACACACACTCCACTGAACGACAAACTCATAAACATGACCTGCTCACTTTCAGAAATGAGGTTCCAATCTAAGTTGATTCCAGTACAGTGTTCACATCGTCGCACACACACATAGACACACATGGACACAGTGTAATGTGGCTATATCCCAGCTGTGGTTAATGCTGTGTGAACAGTGCTGATGTGGCATTAGGGGGGTTATGTAAAGGACAAATACAAGGAGATAGATGGTCCAGTTTCCATCATCGGGGCACAGAAGTCCTCGTCTTATACTCTCTTCCCGGCATGGACAGACAGGTCGGCCCGTTTTCCGGTAACTGTAACAAAAGCTGGAAAATCACCATTTCTAAATAAGCCACTTACAGCCATTATTCTTTGTCTCCATCAAATTCTATATTCTATACTAAAGTATGTTTGAAATCTGAGCAGTAGATCACGTCTCATATACTGAACATGCGTCACTACCAAAGTGAGCTGGAATATGCAGGAAGAGCACGAAACATAATCATCGACATTTTCACTACCATGATAATCAATCAATCAATCATCAAGGATCTGGTCTTGCCTCTGATAAAAGGGGTAAAACATTCATTACATATAGCAGTGCACCTTATATATAGGCGGTCTTGCTGTTGTATTAAAACCCTGCTTTAGACTTAGAGGAATATTGTGATAACTGTGAAAACGGTGGCTTAGTAATCGCAGAAATAGACACATTAATCTCTGCAAAGCTGTTGCTGTCTCCATGAGCGAGTGTGTTTGTGTGTGTGTGTGTGTGTGTGTGTGTGTGTGTGTGTGTGTGTGTGTGTGTGTGTGTGTGTGTGTGTGTGTGTGTGTGTGTGTGTGTGTGTGTGTGTGTGTGTGCGCGCGCGCGCTTGCCAGAGCGAGTTTAGCAGGTTTGTAGGTGAGGCTTTAATCCAATCTGCCTTACAAGGCGATAAGACCGAGTCAGCATTGTGAGCAGTGGACAGATCCCTTTCTTCATCCGAGTAAACCTTTTCATTTTACTGCTTTACAGCTTCCTCCATTTCATTTTGGCGTGGCTTAATCTGTTGTTGGGTTTCATGCAAACACAATGCCAAGGTAAAACTATGTCTGCTTTTGCTGCCATTAGCAAAACAAACAAAGAATGAACTGGGCTCTTCGGTGTGAGAGAAATAACAAGCAAACCAAATCAGGCAATACAGATAAACAGTTTGACAGCAGGTGGGTGGAAAGGCAACGCCACTGTATTTTCATTTGTTCCTTCTTTCTTCACGGATTCAATGGCCATAGTCGGGATAAGCTGTTTATACCTCATGTCCCAAGGGGGGGGGCCCAGGTTGCAGATAGTCTAGGTGAAAAAAAATTATTTTTATGGTGCCTGACTCAAAGAGAATGTTTGTGTACCAAGACAGATGCTCGGGAATGAGAAGATATTGATAAGCATGTAAATATGCTGACTGTTAACAAGCCAGCCTTGAGGAAACTCAGACCAGTATGATGTTTTGGATGTTTTTGCTGCAGCAGAATATTCAATCTAGAAATCTGGAAATTCCTCACAAGGAAAGAGGAAGAGGAGGAGGAGGAGGAGGGACGGGCAGAGTGAGGTTTTGGTCTCCCCCTGAGGGTCCAGCCAGAATTCTAGTCTGAAATACTGCTCGCATCAAAGACAAGCTCATTATTTTCCACGGTTCCTCTTTGTTACCACCTCCTTCATCCTTCCGTCTTGCACCTGCCTCCATCCTCTTCCTTCTCTCTATCTCCTCTCCTCTCTCTGTCCCTCTCTGCACGTCTCACGTCTTCATTCCCTCGCTCCTCTACTCTGCCAAATGTGTTTCTCTGTGGTCTGAGATGAAACAGAAAGAGTTGGTTAAATAATTCCCAATCAGTCTGGAACGTAGTGCTTATTCTCCCAACTTTGTCTCTTCCTAGTTCTTCTTGTATCACTGGATTAAACCATACCACTTTGTGGGATGCATTAATGAATTCATATGATTTACCCTTGGGTAAATTATAATTCATATATACTTCCATGAGAGGGGGAATATGTCTTTGATATGGTCATAGCTCCTACTCTAAATATAACAACAGCTATAGAGCATACTGGCTATGATTGAGGTCAGTCGAGGGCATTATCTTCTCTTGTAATTTCTCATTTATTTTTTTTGACCATGACTTACATTTTAATTGGAATTTCTTTTGGTGCTTTTTTCTTATTTTACTTCATTTCAAAACTAATTATTTCAGTAAGTCTGTTCTCCATGCTATCAGTGCATTTAGCACATTTTCCTAAAGTCAAAATGTTTTTGAGAAAAAAAAGCCAATAAATTAAGTGAATAAAGTTGTATCTTCAACAGAAAGGCACAATATGTGAAGAAATGGTTTAGAAGCTTCAGCAATAAAGATGGTGACAGTGGCAAAACTAACATTATAGAAGAAAGCTGACATTCAGCTTGTATTGCAATATGAGATATATTTTCCTGCAAAAATCATTGGCCCAAAACTGAGAGTTGTTTTTCCTCAATAAACATTCCTGTAGGCTGTAGGGGTTTATCGCTCATGTCGATGTGATCCGCTTCTTCTTCCCCTCCTGCTGTTGATTTTGTAGCCCTGATTTACCTACTGTCGAACCCCAGGTAGATTTTGACTGGGTTTGTTCTGGACCTCAGCGTTTTTACTGACATGTGTTCCTTTCAACTTTAGGTAATCCAGATCAACTTTGAAGAGTTTGACATGGAGATAGCCTACGATACTCTGACCATAGGAGATGGAGGGGAGGTGGGAGATCCTACAGCTATACTGCAGGTGTAAGTATTACGCTTTCCTTTTATATGCTGCCTTTTTATGCCCGTTGAAAAGGTTTGATTGTTTGTTTTTTGCCATGTAAACCCTTGAGGACAGTGTGTGTCAAACACAGGCAAACTTTAAATGCCTTCAAGAAAACTTTATTTACTGTAGCTTGATTGATTATTCCATTCTGAGGTAAGTGTGGGAGGTCCCACGCTGTATAATCCCTTCATGCCAACATGAGTAGATGAAGGGAGTAGAAGAAAAAAAGTTACTGAGAACAAGTCTATTTAGAGGCAACTATCATAAATATGTCTGATTTATAATTCTCACACATTTTTATTATTACTACAACCTGCCAATGCCCTACACATTAAAAAGTGTTTACCTCACGAACATGAAGTTCAGACATCCTCTTTCATGCAAACAAAGCAGGCTCTGCTGTCATACTAGGCAGATTACCGCTTCTCTTAAAAAACACCATGGAATGAACTCCTGGAATATGAATGGAATAACTTTCAGATAATGTTCTGCCTGAGCTGCATTTTCATTTTAAAAAGCAGATTGTGTCACACAGCGTGTTTCATAATGACCGGCTGCATTCATTTATTGTCATTCTATCAAACGTCTAGCAATGTACTTCAAATAAATTCAAATTGTTCAGAGTAATAACTTCCAGCATGTTTCTTTATGTACTCTGTCCCTTTCCATTGTTGTTCTTTGTTTAAGCCATCAGCCATCAATCAGTCAGCTCATGACTCTGCCATCTGCATGATGTGAGCTCCGCTCAAAAGTCGAACCGTTTGTTGAAAGTGATTCGTAGCGCCCCAAAGTATAAAAGATGCGGACCTTCCTTTCATTCCACCTTGGAGTCCATCACTGTTAACTTTCTTGCCTAAAAGGTGTTGGCAGCCGGGGAAAAAAAACGGTAGATCAAATGAATGTACTCCCAGAAAATTGCTTTCCTGAGGCAGCATTCTGCAAAACCAAAGCAAACCAAAGCAAAGCATTCATCTCAAGCCCAGTTTGCTCCAGAAATGTGTTCACACTGAGATCAGCGCTTGCGAATTTGATTTTGATTGCAGTGCGGAAATCGTACGTTTCATCCTGGTGATTATTATGACAGTGATCTAGTACTAATCTATTTTTCTGCTCCAGCCTATCAGGTAGCTTTGTTCCCGACCTGATAGTCAGTATGACCCACCAGATGTGGCTTCACCTACAGTCGGATGAGAGCGTTGGATCTATAGGATTCAAGATCAACTATAAGGGTAAGAAATGAGCGTGTGTTTGCGTGTGTCGGATGAAAAGTAAATCGAATCAATGTGATTGATGAGGCTAACTGACCTTGAGCTAAAGCACAATCCAAAACAGTTTGTATCCGTCCTGTTGGTTCAACTCCTGCCATCGTGAAATGAGGAACCTTTAATACTTTATCTATTAGATGAATGTAGAGCAAATCTGATTATAGTCTTATGAACAACAAAGGGGTGAGCTTTTTAGCATAAATTAATTATTTGGGTGCCGTCGTCTTTGGATGTATTGTCATAATGAGGTTACAGAGCTCAGTCTGAAAGTGGTGTGTTTTTTTTAAATATAAAAAATCTTGTGTATCAAACCATCTTTAAGTCATGATAATAAATAAATCCCCTTTGATATTTCCTGTAGAGATCAATAAAACATTATGAAGAGAACTACCATTAGAATGCATCTGTACTTATGCAAACGCTTAATTGGTATTATAAATATGCTTTTAACAATGGGAATGGGAAATCTCTTCAAATAAAACAAACGTACACACTTGCTTGAGATTTGTACAATGCATTAGAAATTCCTTTTTTTTATAAGCAGGAACAACACGTAGAAAAATTCACCTGGAAAATTAGACTCGCTCAGTCAAACCCAAATAAAGTTCCATCAATACTGGATCAATATATGATCAATGCCTGCTGGCTCCCTCGCCCTCAGTATTTACTATTAAGGTGGGCGCCGAGGTTATGAGTTGGTAGCTATGTCAGATGTCTTTGTGTTTTTAAGAAAGAAAAAGGTGTTGAGAGAGCGTGTGTGTGTGTGTTTGTTTGTGATCCCAAAGCCACATCCAGTGGACCTTAACCATTAAATATAAATATTATCAGTAGCTCTAGCCTTGCTGCAAAGTCACTGATGCACTACACAATGTGTGTGTGTGTGTGTGTGTGTGTGTGTGTTTGTGTGTGTATGTGTGTGTGTGCGTGTGTCAGACAGGTCCTCCATCAGTGAGCCAACGAAGCTGTAACAAGTCACTCACCACTTTCACTCCCCACTTTCCCCGTCTCCCTTCACTCTGTGTCTGTCTCTGTGTCATTTTTCCTCATTAACCACATCTCTCTCTCTCTCTCTCTCTCTCTCTCTCTCTCTCTCTCTCTCTCTCTCTCTCTCTCTCTCTCTCTCTCTCTCTCTCTCTTCCTTCCTTCTACAATCACAACATGTTTTCTCTAGTTTGCTCTCTAATGCACTGTTGTGTGGTTTCTGTGCTTCTGTCTTTCCCGCAACCTTTTTACTTTTCACCAGACAGCCACTACCTTGTTGTCTTTCAGTAGTGCTTCTATGTTTCTCTCACTGAAGCTTTTGGTCCTCGTCCATGTCTCATCATTCTCTCTCTGTGCACTCTTTCTTTCTTGTCACTATTTACCCATTATTAAAGCCAAGGTCACCAACCTAGAAACACTTTGACTCCACTCCCTGTTGCAGGGTAAACAAATCACACACCCCAACACATACACACATAAAAAGCAGTCCAGACTGCTTGTACAGCGATCGTTTCATCTACCCTGAATCATCCCGTGTCACAGCCACAGATTTAAAGCAGCGCTGTGGTACTATTGACAAACGTTACGCTAAAGATTCAGTGTGTTTCTGTCTGCTCTATGAATAAATACATGTATCCTAAGCCTATATATCTGTCTGCGGTCCATAAAGAGGTCCTAGACCATCATTTATGTGTTTAAGGTTTTTTTGTTTTGCGATCCCTCTGTAAGAATGACAATGACTATAATGGATACGGATCGTACCGACCTGTCTTTATGACAGTGCACTGATAATATTTTGTCAAATAAAACCTATTCAATCCGTGAATTCGCATTATCATCCAAACTGGATCACCAACACACAGCAGGAAATACACTGAGGAGCAAATATCAGATAAACCTTTCTGAACAAAGCCCATATCACAAAACATTTGATCGAAGTAATATTTCACTCACGTGCGATATCTTGTGTTATATATAGTTTGTGATATTGATAGATGTGTTTCTTCAAATTGTTGGTAAGATTATTTATTGGCCTCGGCGGTATTTTGTCTGCAGCTCATTTTTAGCTGAGATTTTAAGGGGCGCCACAGAGTGGGATCGTACAGCCCTGCCGTCGCTGTCTATGGTCTAAATGCAGCAGCTGCCAATTTGAACTCGCAGGATTCAACAGTGCACACAGAGAAAAGCCCCCTGCTCCACTTAGGAAGAGCAGCTGATTCCTGCCAATTGTAACGCGCACAGGTGCTCATTTGGCCTCGATCCCCTGCTGCTCATCGTGGCCTCGTCTTGGACGTGGCAAGTGAAGACACCTGTCACCACGTCAGACTGACTGATCTGCTGGACAGTGTGTGCTGTGTGGTTTTTGGTGCCAGAAATGAGCTTCTGATAACCAGACATGAGGGTCTTTGGAACTGGATAATAAGTACCGTTCCCAATATGTATTTATATGTAAGTTAGGACAATTGCTCAGTGAAATATACATTACCAGTTTAATAAGTAGTGTACATTGTAGTTCAGTAAATCAACCAGTAAAACATGTCTGCGCGTAAACAAAATCAGCAGTATTCTTTGCCTCTCCTCTCATTCATTTACATTGTAATACGTGCGAATGGTACATTGGAGAATAAGTTTCCAGCGATGAGTCATTCCCTCGAGCCCCGGCTTTTTTTAAGTGCATCGTTCTAGCGTTATCCCATGATCCTGTGTTGTATAATGCTGTGCTAGGAGACCACAAAGTGCAGCACAAACATCGAGTGCCTCCCTCACAGCCAGTTGTAAAAGAAAAGTGCACGGTCCACGCGTCAATCTCAGGACAAATCTTTCTTTCTTTTTTGTTTGCTTAACATGCTATATATAAAAACGACTTTACCGTCGCTCACCTGCAACCGTTCTGCAGACAAACACATGATAGTGTCAAGAGAAGTCAAAAGAAAATTTGATTGAAACTATCATACCTACTCAGCCTGCTATTTTTCTTTTCTCTTCACGGAGACCTGATGTCAGCTCTTACTTTTCAGATTTCATTTTAGATTTTTCATATGTTTTTTTTTTATAGTTTTTAATATGTGATGTATTTTACAGGAGAAGATGTCAAGGTGGATTTTTACTGCTCAGATGACCCCAGGTCGGATGGATTGGTTGGTTGTGTGTGTGTGTGTGTTTGTGTGTGTGTATACACACATTTGTGCACCCATATGTTCCTAGTTTGAGATTTAACTGTAGATGAGATGAAACATGTCTCATATTAACAATGAACAACATTCATGAGTGGGACTTTATGGATGATCTAAATGGAGATATTAGGAGAGGAAGAGAGAACTTATTTTAGCAATTGAGGCAGTAGAAAAAAAGAAACCATGGAACTGAACCTTATTTGGTGTTATATCATTTACTGAAGAAGCATTAAGTTAACCTCAATAACAACAGCCTGTTATCATAATCATGTTTTCAGTTATGAATTCCCATCCCAGCTGACTGCCTCCAGTTAGTTGCTATTTCCTGCCCCCAGGATTTGTGTTGTTGAGTCCTGTTGCAGCGCTGCAGTCCGGGTACTGAGCAGGACCTTCACACTGGGTGAAACAGAATTTCCTTCGGAGCGAATCAAACCCCCCGTAATAACAGTTCATGAAATATTCATCCACAACATAACCAGAAATGGGGTTGAATTTTACAGTCCATAACCTTAATCTTAGGGTCATGAGACAAAGCTCGGCGCCTTTTTTGGACGTGTGTGCATGTGTGTTTTGCAGTCCTCTAAAGAATGGGACTCACCGTATAACAGACCTCTGAAGCAGCATTTCATCTTCTAGTCATGAAATATTGACTCCTGTCAATGAGTATAGTATTCCTGTAGCCAGAAATATGATACATATTTGCAGACGATTCAGTCAAATTGCTTCATAAGAAACGGTTCTCACTCTGATTTGTATTATATTAGTAATATATTCAATACATTGCCAGTCCAGTTTGGCATACGCTTACCCGACCTGTGTCTAGACTGGTTTAAATGGACAGGGAGTCCTTTTAAAAGGCTCATCAAGAAGCAGCACCAGAAGGTTCAGAGCGCATTAGACTCTTTGTATTTTACCGAAGCAGAAGAGACGTGTGTCAAATTCTGCTTCAGCCTCTCGGCGGGATTTTGCAGGTTTTTACTCCCTCGTTTTGATGAAACAAAATGTACTAAATTACATATGATAGCGTGCTCACTGGTGTTCCATTCGTTTAGTAGTCCATTCAGACGGGAGAGGATGTGACAGTAACATCTTAACCTTAGTGAAAAATAGAAGATGGTTCTTTTTGATGTGGATGTGCTGTTCCATAACCTGTACTTTCTTGACATAGATTGCAGACATTTATGCGAGGATAGGTACATGCCGAAATCCACTGATAATAGTGGACACACACTCCTCTTGCAGGGTCACGAGACGAGACAAGTCTGGGCGGGAGATATTTCCCGCAGACTGGAGCGATGCATTCCTGCCCCAAGAGGGGTCCAGATGAAAGGAAACCAATGCACAGACAGTAACTGATATTTGGGAGTTACACCACTGAGCAAAACAAATATTTTTCTGCGCTTTATGTAACAAGCGCCAAGGGACGTTATGTGTTTTAATGAGAACAGAAAATGTTTATCCTTATCATATCCTATGAAATAACTCCTCAAAAGCTCTTCAGTTGCCTGGTTTGGACCCTAAGTGAGGCGGATAATTCAGAGTGTACTAAATCAGATCATTTTCTTTCAAAGGGACTATTATCTTCACTGTCTACAGTGGGAACTAGTCAAATGGGCCACAGTCTTTTGGTCACATATTCAGACATCCACAAACTAAGCAGGCTTAGCTTCTCATTTCTCTCTCACATTGCAAACACTTTCCTCTCAATTTCTCGTCTACCCCGGCTGTGATAGATAGTTTATTACTTTGTGGGCCTTAGACACGCTGCACAGCAAGAACTTGCAGGAGACCGTAGCGTATGACAAATATTAGACAATGAAAACCGCCACGTATACGTTGAACATTCGATAACTATTAGCAGTCCAGGACTGAAATCAATTTCACAATGGTCACAAAAGACTTAACAGCCAATGAGGTTTTTTTTCTCCAATCTCATTTTCCTCCAAAATGTATTTGCTTGCTCACCAAGAGCTTTACGAGTAATGCATTTACACGTATTTTATGTGTGTGTGTGTGTGTGTGTGTGTGTGTGTGTATGTGTGAGAGAGAGGAAGAGAGAGAGAGCAGCGTCACATGTTTAGTATGCATACAAGTGAATTTCCATGGACAATATGGTGCGAGCATGGCAGAATATTATTGGAAAGAGTGAATGTAATGGGGCTCAATGTGCAATCACAAATACAATGTGGAAGTAATACACACACACAAATACACGCGCGTACACTTGAAGGAGCCTAATCCCCTTTGTGGATCTGTCAGCCTTGTGGTTAAAAACACAATAGGATTTTTGCTATGTGTGTGTGTGTGTGTCTGTGTGAGAGGAAGAAATGTGCGCCTGCCGTTGTGTGATGCTACCGACCGACAGAGAATGCGTGATTATGTGTGTGTTTAGTGCATGCATGCGTGTGTCTGTGTGAGAGGAGTAGTATGGGAACATTACGACGGTATCCCGGTTTTCTCGCCTAAGCAATTTGTTTTCTATTCTTCTGCGAGATGTGTGTGTTTCGTGTATGAGTTGTGTTAATGCAGGCACGTGTGTGGAGGCCGGTTGTGATTGGTTGAGTCTGTGGGTCTCATAAAGACGATGTCATGATGGAAATTAATGCAATACATCACAAACACGCACTCTGACACGCACACACATACATATGCGAACAGGGAGACCAAGCACCCACATTTCCTTCCTGTCATTGATCACTCCAGTAAATAATACCGAAAATAGAAAAGGGAACGGGGGAATAAAGGAGAGTAAGGGGGAATAGAGCGTGTATTTTCTGAAATACAGGAAATGTTAATGGACATTATGGTGGCACCTTAGTAAGTGACCCCGTGGTGCGACTCAAGGTGAAAAAAGGAAGTGTCGTGAATGCTTGCCAACTCGGGGGAAAGTGGCACGCAGAGATCGATGCAAACTTCCCAGAGGCTACTAGAAGACATTTGCATGACACAGTAAACCTAGAGCCAGATTGCCTTTTAGCAAGCCATCATATAGCAGTGTTAATTTTGTCGACAAAAACTATGATGAAAATGTTTTGTTAAGAAGGATTAAAATGTCTAAATGTGACTAAAACTAATATAGATAGATAGATAAATAGATACTTTATTGATCCCTCAAGAGGGGAATTTTGGAATATGGAATGTGCATTTTTTTTCGTCTAAAGACTAAGACTAAATCAAAAATAGCTGCCAAAATTAACACTGTCATACAGTGAGCAGTAATTGTCTGTTCAAAATGCATGAAGGGCTCTTGCAGCGTGACATGGGGTTTCACAACAGAGGGCGATGGCCATTGGGTGTTTGAGGATCATCTGCAGCAGGACATTATACATGTGGGACTGACTCCAAATAACGACTGCTCATTTCAATGAACAAAGATGTCACACAGACCGACGGTCAGGATTATGGATGCATGTTTTGTTTTTTAAGCATTTGAGATCTCTGAGATCATTTTAATGTCGTCTTCTGAAATTGTGTCTTTCCAGAAATAGACAAAGAGAGTTGCGGGGACCCTGGAACTCCTCTCTATGGAGTAAGAGAAGGGGACAGTTTCTCAAATGGAGGAATCCTGAGGTTTGAGTGCCAGTTTGGCTTCGAACTGATTGGCGAGAGAACTATCTCTTGCCAAGACAACAATCAGTGGTCAGCAAACATCCCCATATGCGTGTGTAAGTATCCAAATCATGTGTAGGTTATTTCCTGGGACAAGGCTGCAGAGGGGGAAAAAGCCATGACATATGCTCTGCTGTTATGTTAACATTCACCACGGTGACAGGACAGAGTTTATTATGGCCTGGAGCAGATGATGACCGACGATGTGATGAATGTTTAACAGAAAATGCCTCTTTCTGCATCTCTTCCCCTTTCCTTCCTTTCTGTTCCTCATTGTTTATTTTGCCCCATTCTTTGTCTTTATCGCTCCGTCTCTGTAACATTTTTGTCATTGTCTGTCCGTCTGTCTTTGTATATCTGTCTGTCTTTGTGTCCGTGCACTCCTCTTGCTACCGTAGTCCCCTGCATGTCCAACTTCACAGCTCCCTCAGGAACTGTCCTCTCCCCAGATTACCCAGAAGGCTATGGGAACAACATGAACTGCGTCTGGCTCATCCAATCAGATCCGGGCTCCAGAATTCACTTAGCATTCAATGACTTTGATCTTGAGGCGCCCTACGATTCCCTAACTGTGAAAGATGGCGAGACAAATGATGCCGGCGTCATCGGGAGGTTCTCTGGAGCTGAGAGTCCTTCCCATCTGACTTCCAACACCAACACACTGAGGCTGGAGTTTCAGGCTGATCACTCCATGTCAGGAAGGGGATTTAATATCACATACAGTAGTACGTCAGCTCTATTTCCGTTTATGGCATTCACATGTTTTATATACCAGAAGTACCTATTTAACTAAACAAATTGTAAAACAGGATCAAATATGGCAACACTATATTGACAGTATTCAACATGCAGATTGTTTTAATTGATAGTAAAAGAAGATCAGGGGCATGTTTATTATCTCTTACAACAGAGTATGCAGAAACATCTAAACTTCTTGCTGGTATTTGGCTGCTATCTTATTAAAGCTACAAGATAATACTTCTAATTTGACCGTATATACATTTAATGCACGCCTTCCAGCGTAGACCTTTAACAATGTCTATAAATGTTTAGTTGTTTCATTCTGAAACAGTACATCCATCAGCACTATGGGGCCTGACATTTCACCGCCACAATTCAAATAACTATAAAGGTGATTATTACTTCTTGTAGCACAAAAATCCCTGAGAAAGCGGAAAAGTTGGATCAGACTGTAGGGATCAACAACGGAAAGAGTTGTTCCAGAAGAGACACAAGACAACTATCATTGATCCCTGAGGTTTTATGTGGCTCATACAGCAGCCACGCATAGAGGTGTATGTTGGCGAACAAAGAGTATTAAAGGAAGCCTTTTTAGACATCTGGGCTTGTTTCTTGTCATAACCAGAGTCAGTTGAGAAGATCAGCATTCCATGATTCCATCTCTGTGCGTCCAGTACACAAAGTGTTTAGCGCTGCTTAACAACAAGGCTAGGAGCGAGCGGAAGCTGTTTACTTCTGTCAAAGGAGAAACAAAAAAAAGAAGAAAAAAAAAGGCTTTTTCAAACAACACACCTTGTGTCTTTCAACCATGTCAAAATAGAATCCAAGACGTTAGCGTTTTAGGCAAATACTCAGAAGTTGCCAGCTGTGCAGATGTGATCAAAACACTGATGTAACAGTCAGCGCTTGCTAGACAACTGGATACAACATGTACAGTAAATAAGATAGTTTGGGATTTGTTAGAGAGCCGATTTGTTCATTTTTGATGGTGCGGGAGACCTGCGTGCTTCTGCTTGCAGTCTTTGAGCTAATTCAGGCTATCAGACAAACTTGAAATAGATACTGATCTTCTTATTTGACGACAAGCAGCGCAAAAGTGTTCTGCCCACAAGATCCTTTCCAGTCTGTCTGTTATTTCAGCAGATAACATTCTGTGTACACAGGGAGGGAGAGGGGGGGGGGGTCACTATACGTTTGTCCTTTTTAAATAATCTGATTTCTTCAACTGGCAAAACCACATTCCGAAGCAGACATTCTAACGTGAGATTCAAGCATCAGAAATTACCATATTTACAGTTATAAAAGTAATTTTGGAGGGGACGTTTTAATGGCCAGGTCCCAACACTAAAAGACAAGTTGCAGGAATAAATCGATATATTTAGCTCCCAGAAATGTCACCTTAATCTGGTACCGTAAAATATTTGCATATTCTTTGAGACCATTTCTCGTGTTTGTCCTTCTATTTCTGTTCTCTCCCTCATAAATGTGTCTCACTGTAACTTTTTACCAAAAGCATTTGGCCACAATGAGTGCCCGGACCCTGGTATTCCCATCAACGCTCGCCGTTTTGGAGACAGCTTCCAGCTTGGCAGCTCCATCTCTGTGGTCTGTGAGGACGGCTTCATCAAAACCCAAGGAACCGAGACCATCTCCTGTCAGTTGGAAAAGGGAAAAGTCATGTGGAGTGGGCCCATCCCTAAATGTGAAGGTAAATATTGGATCAAAATATTAACTCAGAAACTACCCAGGCCGTGGAGATTAAATGTTGTCAGCTCGACAGAGGGAATAAGATATGGAGTCGACCCAAATGTTCAGGAAAGACGACTATTAATAGACTGTTGGCAAAGGTACAGCCATTAGCTTACAACAATGCTCTGACTCTCTAGGAGACTCTTAACTGAAAGCTGCACACTGGGAGAAATCTATGGAGAAGTGGCATGAATGTGAAGTATATAATTATCATAGAAAGTGTACACTTTAAAAGACACGTCTGGATATTAATCATCACACCACTCAACTTTTAGCAATTCAATATATAATTGTTACATAATTTTCACATTATACCTTATATACCATCCATGCTTATAGTTGGAGGAAGTATATTGCCGTTTAAATATATCCATTAGCGCAAAAAATCAACTGCTTCTATGAAAGTGCAGGCAAATGGAACTGTGACCTGCTTCAGATGAGACAAAAGATCAAAATATTACTTCATCTGCAACTCACAGCAGATAAAGCGTTGACTGAAGTGTTGACGGAACAAAAGGAAGGCTGTGCTAATTAGGCTGCAGGTCATTTAATATTTCCAGATCCTTTTTCACTAATGTGAAAATGTTGGATGGAAATATTGTATTCAGGAGGTAAAGACCAGAACTAATTGATCCCCGAAAAAAAAGTGAAAACTAAACAAGATCAAATTCAAAAGAAGACTGGAACAGAATGGCTCCTAGCTAATGTAACCTTCTGTTACCATTCTGTTGAATTTTCTCATTTTATTTTATTTTAGTAAAGGTTCAAATGTTTGCATTCATTCAATAGATTTTTTTTCGCCGTGGTCTCACAAAACTTTGCTCGGCTGCTTCTTGTTGCCGTCCTGGTATCAAATAAGAGGAAAGACAATGTCCTGCTTTTTATTCAGCATCTTACGAAAAGCACCAAAGGGGTCCGTTCAGGTCCACAAACAGACTGCTTGTGTCATTCATGTATCTCCCACTCACTATTCAAATTTGTGCATAAATGTTTTTAACTTTGCATAATGAAAACTGATGGGTTACAAAGGTTGCTGTTGAGGCTTTTAGGAGGTTGCATTTCTCGCAATCTTCCTAAATCCTCCCAGATCTGTCAGATGTCAGGTCTCACTGCCACACACACAGACCTGGATCCTGACTTCACCTCATGTCAGCCCAGACTTGAGTGGTCTCGATACAAATGAACTCTGGTCGTCCCTTTTGTATCCTCTGTATCTGCCTTCCCTTCCCTCCCTCGGTCTGTCCTCCTCCAGCCCCGTGTGGAGGCCACTTTTCAGCCCCAAATGGAGTGATTTTGTCTCCTGGTTGGCCTGGTTACTACAAAGATTCCCTCAGCTGTGAGTGGGTGATTGAATCAGAACCTGGACGCTCCATCAAAATCACATTTGACAGGTGGGTGGAATGATTCTTTGAGCATAGTCTGAAGACTCTTCTGTGCAGGTTGTTACAACCCGGCTCAGAGGCTGCAACATATAGGGAGACAAGACTATTCTAAGAGTAATAAATACACACTTATTTAAATGAAAACCCCAAAGATCGAGTCCAAGATGAAAATCCCTGAAGTTGCCCTTTCAATGAAAGAGATCCAACATTGGGAAGTGAAGAACACATAATCCTGCAGTTTTTATGCAGTGTCTTGTTCTCGTAACTCTAAAATAACTCGTAAAATAAAATAAAAGGTCATTTATTTGAGTGTAATTTTAAAATGGGAAACAATGATTAGCACCATTGTGATATTCTAATGTTGTTGTCTCACAGGTTTCAGACGGAGCTGGGTTACGACTTTTTGGAGATCCATGATGGGCCAAACCTCCTGTCTCCTTTGGTTGGCTCCTTTAATGGCACCCTAGTGCCCCAGTTCCTGTTCAGCAGCACCAACTTTCTTTATCTACTGTTCACCACCGATAACAGCCGATCAAATGCTGGCTTCAAAATACTCTATGAAAGTAAGTCAGAAACAAATACAGCACATTTGTCTGTACGCACACTGGGACACGCCTTATATTGTCTATGCCTATTACAGACCACAATCATACACTTGGATGTTATACACAACAGAAGGTGTGCATGATGTCAGGACATAACCGTACACTAGTAGCCCACCACACACAGATTCACAAGCTGGCTCTGACATGCAGGTCATCAACTGCGATGAGCAAACAACCTTGATCCCACAGCACGGTGCTTAATGCGGAGAGTCAAGCCATCTGTGGATTTTAGATTGTGCAAATCAGCAAAAGTGCAGATGCATTTTTTGCGCATCCATACAATGTAGACATCTGATCCATCTCTTTTTCAGGCGTTACGGTGGACAGCTACTCGTGCCTGGACCCTGGTATCCCTGTCAATGGGATTCGGTACGGCCAGGACTTCTCCATCGGGTCCACGGTATCATTCGGTTGTGATTCTGGCTACAGACTCAGCCACGAGGAGCCCCTCGTTTGCGAGAAGAACCACTGGTGGAGCCACCCTTTACCGACGTGCGACGGTAAATATAAAATATAAATATAAAATTCATTAAGGTAAATAATAAATATGCAGTATGTATAATGCACATTCAATCAACTATAAACTAAGGTGGGCCATAGCCAACTTTATGAAAAGGCCTAATTACTTTGGTAATGATGTGTTCAAAGTGACATAACACGGCTCAGCATTCGATAAGACGTCCTTTTCAGATAATGCATGTTTTAATCTCACACTAATTGGACACCCAAAACTATACTATACTATATTCCTCAACGCCTCAAAATTAACAGGCGATATCTACCCCATTATCCTCATACCTATGACACGATTACTATCTCTACCACCAATATTTTCATTTCAACACAATCTGCGTGTTTAATCTAGGTGACATGGCTACATCTTGACTGCAGTCTTGCTCATGAAATTTAAAGACAAAAATGATTATGTTTAAAAATTACTTTCATTCCCTCTAAATACGATGAAAGGTAAGAATATTTAAGTTACTCGACCAAAATTAAATTCCAAACCAATTCCATCCATTGCAAAACAAGACCCACAGAAGCTGAAGCGTGTAGAGATCGGAGGTGGAGCCCACCATCCCCATAAGGGAGCTGAGTCACACACAGCATGTTGTTCTGCGACAAAACCACTGGTTAAATCCCACACACACACACACCTACACACACACTAACACACACACACGTACACACACAAGAGGGCAATTTGCAGTGAAGGCTGCTGGGGCTGATAGGGGATGATTTGAGAATAAGATTAGAGGTCCGTGGGCACTACCAATATGTGTGTGTGTGTTTTGTGCCTTTGCCATGTGCCTCCTTTCAACTCCTCTCCCGTGTGAAACGTGAACACAGGAAGGTTTGAGCTAAGGTTGAACAGATCCTGTGTTGGCTGTCACCTCCTCTCTCTTCTCTCCCAAACCAAGGAGTGAGAGGGGAGGCGGGGGCGCTCTCGTCTCTCGCATTCCTATCAGGGAGGAGCGAGGAAGGAGGGATGCGTAACTGCCGCATCACTTTTGTAGCGGCTTGCTTGCTTCGGCTTGTGGCCTCACTTGCTTGGGGTCCACATTAGAATCACACAGCTCGCTGTACCGACACTGGGTTTCTTCCAAGGAGGCAGTTTGAGCAAATAAACATCAAACAAGCTGCCTGAAAGAGGCGGGCTGAACGCCGTCAGAACGTGTAGCCACACAAATACAGGTACTATTTGCTACTGGGCGTGGTAAGAAATGGTCTAGCATGATGATTGGCAGGTCAACAATGATTGGCGGCATTAAAAGGTACCTCCAGAAAATGAAATCGAATGATGGTCTTAATGTGTTTTAAGTGAATAACCCAATGGCAAGATTATCACATTAGCTAAGCCGAAAGATTACTATTACTGTTCATGTAATATTTATATGGAAAGAATGAACAAAATCTATTGGATTTGTCAAGGCGGAGGATTCCCTTTTTAAATGATGGGGATTCAAATCAAAGTGTGATTGAAATAACTTGCTAAACCCTTCTTGAAGTCCAAAGATGGGTGTTTTGGGGTGGAATCCCCGAATCCCTACTTTAATTTGAAAGAGCATACAGATCTTATGCAGTGTTTTAAATAACTCAGCATTCAACATTAGGAACTTCCTGGCAGGAAAGGAATAATAATGAATTGATTAATTAAGTGATCTGTGTGTGTGTCTGTGCACACGCCTGCTTGCTTCTGTGTATTGTTTCGTTAAAATTGTTCTGCCTCCCCACCCTGGTTTTCTCTAATGCTGATGTCATAAAAACGTGGATGTTGAGAGTGAAGATACGGATGCTCTGGCTCGGAGCACATTTTCAGAGGTTACTATTGGCTCTAAACAGATTGTAGCCTTTGCTGCAGTTGCAAGAGTTGTTGGTTCTCAGCTACCATTGAACTGGTTAATTGACCAGATCATGGAAACTCCAGCAGAACTTTCAGGTTTGACCTTCTGCCAGCTGCTTTGCCATCGTTGCACTTCTGAGGTAATGTTATGGCATTTTCTAGGTTTATTGTAAGAGGAAATGACAGACCAGTCGGCCAAATATGAGATGAACCAACTGGAGCGAGCTGAAATCAAGCACCGTGCGTTAGTATGCATGGAATGAGCAATTTCCCGGGTTTTTCCGAGGACCTGGTCTCAATTCTGAGAATCTCCGTGCAAGCACAGGTCTATTACTGCATAACAATGTACATCGCTGAACCACGTGCCAAACTCGCAGGGTCATCCTGAGGTTGAGCTGAGAGGTTGAAAATGTTTTAAGTGGTCTCTAAGAACCGTTTGCACTGCTCCACTGCTTTAAATATCACTGCTTTGAATTTCTTGGAAATCAAACTGTATTAGCAGGGGAAAACCAATTCAGATACAAAACACATTTAGGTTCTTGCTCAAGATGCAGCTATTGCACAGTGTTAATGTTATGGAAAGTTAGCTTAAACAATACTAAAGCAGTGATTTGATGAGTTATTTTGATTAATGTCTCGGTTTTCTTACTCTAAATAATTTGGGAGTTTGAAACTGTCCATCTCAAAGCAACACATCTTGAAAATCTGTTTCAATTAACAAACACTTCTCAGTAAAAGTGCCCATTCATTGCATAATAAGCCCCTTTGCAGATTAGCCAGTAACCAACTTCTCCAATTACTATTTTTTTCTGTCTGAAGTGAAATGAGATGAAAATGTAAGAAAATTCAAGTATTTATTACAAAGTGGCACTGAAATATAGTGTTGGTTATAATCTGTAATGCAGTCATGTGGACCCACTTGCAGTCATGATAAGTCATTGGTGCAGATCCCACATGAGAAGTACAGATCTTGAAGCTTGAGCTAATTATGGCTAAGCCGAGAAGCTGAAGCGTTCCATTTTGCTCTGCTAGATGCAAGTGCTCATCAATAAGAACAGTGTGTACCTAGTTATGGATGTGTTAAAGAGCCCCCTTCGGCAGAGTGAAACAACTAAAAACGAGTGAGCATCACTGCGACCCACACGATATAACCGATCCTGCTCCTTTAAACAGAAACATAAGCACATTGCTGTTGTTTATCTCTCAAGATCATTATGCAGTGCCAACATGCACGAGGAATCGGTAAAATCACCTATTCATTAGATCATCGCCAGGGGTTGGTTAGTTTCAGGGACATTACACTATGCAAATAATCCATTATTTATCATTGTGATGTGTGGTTACTTTCCATCTCTTGTAGTTTACGCGCGTGTGTGTGTGTGTGTGTGTGTGTGTGTTTGCCTTTAGAAGTTGTATCTAAGGTCCACAGGGAGACATTATCTATTTTAGCTATCAACAATCTGATGCTAACCTTCTCTCTCCCATCTCTCTGCACACCTCTCTCTCACTTTCTGCCTCTCTCTCTTCCGCTCTGTCTCTCTCAATCTATGCAGCTTTATGTGGCGGGGATGTGAGAAGTTCCTGAGAGACCATCCTTAGTCTCTGCTGATCCAGACACCTACCCTTCATTTCTCACTGTACCTGGACGGTTGAAAGTCAAGCACCGGACAAGGCAAGAGACACGCACACATACTCAGTCCTTAACAGAGTGATGCACAGCGTAGAGACGGCCCCTAACAGAGTGATGCACACCGTAGAGACGGTCCCTAACAGAGTGATGCACAGCGTAGAGACGGTCCCTAACAGAGTGATGCACACCGTAGAGACAGTCCCTAACAGAGTGATGCACAGCGTAGAGACGGTCCCTAACAGAGTGATGCACAGCGGTAGAGACGGTCCCTAACAGAGTGATGCACAGCGTAGAGACGGTCCCTAACAGAGTGATGCACAGCGTAGAGACGGTCCCTACCAGAGTGAGGCACAGCGTAGAGACAGTCCCTAACAGACTGATGCACAGCGTAGAGACGGTCCCTAACAGAGTGATGCACAGCGTAGAGACGGTCCCTAACAGAGTGAGGCACAGCGTAGAGACAGTCCCTAACAGAGTGATGCACACCGTAGAGACGGTCCCTAACAGAGTGAGGCACAGCTTAGAGACGGTCCCTAACAGAGTGATCAGGAATCAGGAAACATTTATTAGCCAAAATATGTCAAACATACAAGGAATTTGTCTTGGCGGTTAGTGCGCGACAGTAGACAGACAAGACAACAGTGCACAGGTAATAAAATAAAGTGGAATGAAATGCTAATGCAATGGGTTAGTAAGAATAAGGCTAAGGCTATGGGTTAGTATAAAACAGGGGAATAAAGTTAAACAAATTTTAAATATTAAAAAGTTTAAAAATATTAAGCATAGAGTGCACTAACAAACAAGTAACAGACAAGAGACAAAGTGACAAGTGACAAAGTGATGAATTGCAGTTAAAGTGACATGTGCAGTATGAGGGGGAGTGACCGGTGGAGTGTTATAGTCAGTGGGGGACCGGGCTCTGTTGATGAGCCCGACTGCCGACGGGAAGAAACTGTTCGTGTGGCGGGAGGTCGTAGTCCTGATGGACCTCAGCCTCCTGCCAGATGGAAGGGGCACAAACAGTTTATGTCCGGGGTGGGAGGGGTCGGCCGCGATCTTTTGAGCTCGCTTCAGAGACCTGGAAGCGAACAAGTCCTCCAGGGACGGCAGATTGCAGCCGATCACCCTCTCTGCAGAGCGGATGACACGCTGCAGCCTGCCCTTGTCCTTGGCTGTGGCTGCAGCGTACCAGACGGTGATGGAGGAGCAGAGGATGGACTCGATGATGGCCGTGTAGAAGTGGACCATCATCGTCTTTGGCAGGTTGAGTTTCTTCAGCTGCCTCAGGAAGAACAACCTCTGCTGAGCCTTCTTGGTGATGGAGCTGATGTTCAGCTCCCACTTGAGGTCCTGGGTGATGATGGAGCCCAGGAAACGGAAGGAATCCACAATAGTGACGGGGGAGTCACACAGGGTGATGCACAGCTTATAGACGGCCCCTATCAGAGTGAGGCACAGGATAGAGACTGTCCCTAACAGAGTGATGCACACCGTAGAGACGGTCCCTAACGGCATTGATGCAGAGCGTAAAGACACTCCCTAACAGAGTGATGCACAGCGTAGAGACGGTCCCTAACAGAGTGATGCACAGCGTAGAGACGGTCCCTAACAGAGTGATGCACAGCGTAGAGACAGTCCCTAACAGAGTGATGCACAGCGTAGAGACGGCCCCTAACAGAGTGAGGCACAGCTTAGAGACGGTCCCTAACAGAGTGAGGCACAGCTTAGAGACGGTCCCTAACAGAGTGATGCACAGCTTAGAGACTGTCCCTAACAGAGTGAGGTACAGTGTAGAGACGGTCCCTAACAGAGTGATGCACAGCGTAGAGACGGTCCCTAACAGAGTGATGCACAGCGTAGAGACGGTCCCTAACAGAGTGATGCACAGCTTAGAGACTGTCCCTAACAGAGTGAGGTACAGTGTAGAGACGGTCCCTAACAGAGTGATGCACAGCGTAGAGACGGTCCCTAACAGAGTGATGCACAGGATAGAGACGGTCCCTAACAGACTGATGCACAGCGTAGAGACAGTCCCTAACAGAGTGATGCACAGCGTAGAGACAGTCCCTAACAGAGTGATGCACAGCGTAGTGACGGTTGCACTAGCTCTCACCGTGTGTGTTTAGTTTAGTTCATAGCATACTCTGAGTAGTGTGCTCATTTTTATGGACATGATGTCGTTACTGCTTGTACTGTATGATGAGAAGTTGTTTTACATGATGTTTTATGCGTTTTGTTACATGCCGTTTTGTTATCAGTGTAAACATTTCTGTGTCCTTATAATTGTATTACCCTGTAATATAACTGTGGGTTCATTGATACTAATCAACTAACTTCTAAAGATTCTCCCTGTCCTTCCACCCATCTGTGTGCTTCTCTACCAGGTGTCCAGTTTCAGTTCAGCTCGTTTCATCTGGAGGACCAACATGACTACCTCCTGGTTACTGAGAACGGAAGTTTCCAGCAACCACTGGCTCGCCTGACAGGCAACGAGTTGCCTAGCAACATCAATGCTGGTCTCTATGGCAACTTCAAAGCCCAGCTCCGTTTCATCTCTGACTTTTCAATTTCGTATGAGGGCTTCAACATAACTTTCTCTGGTAATTCACTCGTCTATAGACATACTATAACTTAATATATAACAATGTCGAGATTTAATTTATCCTCGGTAACAAAAGCAATATTGTGGGTTTTAGACAGTTTTTAACATAGGATGGCAAAGTCCCTTCTTTATGAAACATTTCTCAGGGCAATAAAGTTGCAGTTGTACCAGTTAATTTTGTGTGAAGCAACTCAGTAAACAACATTTATCGTCTCCATCCCAAACAGCTAGATGGCCCTTGGCATGCTATCCAGCTCAGTAATCTGGCTCTGTCAATGCACTAATGTATGGGCATCTCACTTGATGTGTTTTATCCGGCACCACTATTTATCAGCCAAGAAGCAAAAGAACAAGTGAGATCTGTTGTTCGTGTGAGAAACTGATTGCTTTAGTAAACTTTTGGTGGTAAATGGACTTTAATATATGTTGAAAACATGGTGTACAGATGAGCCTATGGAAAGGGAGCACTTGGAGAAACACAGGGAGTCAGTGTCACAGGGGTCTGCGGGTTCGACTAGGACATAAACACCCACCGCCTCCATAAATCAATAGTCAGCTGCACTGAGATCCAGCATATCTGAACTCCTGCATTACCGCGCAGGAGTTTCAACGGCGTGGAACCCACGGCAGCTACGACTGAAACTTGACAAGACTAAAATGGCTATCTAAGCCTGTTTTTTTTTAAATTTTAGATATAAATGCTATTAACAAAACAAAAAATCTGAACGGAGGAGAGCGGTTACAGAACTTAAGCTGAATAATCAAACAAAGAAAAAAGATAGGGAGATGGATTCGTCACAATGTGTACAAGGAGCTGTGCCAACCCGTGGCTGTAGTCATTTGTCATCATCCTCATCCAAAAATGAGACGTGAGGAGCAGAATGAAGAACAAGTCCACGGCTGAAACTGCCTTTTCTGAACTCAAGATTGTTTGCTTAACATCCCTTTCATCGCTCTCTCTCATTGACTTTAGAATAAATTATACTTATATCTGAGGCCACACTGAGGGACTTTTTCATGCCTCGCAGATGGCATGGTGAGTTGATACTCACAAAGTAACAAATGGGACGTGCCACCAGAGATGTGACTTTACAGTCTCAACATGCTCATGTCCTCCTGCAGCACAAATCACATCCTCCGTCTCTGCCCACGGAAAACAAATGTCCTGATACACCGTGCCGAACACGAAATCAGCCAGTGCATCTCAGGACACAGTGGAGTCAGACACACGATTATTCACAACTGTAGGTAGCGCTAATGTGACGATTATATTTTAATGGACTGGAGTATTTCTTTTAATGAAAATGATTTTAGCATTTGATGGTCACTTTTTTAGTTTTATTTCAGATACAGGGGAAGAATTTCCTGGGTTTTTAAAACGATAATTAGTCCTGCTGTTGATTTAACATCGTTAGAAGAAGACACTCCAAACCACACTGTGATCTTATCACACCACACTCACTCTTATAACACTTATGCAAGACTCCAAGCAAGAAAATTTGAGTGATGCCTCCAAAAGTCTCAAAATTGAGAATATCATTTTAAATATATTTTGATTCACTGGTTTAGTCCATAATTAGTTAAACAAAATATATTTATTCTGTTTGGGAAGATAAATCAGCCAAGATGATTTCATTTTCCACTCTTGGTTTTTGGCCAGAAGCACAGAAAGGGCAGATTTGTAGAGTGCAGAGTGTTTCATGGTTATTAATGGATGCGTTTTGTAATGAGTTTCCATCTATTTCGCTAGAATATACTTTGGAGCCATGTGAGGACCCTGGGATGCCTCGGTTTGGCAAGAGAAATGGCTACAATTTTGGCATCGGAGACACTTTGTCTTTTTCCTGCAACATGGGATACCGTCTGGAGGGGCTGCCCGAGGTAATCTGTCTGGGAGGAGGGCGAAGAATGTGGAGCTCACCTCTACCAAGATGTGTCGGTACGTAGTCATTTTACTCCTGATTTCATTTTTAGATTATCTAAACTGCTGTTATTTTTAAGTGTTTTAAGAATCCTTTCATTGAGGACTTCGGCTGTTTAGCTGCAAAAGAAACCCTGAAAGTGCACTTGTTCAAATCATTACCAATTCATATTTATCTTTAATGCTACAAAATGAATGTTTTCTTTGTCCTCAATTGTTGTAATCCATTCTCAGTTCTCTCCAGTATCACAAACGAAGAGCAATGCGATTTTATTAATTCATCAGAGCGTTGGTCTGTATTAAACCATTTAGCGGCTGAAGTGTTTTTTTGACAACAAAAACTTTTGTGCACGTTGTGAAACGCAAACATAAGTTTGGATTGCGTTCCCTTTTAGGGAACTTGTGCGACTTCAGTTTAAAAGGCAGCAGATGCACACGGCCAATTTTGATTGAGACATTAAAGAGGATTAAATGACACAGCAAGCAGCTGGAAGAGTAAACTCTTTTTAAGACAACTTGGAACAGAAGAATATCTAGTGTTTGTGTTTTTCTCTTAGAGGTAGAAGACGTTTTATGTATGCCTTCCCTTGAATCCTTTTCATTCCTTCTAATCCTCAAACATATAAGTAAATGCAGGGAACCAAAGTGACACTAATATTTAGAACATTGCACAATGAATGTCAGCGGGTGATCGGTGGGCCCAGAGCTTTGGCCTGTTCACCATCCCGTCTCCCATAACAATTTAAGTTATGAGTTTCATAATCAAGGGCATTATCAGAAATAGGACTCTGAATGTTTTATTCAACACTGGAACCTTTTGGGATTAATCGTGGTCTTGGATGCTTTCCAATCGTATTGAATAAACTGAAGTGAAAATGACAGATGAGGCACAACATAGCGGGGCTCATGTCACGGCCCAGCGTTCAATTAGCTGTACAGTGTTCATGTACTACTTTGAACTACTATCCATAATCACAGTTTGCAAGCGTACAAATTGGAGAGTGAACCACACACTCAAGGTGATCCAAACTGCAACCCAACAGGTTTTACCTTGGGTGGAACATTTGTGTAGATCCTGAATTGACTCACTAATTAACAGTATATAGAAGGATAACAAAGAAGAAATAGTTAAACAAGTAAAAGATATTCTAGGTTTTGAAAACATGCCATTAAAACCGTATTCTGACTTGTATTCTCTGCACACAAGTCAGTTCTTCTGACAACTGGCATCTGTGACTTATATAAAAAAAGGGAACATTTAAATATATTTAAAACAAAACTAAAGCTACAAAACAAATCTTCTTCCTTGTCACTTGAGAGTAACCAGGGTCTGGATGTGTCTGTTCTTACGGAGACGAGTGCAAATGCAATGGCTTTTGCTGGCGGTCAATAGTTATCTTGTCGGTGTGTGTTCCTGGCTGGATATAAAGATCATTTATATTGGTAAAATAAATCTGTTAAATTAGCAAGCGTAACAGAATTAACATGGTGTAACAAAGAAGGGCTACACATATTCGATTTCAATTAAACTTGGGTCAAACTGACGCTGATAGTAAAACTTTTTTTTTTTTAATTGCTCAATTTATTGCAAAAATAACATTTACCCTTTGAGGGACTGTGAAGCTACAAAGGTGCAGAAAGCCTTGACAACCCATTTCGCAGTAATAGAGCTTATATGTTGGATTGCTGATAGGAATATCTTAAACAGAGATCTTAGTTTCCCCGTTCCAGGGTGTTTACGTCTCAGGCCCTTTCATCGACGTGTGAGGAGTGATAATGCAAAGATGCAAATGACTATATTTTGTGCATCGCTGCATCATGTGGTGCACATGACAAAGGAGGACAGAGGAGGAAACAACAACTACACCTGTAACGTGCTGTTTTTCTTTACCTCTTGCAATGCAAGCCTTTGCACTGTGCTTTGTGTTTGACTTTGCTTTTGTGTTTTTTACAAAGAAAGGAAAGCAGGTTTAACGTGAGGCTTTAGTGGCCTGTGTTTGTGGTTTTACCTGAGGCTCTCTTTAGCCCTCGTGGTGAGCCAGAAATCTTGTTTTCATAAAGATGTGTCCAGAAGGGAGTTGGAGAGGTGCTAAAGAGGTGTCTTTGCCAGGTCCTTTTTTTCCCCCTTTCTTTCCACCAATTATTTCTGGACATTATCTTGAAAGGGTTAGTGAGGGACTTGAAGAGGCAGAAGGTGTAGAGGTAATTTTCTAAATGGAAACTTTAAGCGGTGTGATTTATTGGCGATATGAAAGCTGTAATATGAGTATTAGACCAGTAGGGGCAGAGGGCGGAGGAGAGGGGGCTTTAGAGGGAGGGAGGGAGGGGGAAGGCGAGGAACGGGACATATATATGTTAGTTAGACAAAGGGCACATGTGAGAAGTGCTGAGCGCGAGTATCTTAAGGGAGATTAGTTTCTCCATTTTAGTGCCTGCTCATTCGCCTCAACTGAAGTAGACAGCTGTCATTCCAGCGGGTTTAAGAGGTTGTTAAATTAGACGCACACACAAGCACACAAAGACATATTCATCCATTTATGGGTAAGAGATTTATTTTCTTCTGGAAGATGGAACAATCGCTCCACTTTAAAGAAAGTCTGTGTTCTCTGTAAGTGTTGACACTTTGGACTGAAACCTTGAATTGTAGGACCAAAATGTTTTTAATAAAGAAAATAATGTTTGCAAAAGTGAGATTTAAATGTGGGCCATTTTTTTGTGGCATAACACACGTTAATGATATACATCATTAGTAATGGCATCAGCGACACAGAGATCTCTACTTACATTTTTCTAATGCTCTTCTTTTGCCATCAGCGGAGTGCGGTTCTTCAGTTATGAACAACGAAGGGATCCTTCTCTCTCCAAATTATCCGATGAACTATGACAACAACCACGAGTGCATCTACAGCATCCAGGTAACTAATCTGTTCATCTTAGCAGGAGCCTTTGGTACTAGATCACTATTAAAATCATTGGAGGTTGGTATTTACCTCCTCGTTGTCTACGTTCTTACCTCGGTCGAGAGGTCATGCTTATGGTTGTTTGTGTGCATGGGTGTGTGTGTGTGTCTGTGTGTCTCTCGATGGCTAATCAGCCTCGTATTTGCTGAGCTTGTTGATCGCTCAATGCATAATGAATCCTCATGGTTGTGCGTTAGTAATTTAGGGTTAATCACTTGTTTGTGTTGCCATCGTGACTGTGAGTGAGCTGAAGAGGGACAATTCATCGACTTTCAACTCCAATTTTCTTTGGAGGGGTCAAACCTGAAGAAGACCTCCACTGAGTGCACTTTTCTATTCGGTCAATACATCTAATTTGGATTGCATGTTTACTCTAGGTGCAAGCTGGAAAAGGCATCAACATCTCTGCTAGAACCTTTCATCTTGCCCAAGGAGATATACTGAAGGTGAACACACAAGCACACACGTTTGGATATTCCTTTGTTAGTCTTCATGCCAGCAGCGACGATGCCAACGCTCATGGCACCAACAGGACCATCTTGGGCTGGTTATTATATCCTATTTACATCTCAACTACGTTGTGCTGTCGTTGTTACAGATTTATGATGGTAAAGACAGCACGGCCCACGTTCTCGGGGCATTCACCGGATCGTCTATGTTGGGCCTGACGCTGATCTCCACCTCAAATCATCTGTGGCTGGAATTCTACAGTGATGCAGAAAGTACAGGGGAGGGATTCAAGCTGGTCTACTCCAGTAAGTGCTCACAGCTAATTGGCATAAAAGTCAAAAATGTCTTATGCAGATAAGTTTGTGTTCAACGCAAACAGGAGCGCTTTGCCTAAAGAACGCTGCAGCAGCATGTTTTGTTTGCAGCTATGAAATCCTGCTGAAAGCCTCACGATGTTTACAGTTATGACGGCTGGAAATCAATATAACTCAGAGGTTGGATACAATGAATAATGCATGAGAGTTTATTTTCTTAGACATCTACAACATATATATCAGATGGGCAACTTTCAAATTATACATCCGGACGATGACAGATGTTTTGAAATTGCAAAACGGGAAAAGAATCGCTTCGTAAATGGCTATTTTTAAGGGATTTGGCCATGCACACACTGCAGCCTTACAGGAGATAACTCATAACCGGGCGCACCTCGTTTTCCAGGTAATACTGCACATCGAATCCTGGTTAGTGTCTTATAAGGATAAGCTGTAAATATGTCTCTTCTACCACATCTTCATATCCCGCTCACCAAAATTGTGCACATAAATAAGAATGAATATTCTAAATATTAGCATTGAAACGGAGCTTAGGCAGATTGAGAAAAACAACACAATTTGCGAATTTCCAATATTGTTCCGTCTTGTGGATCTATTCCTCTTTTTATTTATTTATTAAATCTGGATGCGGGCTTAACAGGGTCTATGATATCTTGAGCTCATGAACAGAATACTAGAATTTGCCACATGTTAAGGGATATTATTTATTTATGTTCTTTTTGGGCTCTCAGTTGTTCCTCATATTCCATTTGACTTTTTAGGTGTATACACAATAAGGATTTTTTTTTCTCTTTCTAGGTTTTGAGTTGTCTCATTGTGAGGACCCAGGCGTGCCTCAGTTTGGCTTCAAGGTCAACGACCAAGGTCACTTCTCCGGGAGCAGCATCACGTACAGATGTGAGCCCGGATACACTCTGCATGGGGCTTCCACCTTGAAGTGCATGACAGGCGAAAGGAGAGCCTGGGATAACCCTCTGCCTTCTTGTATCGGTAAGCCTCTGGCTCTTTGTAGCCTTTTAACAACATTGAAAAGACAAACCTAGAAACGCATTCATTATAATGACGATTCATGATCCATACCAAGCAATTAAAACATACATTTTGTCGGATGTGAGCAAAAAAACATGGGAGTTTTGGGACAATTATCACTCAATGTTTTTCTCTTTTCTTTTCAGTGTATTTTCCAACATAATCTTAATTGCATGAAGCTGAATTATCTAACCAACTCTTGCAGGCTACCAAACAGTTCACTTGCTGCTTTATGCAAAGTCTCTGCTCACAGGACCTTCGTTCTATAATATTTAGAGTGCCGGTGGTAGCCAATTTTTTTTTTTTTGCTATTCCTTTGACCATTTGATCCATCTCCTTCCTTGCAGTGGGGGATTTACCGTCTGCCCACACACATGTACAGACACACACAGATCCAACCTCTCCGTGTCTTCGTGTTTCCATCTCATCCCTTATTGAGGTCATTATTTCTTGTTTGTTAACATTGTTTCATAAACACATTTCAATTGAAATGGTTTTCGCTATAGAGCACTGTGTCACATGACCTGCCATTTTGCATTTACCCTGAAATCCACTGGGACCCAAATACCCTGTAGAGCATAAGAATCTAATGAGGAGTTAAAATGCATCTTTAGCGCAATTCTAATTTTCAATTACCTCGTTTTTCCCTTCCCGCTGGTCTTTTCTTAGCTGATTTGTTACATGGTAATTGCTTTATATATATTCCTTAGTAGTTTTTTTTACCATTTTGTATTACTCTTATATCCATTTGAATATTTTATTTTGGTTTCTGGTTGCTTACTTTTTTTCTTTTGCTTAAATAAAGTTTGAATGCCTAAAGTTCTTTATTGAGGCTTCTCCCACCCGGTAATTGGCTGAATGGTTACATTGTCTAATCAAGCCCAAACGAATGCTAAGCCGGCCCAGATTGAAGCACAACATAAAAGCAGCGACTGTGCCCCAGATGTGAGCATAAGCATACCCGCATTCCCAGTGTTAAGAGCCCGTCTTTCTTCATGCGGACTGTGAACTTTCTTATTATGGATTCAGCCTAATACGTCTCCCTCCTTCTCACTATCAATAATGAAAGACTCATAAAACCACCAGCTGATATTCTCTGACTTTATATTTTAGCAGTGACACGCCGTGACCCCAGCTAACCTCCAGTCTTAATATTAAATTGCTTCTTATGATTGTATGTAGTTTTTCCTTCTTTTCTGCCCTTGGTTCCCTCCTTTTTATCTCCATTTCTCCCATTCTCTTCCGTTATTTTCTGTCCCAACTCCTAATACTGGAGATAATATATTCCAGTGACTGAGGGAGGGAAGCCTGAGGGAGGAGGATCATGGGGAGGGAGCGGAAGCAGAGGGTGGATGAAGATTGTGGAAATATATAATGGAGAGCGAAAAGAGAAAGGGGAATTGTTTTCTGTTATATAATGTGTGCTGGTTTCTTTAGGGATGAATGCAGGATCAGCACTTTCCCTCATCCTCTCTCTGTGCGTGAGAAAGAGTGTGAAAAACAGAAGGACACAGATAAGGAGTTGGCTTCTTCTTTTAATTTGTAATTTGTCTCCGTGGTGATGGTTTAATCACCGCTCAGTGGCTACTGAGGTGCACCTAGTGGATCGGAAGGCCTTGATAAACAGTTGCCACAGACCGATGGCTGGTTGATGCACTTGAAGGCACACACACACAATCCTCACTGGTTTTGCTGAAAGGAAACTTGTAACATTGTGAAAGCTGTGCTAATGAGACAGAAACAATACGGTGACATTTCTATAGATCGTTACATACTAACAGTCTTTGGCGTCTCTTACCTGTGTGTGTGTGTGTGTGTGTGTGTGTGTGTGTGTGTGTGTGTGGTTCCTGTAGCGGAGTGCGGTGGCCGTTTTAAAGGCGAATCTTCAGGGAGGATCCTTTCCCCCGGGTACCCTTTTCCTTACGACAACAATCTGCGCTGCACCTGGACCATCGAGGTGGATTCAGGAAACATTGTGAGGTAATTTGGAGGAGCCAAAACCTTTCCGTTAGGAACCTTTAAATAACTCTGTCAAAACCTTTAGTGCCCTCCTTGGCAGTTTTCTAAAAATGTGGAATGTTTTAAAATGAATTCAGAGGAAAAGCTTCTCATACGTTACATCAGACCATAAACAAGAAAAGGTGTTTAGAATAGTTTCTCTCAGTAAGCATTGCGTCTCACACCAGGAGGAAGGTTGTCAGGTTGTAATGGTTTGGTAGCTCTCTTTAATGTCACAAAGAGATACGGTTCTTATTATAAACAGTAATTCATTGTGTTTCCTGGCAATTGCAGTCTTCAGTTGTTGGCCTTCGACACTGAAGCCAGCCACGACATGCTGAAGATTTGGGACGGACCTCCTGAGAATGAAATGTCTCTGTCGGAGCTCAGCGGGTCTCTGCTGCCCGAGAGAATCCACTCCACACTAAACACGGTCACTGTTCAGTTTGAGACCGATTTTTACATCAGCAAGTCGGGATTCGCTATTCAGTTCTCAAGTAAGTACCGTAATGTGCTTCCCCTTCGTCCTCCATTCGCTCCTCTTTCTCACGGTGCCATTTCTGTCCCCGCTCCGTCTCTCCTCTCTCTGTCCAGGCTCGGTAGCTACGGCCTGCAGAGACCCCGGCGTGCCAATGAACGGCAGTCGTAGTGGAGACGGACGTGAGCCGGGGGATTCCGTGTCCTTTCAGTGCGACCCAGGATACGAGCTCCAGGGGGACGACAAAATCACCTGTATACAAGTGGATAACAGATACTACTGGCAGCCCAGCCCGCCTGTCTGCATAGGTGAAGAGTCCAGCTTTCATGCATGTGTAGAGGGACACACAATGGATGTCCTGCATACACAACTGCAGTGGTTTAGGGCTGCAGTACCTTGCTCAAGGACGCGATAATGAAGATGACGAAGATAATGATCAGTGATCTTTCATTATTCGATTATCCTTCCAACTTCTCCCGCTTTACCGCTGCTAAGAAATGACATAAGTGCAATTTACTAAAAACAAGGCAAACGATGCATGGTTGAGTGTCGGAAAAACAAAAAGAAATAATAGTATTTCAAGACATTGTTTTCCTTTTTTCTCTCTTGTCTCTGTCTCCATTTTGTTATTAATCTATTCTATAGGAGCACTAACTTCATTATTACGTATGTTATTTTAAGACTTTTTCCAAATAAATGTGTACCTTTGCTTATGTTCTCGTCGTAGCGCCTTGTGGAGGAAACTTGACTGAATCCAGTGGGTTTATTCTGTCTCCCAACTACCCACATCCCTACCCGCACTCCAAGGACTGTGATTGGCTCATAGCTGTCAATTCTGACTACGTCCTGTCACTCGCTTTCATTGGGTAACCTTCTTTATTACGTACCAATCGCAGTCCACTGACAATTCTTTCAGTAAAACATGTATCTGCCTTCCCTTGATCTCCACATCTGTGTCTCTTTCTTAATCCATTTCTAGTTTCAACATTGAGCCAAACTATGACTTCCTGTATATCTATGACGGTCCGGATAGCAATAGTCCCCTGATTGGCAGCTTCCAGGACAGCAAACTCCCGGAGCGGATAGAGAGCAGTTCAAACACCATGCATTTAGCATTCCGCAGTGATGGGTCTGTTTCTTACACTGGCTTTCACCTGGAATATAAAGGTAATATAACCTCCCATTCATCCCACCCTTCTTATATACTGTGTTTAGAGCTGGGATTGCTTTAAAGAGAAAGTGCACAAGCCTGTTTGCTGGGAGATTCAGGGGAACTTTTAACAGCGGTGACACATTTCCTATGAGTATCATAAGGAAACTCGTATAAAATATATTCGCAATTACCAGCATTGGCCCAGTGTCTAACAGCTTATGTCTTATGGACTAAATGTAACCAGACACTTGTGCATATTTTTATGTTGACGTGATATCAGTTAATGCACATTACTACATCACATCCAAAGCAAAGTAAATACAATTTTAAAATGGATAAATGAGTACATATGTAATCAGGTAAACGGTTACTGTCTTTTCTCAGCCAGCCACTCTTAACTCCCTCCTCGTACTTCAGAAAACATCTTTATGAGCTCTGGTCAAAAGTGAGGTCCCCTTAATATTTTTCCAGAAGGAAGCTACGAGACGTTGAGCACACAGGAGGCACATTCTGAAATTTTCTTGCAATTGGTTGCAAATATGGCCACTAATCTTTAAGGCAGCGGAGGGGCAAAGCCATAATTCATTAGGTTTATGTTGCATTCAAAAGTCGGGGGATGAGGTTATCGTACTTGCTACATCTCTGGCATAGGAAGCTAAGTGAAACCGACTGTTTTAAAGGCCATCGTGGTGCCTTTCTCATTTGATTATTGCAAGAGACATAGTTATTATTAATTTGACTTAATATTTATGCGTGCCTGTCACATTCCCTTTGCCTCATCCTCCGTCCCACTTACTCACCCGTTTTCCTTGTCTCTGTTCCAGCCAAGCTGAGGGAGTCATGTTTTGACCCAGGTGTTGTTTTGAACGGGACCAGGCTGGGATCCGATTATAAGCTCGGCTCCACTGTCACCTTCTATTGTGAGGCTGGATACGTTTTGCAGGTACAGAGAAAAAGTTGACGTCTGGACAAATGGATGGTTCGTTGCTTGGTTGAATGTTTATTTGCTTGGTCCGTCGGATTGATGGGTCAGTATGTTTTTTGATTGTTTGATTGTTTTCTCTTTTTTGGATGATTGGTTGATTCATCTGTGGGACAAGTGCTTGATTGGTTCGTTGGTTGCTTAGTTTGTTAAAGTTATCATGTTGGTGGGTTGTTTTTTCTCCAGGGCTATTCTACCTTGACCTGCAGCATGGGAGATGACGGCAGGCCTGGATGGAACAGGGCGTTGCCCAGCTGTCAAGGTAACACACACTAAAACACAGGCTGGCCTAAAGCAAAGCGCATCTTAATTCTTACCTGTAGTTCTATTTCATTGTAGACAGTCTTGGTGTAAGTAGCGAGACTATGACGCTGTGTACTATATGGACTGTATATGTGTCTTTCTGTCTCCAGCTCCCTGCGGAAGCCGTTCCACAGGAACTGAAGGGACTGTTCTGTCCCCAAACTTTCCCAGAAACTATACGTCAGGACAGAACTGCGTCTACTCTATATCTGTACCAAGGGAGTTTGGTGAGTTTATCCTCAACAAGCATAAAATTTGATGCCTTTTTACATTCAACAGGATCTTGTGTTAGTGAACATCCTCTAAGGATATTTTACACAATTACATTCAGTACCGGTATCAATCTATTGGTCCACTCGAGTGAAAACTACATTAGAAAAGATGGTACTATTATTGTAATATTAAAAATTGAAGGTAAATTGAAAGACAACAGTGAAGAACAAATCCTGTGATCACCATTTTTGTTGACACGTATTCTCCTATTGTTCTTTCACTCAGTTGCATTAACATTTTTTGACTTTTAATGAAGAACCTTTGGTTTTTAAACCACTGAAAAGCTTTTACACATGATCAAAGGATGCTTGCTGGCCATTCATTTGATTGCAGGTCAGGATTTCTTTATTAAAGTGACATTTACAGATTAGGCTTTTTTTAATCTCGCTGCATTTGATCCTTAAGCCAGACATGAATGGGGCATTATAAAGATCTGAATATCTTAAATAATTCTTCATATTAAGTAAGGCAGTGTTGAGAATATGAGGGCATTAGAGGAAATTAAGGCTGGACGGGATGCTGTCAGGAAGTTTCTTGTTAAAATCATCATCTGTTGAAACACTCAATGCCAATAACTTTTCTAGCTTTTTCTGGAGCTTTTCACTACATCAAGTTGTCACAAGCAATTTATAATTTGTATTATTGTGTCATGGAGATTGATTGGTTGATGGCAAGCTCAGTAGCAGTGCTGATTACATAGCGCTTTGGAGTACATGGAAATAGATGGACACAGTCTTCTTCAGCAAATACCGTTGAAAACTCTGAATTAAGCCAGAGAACGGACATTAAATTGGGAATTGGGTTGTCAAAGTACCGAATGATTTCATTCTCAAGAGGCGCAAAGTTGTGTCTCATTTTTTCCATTGACTTATTGGCATCTGAATTATTGGTTGAATGAGTATAAGAATAACGCCCTCATCGCGTGGATATGATGTCCAAGCAGCGTTCCCCGAGGCTGATGTTGGTTGCTCTCCCATTAGATTTGCAGCTTTTGGACTGGAAAGGACTCCAAAGGAGTTGAGGGTCACCGGCTCAAGGTTGCAGTTGTGCCAGTGCGATGATCAGAAACATTGTAAACCAGCCACTGGGCGGAGCGCTTTCTGATGTTTCACCTTTTGTACGAATGGCTCCTTTAGCCTTGACACCAGGTTGGGGGAACCCTTTCCGTTGCCGCCTGTTGGATGAGGACGTGGCCGAGGACACACACTCAGGCAGCTCATCAGCAGCTGCCCGGGGATCGATGATGTCGAGAGCTGACGTTTGAGGCCTTTCAAATGATCAGTGCAACATTTCAATCAGTCTTGTGGATTGCCTTACATTTTTCTGGAACGCATTACACCCCGGGGGACTGCACGGATCTACCGGTGTGTGTGTGTGTGTGTGTCTGTGTGTTACTGCACTGCAGCAGAGGGATTTCACTATCGATGAGCCCTGTGGTTAACACTGTGTGGGACGGCACTGATGAGATCATTTCTCTATGCACGTGTGTGTGTCTTTGGTGTGTATGTATTATCTCACTATGAGAGTCTATGTTAATGGTTTCTTTGCGTGAATGTGGATTTTTGTGTCTTCCAGCCCAGAATCTGGGCCTCGCAGCCTGTCAATATTACAGTGGGCGAGATGGAAACGTTAATCACTCTAGTTTCCTTGAAAATCTATAGTCAGTGGGTGCTTTTAGGTATTTCTGCTGACAGGCACTATTTTATTATTTTTTTACGACCACTCAACACAATCCCCTTACTCATGTTCACGTATGGCTTCGAAACAAGAGGATGGATTCTTCTTTCCCTTCGTTGACAGTTTCTCTTATTTTCCGATTGCTATTCACCACTCTAGGGAACCTTGGCCAATGGCAATTAAAAACCAACTGCCTTGCTTCATTATTTTTTACAGAGAATGGGGTTTTATATGTAAAGATACAGTGTATCTGTTCTGAGTCAGAATGGTGTTTGCGCAAAATGTGGTGCATGCTTTGAAAGAGCTCCACAGAGAGAAAAGCCTTGTAAAAAGTGCCCGTTGACCTTCGTATAGCCAAATATCCTTGACATTGTTCAGATTTAATCCTTTTACACGTCAGCTGGCAAAGAGATGCAGAGGTAATACGTCTGAATGTGTGTGTCTGTGTGGTTGTGGGCAGGTAGGGTGTGTATTTCCCTGTGTGTTTGGAATCAGTGAGCTGGCTTAATTGAAGCTGAAACGTCTCTGAAAGCAGTCGGTACCTCTTACATACTGTTTATCAGCGGCAGCCGCTGTATGAGCACGGTGCACAGCAGCGGCAAAGACGACAGGGCGGAGAGTCACATGCACTGAAATGCACCTCAGACCCCTCGACACACACACAACGCACAACGAGGGAAAGCAACCTCATTCTCTGCTCAGTTAGACAATGCGTCTTTTCATAGTAAATCGTTTACCTCATTTCATGAAAAATGCTGTCTGCCTTTTGTTTCTTTCATGGCAACACCAGATGCGTGGTTAATATGCAAAGGGTCTTACGTTTTAAGGAAACTAATAGTAACTTTGAGGACGCAGTCGACAACCAAGAAAGACAGTTGTACTAGATATGGAATCAGGCTTCGGCTGCAAGCTGCCATCGCCGCTGCACAGTAGAATCCATGCTTTGGTCTTGGTTCAATGCACTGCAGCAGTCTTTTTACCTTCTGTTATACTGAGAGAGTTAATCATGGGTTTTGGGACATGAGTTTGACAGGCTACCACATAAGCCTTTATTTTGCTCCACCTGTTTGTAATACTGTTGAAAAGACAGAAAGGTGCATGATAATGATGAGGTTGTGCTTCGACTATTGAGTGTCCTGAAATGTAATTTTCTGCCAGTATGCTTCAAATAGAGGTAGACACTGCAGCTTAATATGACTTAGATCAGGTTATACAGGTTCATTTTTATCATAGAATAATCATTTGCCGCCATTGAAGTGCGTTCTCTTTATCTGTTTTATTTTTGTCCCATTTTGTCTCCAGTCCTCTTTGGTCAGTTTGTGATGTTCCAGACATCTCTAAATGATGTGGTGGAAATCTACGATGGACCAACTCAACAAAACACGCTACTGTCTTCTCTCTCAGGGTCCCACTCTGGTAATGATCCACGGCGAGATGTTTAGATGTATGGACGGACGGACGGATGGACAATCTGAGCTCTTAACCAGTTACTTTTTTTCTGTCTCCCCAGGTGAGTCTCTACCTCTGAGTACGGTAAACCAGATCACAATAAAGTTCACCACGGTCGGACCAGAAACTGCTAAAGGATTTCACTTCGTCTATCAAGGTGAGCCAATAGCAAGGTTTTCTGTGATTTCTACATACCATGCCACAGTTAGATTTATTTATAGTTTTTTATTTCTTTTTTGTTAATTACGCTTTCATCATAGTTTTTATTTAACTAGAAAAGGCACATTGATGTTACACATTCATTTTCCGGGGACGTCATTGCCAAAATAGGAAGCAATAACACTACATTTGGCGTTACTATCAATGCATTATCCTTTATTTGAATGATTTGCTGTTTCTGCAGCCGTGCCGAGGACCAGCTCCACCCAGTGCAGCTCAGTCCCCGAGCCTCGCTTTGGGAAGCGCCTCGGGAATGATTTTGCGGTTGGCTCGCTGGTGCAGTTTGAGTGCAACCCTGGCTACGTTCTGCATGGCTCTAATGCCATACGCTGTGAGAGTATACCTGACAACCTGGCCCAATGGAATGACACCCTGCCGACATGCATGGGTAAATAGCAAGCCAAATGAATGGTCAGAAGAAACAGTAACATCGGACAGCTCAAACGCAGACATGGTTTTGATGTTACCCGGGCCTTTGGCTCCTCCTCTGCAAAGGGAGAGATGGCTCGACAGAGGCTCTTTTCTTCCAAGTTTTAAACTCTGCCTCTCTTTTTTTTCCTTCGCTCCCAGTCCCCTGCGGGGGTGTGTTGTCCTCTCGACGTGGGACCATCCTATCGCCTGGATATCCGGAGCCCTACGACAACAACCAGAACTGTGTGTGGAAGGTCTCCGTTCCAGAGGGGGCTGGAATACAGGTAGCACCTGCAATCCGGCCGCTTTCTGGCTGACCTGCGTATCATTGGCTTAAAAGCTGAGCAGGCAGGACGTTAAGTAAGATAAGATATTGTTAGAGGGATGAATGGATGGATAGTTTGTGAGCGAGGGAGCATCCGGAGCTACCCAGATAGGATCTAATCGTGATAGATAATGCCTGAATGCGTGTCTCAGCAGCTAAACTCTGCTCTCACGGACAAGTACAAAGGCAAAGATGCTTCTGAGAGAGAATAGACACCTCACAGCGTTACAAGTGAAGCATCCGCCTTAATGTTGCTCGACAGATTGACCAGCATCATGTGTTTTACGTCCTTTTTTTTAATTGTTCATGGAAGAAAATTGACCATTGTATCAGATGCAGTTGAATTTTAAGATGCTTTTGTTTATTAGAAATGATGTTTTTCACTACCTCTATACCTGTCTCTCCAGATACAAGTTGTGAGTTTTGCCACTGAGCATAACTGGGACTCTTTGGATTTTTACGACGGTGCTGACAACCACGCACCAAGACTGGGCAGCTATTCTGGTAAATATTTTCAAAAAACACTTTTATTATATTATCTCCCAGCAGGAGTAAAAGAAAACATCCAATGGTACCTGCGTATTTATCTGTAATTCCTTGCTAGACCAATAGGAATATTTTGTTGCATTATTAATTAGTTTTCTGACACCGATGTTCAAAAATAGAGAATGAAATGTAAAAACCACGCCATCATTCACCTTTCTTAATGCTCCCAAAATATACTGGACTGCCATTAGGTACAACTTCAGCTGTAATGAGGGGAGTAAAACTCACAATACTTTTGGGGGGATATTTACTGATTATATGAAACAACTTTATAAGAGTTATACATTTATGCATGCGTGTTGTATATTTTACTGCTACATGCAGAGGAAAACTACAATTCGTCTTATATTTTCCTCCAGAAAGAAGTAAAAATACAATGTGTCTGTTTGAAATATAAAATGTAATTCCCGGTGCTGCTGGAGATTCTCCTCAAGCAAATCATGTGTTCAGTTCCTCCGGATTCATTCCGCCTCGCATCTCAAGACACCCTCCACTCTGGGGACACTAATGCTGCTTTTATGGAAGCCAAGTGTGATTATCTGCTTATGTTCAATAATCTATGGAAATGCTTTACATCTGTACTGCAAACTGGATAAGAGATTATATTGTTGGCAGTGAAATGAAAGGGCTGTATTTCCACACAGTCACGATCAAGTCATAACAGTAAATACATGCAGGGTGAAACAACTGCTAATTAATCTTGTCACATATCCCCAAAATAAATGTCATTTATCCACGCAGTTAATTATTTGTCATTTATTATTGATTCAACCATTTTTTATTTTCCATTATGATAATGACTATGATTTTCTCATAGAGAAATGAACACGGCCAGCAGGGGGGCCACAGACTGTTGAAAGAAACCACTAATTAATTTCCCTCCCAACAGGCATCCAATAACATCCCTTGGCCTAATTCACTGCTCATTCAGAGGAATTTCTCTTTTAACTTTGATAAGTTCGCTGCAACTGAGCAAAGCGCAACATGCAAGTCAAAGGAAGCTCACTGGCCTCGCAGAAAATGTTGAACCTCCACACGTAGTTGTTATCAGAAGTGACCCACCAGTGCTGCTTTTTCAAGCGAGGCCATAGTATTTTCACAGATAAAGAGATTAAAGGCCCATATTCCTTTACATTAAAGTGCATCATCTGATGGGATCACACTGTTGCACAGTGCCAGCTTCGCTTCAGGAGAACATTACCACTGTTTTTGACTTTGTACTTAATCTTTCTACGCTAAGTAGGTCAAGCCAACATTTGAAAAGTGCTTTCAAATAAAACAGATGTCTCATATAAAAGTAATTCCCTTCTCCCTCCTTTGAGAACACTTCACCAAAATGTGTGTTTTGTTGTTTCCTTCGCTGTCAGATAACCAAGATTTTTTGCTTTCAAGACCCAGTTGGAAAATAATAAAAATGTAACCATTGTCCTCTGTTGCTCTCTATCTCTTTCCTGGCTTTTAGGCACGACCATCCCCCCTCTCCTGAATAGCACTTCTAACAACCTCTATCTCAGCTTCAGCTCTGATATTAGTGTCTCAGCTGCTGGTTTTCACCTGGAATATACAGGTAACATATTTCTGTTTTGTATACAGCTTTATCTGTGGTGTTATACGCACAGTATGCACATATAGATGGAAATACTGCTGAATGAAAACTCTATCCCGATGTTTCTTATCAGCCATTGGTCTGGAGTCATGTCCCGAGCCGCAGACACCCAACTATGGAATAAGACAAGGAGACAGATTCATGGTGGGAGACGTAGTACAGTTTTCATGTGAACAAGGATACTCTCTTCAGGTAAAAATACAACCTGTTTGTCTTGATTGTTTGAATTGAAGGAGAACCATTTTTAGAACACACACACACTAGATGTTGAAGTTGTTTAATGCAAAACAAAAGCCAGATGTGTAGGTGGAATCTTCAAAGCCTGCTCGGCTGTTCTGAAGGGCCACCACTCACTCTTTTTATCCCCTGGGTGCACAAACCAAGAACTACTTAAACTATGAATCAGAAAGAAAGCCGGCTCTCGGGTGGGTTTCCCTCTTACTCAACATTCGACTCTGTTGTGGTTTGCACAACTCTTGAATAATGTATGCCTCCTGTGTGGTCTGCCCGTTTTACTTCATACGGCTCTGATGGAGGTTTCCCTTGCTCACCCTTAATAATTGATTATTAATTAATCCAGATCATTGGAGAGTTGGTAAAACACTACCAAACACTAACCCAATTATTTATTATCTATGGAAGAGTCACAGCTGTTGATGTCTTTTTTGCTTTCACATCTCTAGGGAAATGCTCATATCACCTGCATGCCTGGACCGGTTAGAAGATGGAACTACCCTGTGCCACTGTGTCTTGGTAGGTGCCCTCCAAAAAAACGACAACGCACGCACGCACGCACGCACGCACGCACGCACGCACACACACACACACACACACACACACACACACACACACACACACACACACACACACACACACAGCCTGGGTGTACTGAGATATTTGCTGCAGGTATGATCCAATGAGTCTCCATTTACAACCCTGCCTCTCTGGAAAATAAGCTGTTTGATCTTTTTGTGATAAGCTTATTTTTTCAGCATTCTGTGCACAACATGATTAAGCTTTTAAACGGATGCATAGCAAAGTCAGAGTGTGTCATAAGCATGCAGAGTGTGTGCCAAAGCATTAGCATCCACTGAGGCAAACCAGAGGAAACATACCCTGGACAAACATCTATTTGCACAATGGTAATTTAGTCAAGAAGGGAATTTATTTAAGATTCAGGAAACCGATGTGTTATTCAGAAAGATGCAAATCGTCAGGTTGAAGATACTCACTTGTTCATTCAACGGCAGCAACTTAAAACCTGCTCTGTCTAATGCACTCTTACATGTGTTCCTTTTAACACTGAAACACTGTTTCCCTTTTTGTTCCCCCGGTCTGCGTTGTGTGTGTCTTTTTGTGTGTCACCAGCCCAGTGTGGGGGGTCTATGACAGATGTGAGTGGAGTGATTCTAAGTCCTGGTTTCCCTGGCAACTACCCCAGTGGATTGGACTGCACATGGACGGTCAATTTACCAGTTGGCTTTGGTAAGAAACACTTTGAACTTGAGTAAGAAATGGTTTGTGTGAGTGCGTTCTATCGGTTTTCTCTGTCTGTCTTATGTGCCCCTCTTCATGCATCCATGAATAGTGTTGATTGATTCTTTTAATTACTCACCCACACATGCACTCAATCAGTGTTACCCACTTATTTAATGGCCGTTTGCAGGTGAAGCATCTACAAATGCTTTTATTGCCGGCCTCTCTGTCCGTCAACTTTTGGATAATTGCTTAAAATATCGAAACTTTTCTCAGGTATCCACCTCCAGTTCCTGAACTTCTCCACTGAGGCAATTCACGATTACTTAGAGATCCGCAGTGGAACGCTGGAGATGGGCTCGGTCATTGACCGGTTCAGCGGTCCGGTCATCCCGAAGCCTCTTTTCAGCACCACCCACCAGACCAGCTTCTTCTTCCACAGTGACTACTCACAAAACAAGCCGGGGTTCCACACCACTTATCAAGGTAAATGCTGCGTCTCTACAAGCCGCTCTCCGACACGATGTGTGCACTGATCATTTGACAAGTGAAGAAAGCGAAAAGCGGACGTCTGTCTGTGCTTTTGCGTCGCAAAACACAGCGACTGAAAGGTGTAAACCTGTTGTTTAGGATTACTTTTCTTACTTCATGTCTCGGGAGCGACAACTGACAATATTATGAACTTTTTCCAGATGACCACAATAAAATCTCTTGTCACTAAAAAGCTTTTCAATAGCATTTTATTTATTCATTACGACAAATCTTGTTAATAGCCCAAATGTGTTCCGGTGGATTCCATTTATCCATCTGCAAATTTACAGTGGCTGATGAATAATATATTTTATCTTTTGACAAGGGGATTGGGTTTTAAAACAGAAAAACAAATGTGAACACAGCATTCTCTTGTTGCAACAGATGTTTTTTTCCACTGATGTATTTCAGTCACATCCCCGTCTTAAATCAAGTAACTAAAACTGTTTTAATACGATTTTGGTTGTAGCTCCCCCCCATGTTACCTGCCAGTATTATTTGTGATTATGGCTGCAAGTTGCAGTTAGTCTTCATCTGAATCCTGAGGAATTCTAGCTAGTTTTCTATGACACAGACTTGTTTTATACTCGGTGTTGGATGGACGGATTTATCGTCTCTCACTGTGAACGATTTTAGTTGTTCTAAGTTTGGCTATTTGTCTTGCCTGACCTGGCTTGTCGTCTCTGCAGCCTACCAGCTCCAGAGCTGCCCAGACCCTCGGCCCTTTCGAAACGGCATTGTGATTGGCACGGATTTCAGTGTAGGGATGACGGTGTCGTTTGAATGTCTGCCCGGATATTCTCTGATCGGAGAGGCTTCCCTCACATGTTTACATGGAATCAGCAGAAACTGGAATCACCCACTACCGCGATGTGAAGGTAATAATGATAATAATACGAATCTATTACAATGTAAAAAAGGCTGTGTTCCGTATGTTTACAGCTACATGTGAAATTACCCTGCATGTATTGGGAAGGGAATACAGACAGTGTTGTGTCCCTTCATTGTTTTTACTTTATTGAATGATGCAAATTTCACTTAAGAGTTGTTTAAAAAAAAAAAAAGTTTTATTTTAAGTGGGGCCCTCATGTGCCCAGATGCTAAGCAAAAGTGATATACGTGTGCCTGGTAAACAGTTATTCTGTAACCGATGCCATATCTGTTATGTTTTCATTCATACCTGACCAAACCATTCTGAAAGAAATCTAAAAATAACCATTACATTTTCATTAATTTTTCCTTTTTTTTTAAAATAGTGTCATCATTTGATATTGCACGTAATGCCGGGGAGCATATCATTAAACAATATTATTCTACACTCATTTAAGGACCCTTAATCTAGAAAACTGTGAATAGTCTGTCCAATAGCTCTCAGGCAGAGTAGCATGACTCCTGTGAAGAGCAACTACACTCCCGAGGAATACCTGCTCTGCAGAACCAAAAGAGTTCAATTTGTTGAAGGCATTAAGGTTTTGTCCAGCGGTCATTACATCACTGATTAAGACGTTTCCTCTCTCAGTCATCCACATAATTACTAAAGCTCCACAATGGTAATGTTCATTTGCATTTGTAAGTGTAATTCTGTAAATCTTCTGTCTCACAGCTCTTTGTGGTGGCAACATCACATCGTTAAATGGAACCATTTACTCTCCTGGTCACCCGGAGGAATACCCCAACTTCCAGGACTGTGTGTGGAGTGTCAGAGTTCCTCCTGGTCACGGCATTTACATCAATTTCACTGTACTGAGCACTGAGCCCGTATATGACTACATTACTGTCTGGTAAGTGTTATTGTCTTGTTTTATCCACATCTTTACTGCAAATCACTGAAATGTTCATTCTCAGTGTGTGTGTCTGCTCATCAGTTGTTACCACCTCTTCCAACTTGATAAAAACATTTTTAAATAAAGATTGTCCAACAATGTGGGGAGCTTCTGCGTCCCAGCATCTCTCTGACACAGGATGTCGTGCTATTTAACATCTCGTCAGAGCTGGCCTCTAATTTCATGAATTCCTGTAAGAGTAACTATGACTACAGACCTCTTTCCCTGAATATGAAGCTCCTCATATAGTTCCCTCTTGTCATGTTTTATCCATCTATCTATACCTATAAGTCTCTCCCCTTTCCTCAGTACCTCAGTACCAGTATTCTATACGTCTCTTCATATTCTTCTTAGGTAGAGAGACATTTTGTCAATGCAAAATGTTTAAACAAGTGATTGGACCCTGTAACATGGTTATCTGCAAGTTCTCGCTGCGAGCAGAAACACGCATGGTTGCTGTGCAATATATTTCCATGGTTGCCACATTGCTGCCCTTCTCTATAGCTACAGCTCGTTTGCTATAAATAGACGGCGTGGTGCAGCATCAACAGTTTAGAAACATCCTGGCATACAGGCAGGGCGAGGCAGGAAAAAAAAAAAACCCAACAGCAGCAGCACAGTTTGCTCTTGATACATTTCCATTTATTTTTAGAGCAACAAAGAGGGCCAAATGTCTGTCTTGCACGTTTGTTAGTCTGACCTGATGTAAGCTCTGTCAAGCTTCCAGATTTCTAGGTTTGGCTGGTCCCATAGCCTTCAGGAAGCTCTTTAAACTTGCTATAAAAATACATCCCTTTTATATAATTAGAAAGTGCAGCACAATGTACTCATGCCAAACACGTACCTGGATGTATCCATATGGACAGTATATCAATATAAAAGGAATTGCTTTAATCCTTTTCTTCCCGTCCTTATTCTATACCCCGAACACACGATCCCATCACAGGACCTGAGGTCACGCACAATACATCTGGTAAAGTTTAGCTTCAGTAAAACTTTAGACGTGAACAAGGCCGTGGGTGCTGAGGCGTGTCCTTTTCCAGTAGGGATGTAGGCCCTTACTGCCGCATGCAGCCTGCCTATCTCACACCCCGACACTGCTGACGTGGTGGCCGCCCACCTACACACGACTCCATGAATTGGTCGCACAGCGTGTTACTGACCCCGCTGTCAGTTGGAAATAGTGAACAAAGAAAGAGAAAGCAACCGCACGCGGAAAAAAAAAAAACCTCACAATGTGAGTCACACAGACACAAAGTCGGCTCCCTGCGGAGAGGAGTGCGAGTAGCAAAGGTGTGATTTTCACAGCAGTCTTCAAAGTCCGGAGCCGGCCAACATGACAGTTGGTTAGTCTGCTAATTGGCCTCATACAGCGAGGCTTATGGCAGGATTCCATTGTAAGGTTTGACATATATGTCACCATTGTTACCTAGTGATACTTCACACACTAAAGACTTTTCTCTACTCTGAGTTGCCATAATGTGCCCATCAGTAGTAGCATGCGTGAGCATCATCAATAAATCATCAGATCAAAGTAATGAATGAAACCTCTCTAACTGAAGCACTCAGTGGGAATCAGCACAGCGGATGATTCCTTACATAACATGACAGGTATAATTGCCGTCATCCAAAAACACTTAACAGCAGAGACTAATCAGTCCATTTCATTTCACAATGATACTTTTTAATCAGTGAAAACAGTGTTCTGACAGCTGCTGGGTTGGCCATTAAAGGTGAAATATGCTCAGGATGTTGCACAGAGCCTGGCCTGCGAGTTGACAGATGTCATCCTGTCTGCCCTCTGTGGTAATTGTGTAACTTTTCACAAATGCCGGGCTGATATTAATGGGTAAACTAAAGCCAGGTCTACAACAAGACTCCCATTTGTTATTATTATCTAACTGTTGGCAGTTAGATCAATATTTATGAACTTGAGCATCCCAAAGAAAGAACAGGGGAGCCACGGTTTTGAAACGAGTTGTCATCAAGAGGCAAAAAGGAGCCGCTCTTTGGTAAGTAATGTGGAATCTGAGTATGCAGGGGTTATATGTCTCAATGATTTCTGGGACATTGTTGTTTGGATTGTTCGGGGAGCGAAGATGAGCCCATAGCCATGCAACAATCACCGTGGATGCCGGTACGTTGTCACACATAAAGTCTCCTCTTTCTTTGTTTGTGGCCTCCCAGAAACCATTTCCTTGTCACAAGTAGCCATTTTGCTGTCAGAGAGGAGGGTGATGATTTATTCAAATTTTAATTTAGGTTGACTTTTCTCTTGTGTGTGTTTTTAAATCAAGACCACTTCCAATTGCTTATGAGTCTGTAGTCATTGAGCACTCCCCTCGTGACACTGCATGTCTGCGTGTGTTTCTTCCTCTGTAGGGATGGACCTGACCAATCATCCCCTCAGATTGGCCAGTTCAGTGGGAACACGGCTTTGGAGTCTGTTTACTCGACTTCCAACATCATCCTCATCAAGTTCCACTCCGACTTCTCCGGCGCCGGCTTCTTCGTCTTAAGCTATCACGGTGAGACACCACAGCAGAATTGATTTAGCTGCAGATTTAGCGATGGAAACATTTGATTGAGTTTGTTAAGTTGAAATACTATATTTTCATTACCTTTCTCTGACGTTTTTTAGTTGTTGTCCTGAGGTGTAGCGGTAAACCTGTAATGCAGTTGCAGTGTGAGCATCGACCTGTTTGTTGTTGTGTTCGACTCTCTGTAGCTTCATCATCATTAGGTTCCACTCACACCTGCTTCCTCTGACTCATTGTGACTCGTGAAGTTTGGTCCTTCACTGGAACTTTTCGTTTTGGTCACATTGGCCACAGAAATAATATACAGAGAGAGAGAAAATAATGCATCATTCGGTCGTGCTCATATCCACTTCCATTTTCTTGGTTTAAGAAAATTGCTTTTACGGTCAAACAAAATACTGAAATGAGTTTAACTTATAACCACAAGGGAAAAATATGAGACAAATAAATGTTACTACTTTCATTTTGTTGTGTTTTTTTCTCCATGTCCAAGCTTTGTATGGCATCCAGTTTTTTCTTTTTGCTGTCATTTCCCTTGATTACAATGTGCATACTATCTACTGCTTATAATAGTGTGGAAATTGTATTAATTCATTCTGATAATGAACTTAAATATAACAGGGAAGAATCCTTGCAGATGAATCTGTCCTTGTCATCCAAAAGTTTTAGAAAATCAGCACTTTTTCTCAAAAGTTTATGTTCAATGCTCTTCTGTGGAAACATGTCAGGTTGTTGTTGTTGAGCAGGCTTTCCTTTTTCATGCAGATAGCATGTTGTTAATGAATGTTGGTTGGTAGATGTGAACTGTCAGCTGTCACACTCACACAGGAACAGCACCATGTGATAGATTAAAGTTTATTTTTAATTCCTTCTCTAATGGGGGATGCAGACCGTGACAGGGATGATGGAGAGATGATGACATGCATGACAGTGGTGCTGAGCATTGTTTTGTATTAGAAAGAAAGACAGGAGGGAGCGAGAAGAGATGGACGAGACAAACTCCCTGTTTGATTGTATCGAGATAACTTGAGTCCTTTGTTAAGAAATACAGTAAGAAATAGCACAAATCTTACCAGAGTTTCTGCAGCAGGAGGTTGTCAAAGTAAAGGACAAAGTTTCAATGTGTCTTCCTCAGCCTCCTTCAGCGACTTTCAGAAATTCTGGTTTGAAATGCCAAAACAATCTTCAATCCACTGTTGGAGATGTTTATCCTGGTCATTTTCCGTGCATTCATGTATGACCGGGTCAGGGTTGCCAGGGCCTCCATGAAGTGATGACGAACTTGCAGTGGTAGTGATAATGTTGTCATGGACGGGAGGCCGAGAAAGTCAATGTGACATGACTGTCTTGGAGCTTAGTGAGATCAATGACTGCTCGCAGTGATCCTCTCCTCCTATGCGCAGAAGCACTGACACATCTGTACGATGACACACACACACACAAAGACACACTCAGACATGCACACGCAGAGAGACCACAAGGCTTTGATATGCATGAGAGCAGCAGATACTATTGGCAGGTCTCATTTTCATAGTCAATTTCATCCTGACTTATAGCCCTCAGCCCTTTCTCCCCCTCTCTCTTTGGTCCACTCCCTGTTTGTGTCTGTCTGGATCTGCTCCCCCTCTGCCCCCCCCCCTCCCTCCCCCCTTCCCCCCTCTCTCGATCTCCCTCTCTGTTAGTGAGTGATCTATGGTCATGCAGTAATATTGATTACAGCCCACAGCTCAGCAGTGTGAAGGCAGCTCCTTTTTATGATGGAAGGCAGTGCTGCATCGGTGTAGCCGGTCTGTTTTTGATGCCGTGCCAACGTTGCCTGACCGTTTGTTCTTCAAAAAGTGAAGTTAAACAGAAACAATGAAGATGAAATAAAACAGACACCAGGTTGTTTCATTACACGCACAGACTGGCAGGGGAACTGGAAGCTTAGCCGTTGGCGCAGGTAAAAATCAACAGTAACAAAGACACTTCTTGGCAGCTTCAAAACGGTCGAAAGTCTTTTTTTCGCAATCTTAATGGAGCTTATGTTTACGGACCACATTTCCTCTCATTCTTCTACAATTTCCCTCAAATTGTCCTCTCTCCCCTCCTCTGCTGTGTCTCCTCTCCCAGCATACCAATTAAGGATTTGCCAGCCTCCTCCAGAAGTGGCCAATGCTGACATGCTGGTGGAGGACGGCGAATTGGAGATAGGTGAGCTGTCTGCTCGCGTTCCCTTTAAACCTGAGACCTGTAACTCGTTTGTGGCATAGTTTATTAAGATCTGATGCTCATTTACAGATACAGTTCAACCCATAATCAAAAACACTTATTTGTTCTTTTACTATCATGTTATTTACCAATCCAGATTGTTTTGGTGTAAGTGTCCTTCTCTTGGAGACAATATATCGATAAACTCAATAGGAACTTTTTTTTCGGCCATTGATCCGACTTGAAACTGTTTTCTTTGATTTCTGGACACTGTTTTTAAAATGTGTTTTGGGGCTTTTGTTAGGGATTTAAGCCAGAAGTGCACCCCTAGTCAGGGAATTTGTAGTACGTGTAATAATGTTTAGTGTTAGAATTATAGTTTGTGTGTTATTAGATATTAGTTATTACATTAACATGTTAGATGAAGTGAATGCAATTTCAATCAAACACAATTCATAGTCATTTAAATCATATAAACACTGTACACATTAACATTCTGTCACAATGTGATGTTAAAACCTGGGGACGGATGCCAATTGCCGTTCTTTATGGATTTCTCCCAATTTTATCCCCAAAGAGGGTTTTTTGGGAGTTTTTTCTCCTGTCAGGTAATAAATGAACAACTTCATGTAAGGCAGCCGACTGAGGCAAAGGTCTTGAGAATTGAACCACATGAACTGTTTTAGATCTTATGATGAAGTGTGATGAACGGTGATCATTAGTGATGGGTTGTTGTAATTAAAGTGTACTAGTTATAACACTTTTCAAACCAAAATGATTTGGGGGGAATCATTGTCACGGTGTTATAAATGAATCTAAAAGCGTCCACGGACGGTTTACTCCAGGAGAGATCAACAACAAGGTTCCTTTGCTGCTTGAATTTTGCATTCTAAGCACACAAGACATTTTTGTACATTCAGGTGACATCATAAGGTACAGATGCCATCCTGGGTTCTCATTGGTTGGCAGTGAAATTCTAACATGTCGCCTCGGAGAAAGACTACAGATGGATGCATCACCTCCAACATGCCAAGGTGTGTAAATACGTTTAAGAGTTTTTTATTCATTTTGCAAATACTTTATGTTAAAACATTTGAAAAAAATCATCATCGTCATTAACATCCCCTTTTTTCTCTCTTTACAGTCCAATGCCCTGCACAGGATGTGCGGTACGACTCATCAGGTGTCATCCTGAGTCCCGGTTGGCCTGAAAGCTACCCCAACCTGCAAATGTGTTCCTGGAGCGTCACCGTAGAAAAGGGATACAACGTCACCATAACCTTTGAAAGTTTCCACACTGAGAGAGAGTTTGACGTGTTGGAGATTTTTGATGGTAAAAAATGTGCAATCATTTCTCTAAAGCACTCACATTGTATAGTTAATACTCTAAGAAGTGCGAAACACAATGTTTTTCTTAAAGGCATTAAGGTGTTGATATGATCAACATGGGACAAATCACAGATTAGTTGAAACGGTCTCATTCTTTCTCCTCTTTTTCCTCTAAGGTCCAACAGCCAACAGTCCCACTCTGGCAACTCTGAGCGGAGACCTGCCAGCACCGTTTAACCTCACAACCTCTGGCCACCAGTTCCTGGTCCGCTGGTCTTCGGACCACGGCACCAACAAGAAAGGCTTCAAAATCCGCTATGTTGGTGAGTACCAAAGTATGTATCCCAACTTTATTTTACTACTACTTTATATCATCATAATGCATGGACATAAGAGACAGACAGAAAGAAAACACAAAACGGTGTAAATTGAGACGATTGTCATATTTGGAATTTGAAGAAAAGTAGGTTTGGATTTTAAACAGGCGATCTAAGAATGTTGATCCAAATGAATTAAACAAAATGTGTACGGTACCATTCACCTGCAACTTCCTCCATCATCGGCTTACTTCTGTCTGTCTCCTAAAGCAGTTTACTAAAGTGCATTATGGGTAATTGTTCATTCAAGGAACGCCTCATGAGCGCAGGTGCTGATTCAAAGCAATCTTTGCATTTATTCCCTCACCTGGGCTTGCTAAGTATAACTTTAGGCTGTTGGGCATTAAACACCTTCCCATGGGTGAGGAGGCTTGAGCTCATTATTCAAGGGTATTCTTTGACATTTAAGGGGCGGATACTGTATTACCTGTTTTCACTTCATACAGTCCAGTCACAATGCTGTTTCTTTAACCTTTGAATCACCACTGGTGTGGATGATGAATTAGACGCTGAATCGTACCAGAAAAGCCTCCCAGGACTCACACTCAGTAACCTTCTTTGACTTTGTGATTGATGTGAGCATCTGCAAGGATCTTCAAGCATATGTTATAAGCCTGCTAATGCAATGGTTCAACAACATGCTCTGTTTGTCTCACATTATAATGAATGTGTTCTCATTATTGTGTCACATCATCTCCCTTAGTTTTATAAAGAAACCTACTTCTTAGTCATTATAACAAGATATACTGGTATTTCATTATACAAGGGGAAGGAGCCTGAACTGGATCTAATTGGATATTGTCAGCTCGCTGCTTTGTCTTCAGTACATCCCGGTTCAATGATACCAGCCGAAGGCTTTTAATTAGAAATCACTGACCGTTTCCAACCAACCCTTTCCGGCACTGATTATGTGCTTCCTACAAAAATAAAACAGAGTAAACGGAACAAAACTCCCTCCATGACTCTTAAAGGTGGCCACAGCATTTCTGAACAAACATTGATATTTGACCTCATCACTCAAACAAATTGCCCCCCTCCAGATTAATCGATCCCCTTCAACTGGCTCCTCGTTATTCATCCACTGCTTCTCCCATTTCTGGCTGCTGATTGGCTGGAATGCGAGCCATGTTGTTAGTATAAGCGATGGATTTTTAAATTTTAAATTGCGCACACAGAATGAACAGCTAGCAGAGCGTGAGGAAATATTCGCTGAATTTGAAAGGAATTCCGTGTGATTACAATCACGCCTTCAACTGTTCGCTTGGATTAAGAATCCCACCGTACGGATACTGGTGACAGTAACCGTGCAGGTATTTAGAGCAGGCTCATCACCAATGAATTAGGCCAGAGAAGAGGAAGAGCAAACAACTTGTCCAACCTACCATCTAACTGTACCTTAAACGCCGGAGGAATAAGAAGAAACTGCTAGTGGAAACCTACATGCATGTATACGTTTTATGTCTATCACAGCAATGATCTTAAGCAGAAACAATGGGTCACTGTAGATTGAATAGGAAACGGTGCTGTTAGCTCAGGCTTTAGGTTATAGGATACTGTATAGTGGTGTGAAAAGGTAGTGGTAACACTTTCCATAATACCCATGTTGATATATAATACAAGATAAGTATAGCCTTTCTATAATACATTATAATGCTGTTATGGGTTACTCTAAGTGGCTTACTGTGAGTAAAATAATCAAATATCGATAAATCTATGCAAGAACAACACACAAAATATTTCATAATGATTTTACTTTACTTAACTATGGCTACTTAGAGTGATGTATAATCCTACAATTCTGAGTATTAAGTTGCAAAGCGTGACCTTATGAGTCTAATGTGTCTCTATGCAACGCTTAATAATCTGTTACGAGTGTTTTATTAAAGCATTATGAATATTTAGGAGTGCTTAAAGTTACGTTTGGCCCTCTCCAGCTCTGTACTGCTCAACCCCAGACTCTCCGCTCCATGGCTCCATCTCCTCTCAGAGCGGCGGCCACGTTAACAGCGTGGTGCGCTGGGCTTGCGACCGTGGCTACCGTCTCATAGGCAACGCCACAGCGACCTGCCGCCGCACGGCCCTCGGCTACCACGCATGGGACTCTCCGGTCCCTGCGTGTCAAGGTGCGTTGGTTTGTCTTTGCATGGAATGCGCGTCTCCCTGAAGCTGAACTAAAGCAAAGTGTGTATGTGATGTGGAATAGTAGGAAAGAAACAATTCAATTTGCAAAGTGTGCAAAGCAATGTCAGTTTGAAAAATAAGGTCCGGATGTACAAGTGAAACATTTCAGACTCGTGTTCATATTTTAAGAAAATAAAAATATATAATATATACCCATACAGACACCATACATATACATACTATTTAATATATATATATATATATACACAAACAAAACAAAAAACGGCACAGTGCATTGGCCTATGCGTGCCAGCTGTAGAATGTCTCCACAGCTGGCACTGGTAGCGTGTAGAACTAAGCCTTATGTTTGTTTAAAAAACAAAATGATTTCATTGTCTGAGTTATTAAGCGGGCAAAATAATTTATGCAGAAAAATGCTTAAGACAGTTTGGAAAGTATCGACTCCTGCAGCCACAAACATTTACCTTGCACTACTCCCTCTCTTTAATAATATTCTCATTACAAAGTAATAAGTGAAAAGATTGAATTGTGTAATATTGCAGCCCATTTATTGTGTCATGTTAACTAGCATATAATTGGGTATAAATAATTTAAACTGAATCCATAAACTTGACATAATAATAAGTGACTTGCCTTATATTGTAGCTAACATGGATGTAAATTTCTTAAATAAATAGTGTATTGTAGAAATGTAGCAACATGTATTATTCTTGCTCCAGAATATACATATTGCTGAATTAAGTGAGACAAATGTGTGAAGCAATGTTCACATAAAGAGGCTCGTGATGTCACATTTAATTGATATCCATTTTGTAAAATAGAAGAAAAGAAAAGCTATTATTCCGTGTAATGGGTTGCATAACATTTCCTTTGTCTTCCTGTCTCTAAAAGTGTGTAATAAGAACATACTGGAATATGTTCCACAAGGACTAAATGACTTAATGTTGCTTGCTTGTCTTTTCCAACACATCAAATGACTGTTTCAAGTCCCAGCTTGTATCTGGTATTGAAATGACGTCTATTTTAAACCAGCATGGACTGTGAAGCTGCAATTTCAGGATGTATTTTGCTGGAGCTGGTTGGAACTGAACATCAAACATCTGTTGATTGTGTATTGTTATTTTCATGGCTCCATTGAAGAAACAATGCCAGCGTGTTTACAAGTGCACAATATCCTGCAGAAACCTTTCAAACAAAGTACATCAAACCTGCCTACCTGACAGACATAAAATGTGCTTTGGGGCTTTCTGTGTGTGTCTGTTTGCATATTGTCTTATTAACCACCGTGTACGCGTCCTCCCATAGCTGTCTCGTGCGGGGCCCCCAAGGCTCCTACAAATGGAGGCGTTTTAACAGCCGACTACTCCGTCGGAACAAGAGTTTCCTATTTTTGTAACGACGGGTACCGACTCTCAAGCAAAGAATTGACGTCAGCCATCTGTCAGCCGGATGGCACTTGGAGCAACCACAATAAGATACCACGATGTTCTGGTAGGTGACACAAAGATGTCGACGAAATATCAGCAATATAAATACCAAGAGTGACTATTTAAAGGCGCTGTATGAGAGGAAATGTCAGAATCCAGGGTGATTTCTATTGTGTCATTTCCAAAATAGCAGAAGTGCAGAACTTTTCTGATAAATCCCCCCACATTACTATAAGGCTATAGAGTTGCTCTCCCAAATAGTACCTACTCTAACTGCCACAGTACTACCACTTCAAATCAATAACCATGGGATAATTATCTTCTGATGAATAAGATGCATATACTAGTTTGTAAGCAATATATAATCAGCTCTTTGATACTTTGATCTGGACATTGTTATTCAAATTAGGTCACTATCGTACATCTGCGTGATATCTTCCAGTGATTTGTCCCCTGCGCTCAATCAGCTTTTTAAAATATCTGACGCTGTTTTGAAATGGTCGGTTTGTGTATCAATTTGAAACAAACAACATTTTCCCTCACCCTGTGCGTCTCTGTAGTGGTGGTGTGTTCCAGCATCGGGTCATTTTCTTTAGAACACGGCCGCTGGAGGATCGTCAACGGCTCCCATTACGAATACCGAACTCGCATCGTGTTCACCTGCGACCCGGGATACTACAGATTGGGCCCTGCGCACATCCAGTGCTTACCAGCCGGCGTGTGGAGCTGGAAGAACGAGAGGCCGCACTGCCAGGGTGAGTAGCAACGACAAACGAGGGTCCCATGACGACTGCAACTGAAAAAAACTATTTCAGCAATGAGCCGGCAATGATAATTATCATTATGTTATATAACGTGTAAGTATTAAAATTGTAGCAATTAAGACAAATATAAACTTGAGCAAACTTAAGCCACGGTAACTTGTTTACTCCTGCATACATGTAATTAAAAAAAAGAAAAATCAAGCAGAGAAATAGTCGAGCACGAACATTTTCTGTAAAACAGAGAATAGTTGTTTTTACATGTTTTTCTCACAGATAAAACAAATATCTAAATGATTTATCTTAAACATTTTTTTCATTTTGAAAGTGTTTGCAGTTATTGTGCAAAAATAAACTTACAAGCTATACTGGTTACTCCTAATTAATAGACAGATATGAGATTGATATGCGTCCTTTCATCCAACTCTTTGCCACATAGCAAATAGGTAAATGCCGTTAAAGGTATTTTCAGAAGGGTAAATATTTAAAAAAATATTCACTGTACATAAAAGTCATTCCATTCTTTCTTGCAGGCTCTAACCAGTAAGTGGATACAGATTCCTTGACATTTTAAAACAATGTTATTTTTCAGAAAATAACGCTGTGACATTTGAAACTCTACTGTCATTTTCTTTACCTGAAAGGTTTAAAGTGTCAGAAAAGGAAACTATATTTGCACCAAATTACTGTGATTAAGAGCTTTCTAAAAAGGCAACAACCTCACAGAAAGCAAAGGGCTCCAACAAGTTCTCAACTAACTTAAATAACTAAATTGGTGCACAAATGCTTGTGTTTTTCAGTTATATCGTGCGGTGAGCTGCCGTCTCCACCCAGTGGGAAGAAGATTGGTACTCAGACAACATTTGGCGCTACAGCCATCTTTACCTGCGATGCTGGCTTCATGCTGGTGGGGTCAGCCGTCAGAGAGTGCCTGTCGTCTGGGCTTTGGAGTGGAATGGAAACAAGATGTTTAGGTACGTAGCTACTAGAGACAATACTATATTGTGTGAGTATTGTGTATGATTCTGAAGACACCAGGACCGCAGAGAGCCTTCACATCTTCCGCCGCAAACTAAAGACACACCTCTTCAGACTCTACCTCGACTAATAGACTCATAAATTGTAGCACTTAAATTGTACTTGTAACGCCACTTATCTATATATAAGCAAATTGTAAATTGGCTCATTTGATGAAATTGTACTTTCTTGTTTCTTGCTCTTCTGAGTTTGTATCCCGATGGCTGAATGCACTTATTGTAAGTCGCTTTGGATAAAAGCTTCAGCTAAATGACATGTAATGTAATGTGTATGCTGTGATATACGGCCATTTTCTGAGAATTAATCTTAATCTCTTATTATTTGTAATGCTTAGAGGACATATTCGGGATTCGGGACACACGTCCTTACACTCGCACAAACACACAAGTTGTCCATTAGAAAGGGACGGTGTCTGTGCCCTGCGCCCTTTGTTTGGCTGCACAGCTGCTCCTCTCTGGCCTCGTCTCTCACAATCTTCTGCTGTGCACTAAACAGATTCAGTTTGAAAGTTGATTTTTTTTTCATATAAATACGGCAGACAGAAAGCACAGCTACTTTCTTCTGTCAGTGTGCCAGCCAGAGGTAACAGATGTTATGACGCGGTGCTGTCACTTCTCTGTGAAACCTCGGTAGAAACAGCGCTTCCCAGAATACTTCACAAGCTGAGAGGGATATAAGAAGCAATTCATAACGCAACAGGTCAATGAAACTTAAGCTAGACTGACGAGGAGGCCTGAGTAAATAGATAGGTAGCCATAGAAATTGCTTTGAACAGCATTGTTGTCGATACTTTTTCTTATTACTCTTCAAAACAAAACCTCATTTCTTGCATCACAATTTATAATTGACATTCATGATTAGGAAGGAGGCCGACAAATCCGGTTAGCTCTGCTGTTACCAGCTAACGTTTGGTGATCCAGTGATGATCGGAAAATTCACCAACACGTATTTTGTGACGATGGGAGTACTTGTTGGGCTTCCACTTGTTGTCACGTGTCACGTGTTTGCTTAGAGTCGCACGTCTTAAATATGGATAAACCGTGTTTCAAAGTGTCATTGCCTGCTCTTAGAGGCCTGCCAGAGGTTTCTGCAGATGTTTAACGATTGTCACTGTTAAAATATCCCATATGGAGGAAGCAGACTGTCTTGGTAGAAACGTTCAGCCCTCAAGGTGTGTTTAAAAGTCCCAGGCCTACTTAAGATGTTAGTGTCTTGCTGATATGGTCTTTATAGCCTTCAAAATAACACAGAGAATGCATCTCATGGATACAGCAAGAACGTAAAGTCATTTGGAAATATTGGCAAGTTACCTCTTGGTCACGACCAAAGTAAATAAAAGCGAGTCTAATAAAATAATTTAATACATTTTTAATATAAAAAAATCAAAAGCACAGCTCGGTATTTGAAAGCAAAATACATGGAATAACATTAGATAGAAACATAAATACAAGATACAGATACAGTATAGATATTAAAAAAGGTAATGAGAGGAAAAGGAGACATTCACCAATAGTATGTATAAAAAAACAATACCATCTTAACAGTGTTTTGTGGTCATACAAAGGACATTGCAGTATCCTGTAAGATATTTTAAAAATACATCAAACACACATAGGCAACTGTGGCAGCTCAAGTACAGTTGACGTGAAGTTGAGCGGCCTTTGGAGTAATGAAAAAGAAGACTGTACTGGATTTTCCCCACATTCCCGAGCCAACCTCAGCCTACTTTCAAATGTAGGAACCTTTTCAGATTTCCAGGACTAAAGAAGATGCTGTGTGTCTGTCAGGGTTGTGAAGAGGACGGCCTGAGCATCAATCCTCCTCTCGTCCTCAGAGACGATGCTGCCTGTGGTCTGAGTCCCCTGCATGTTTGTCTTTTGTCTTTCAGCCGGTCACTGTGGAATCCCAGAGGGCATTGTGAACGGCCAGGTGATCGGAGAGAACTTTGGTTACCGGGATACGGTCGTGTATCAGTGTCTGCCCGGCTTTCGACTGATAGGCTCATCAGTTCGCATCTGTCTCCAAGACAACCAGTGGTCTGGACAGCTGCCCGTCTGCATACGTAAGGAAAACACATCTTTCACTCTCCCTAAAGATTCGCCTGAGCTGACAAAGGAACCCAGACCCCCTATTTATGTGTCTCAAACACAACTTGTGTGCTGGTCTTTTCATCAAAGTATAGACAATAAATGAATGAAAAGTTTGTACTGCAGCAATTTAGTGCAAGGGGCAGCGGCGTGCGTTTGTGACACGAATCCCAAATCCCCTCTACAGTACGATGAAAACAACCTAAAAGATTCTGTGTAATCCAAACTAGTCTTTGAGTTTTATGCATGTGTGTATGCATGCAGGCAATGGATGAATAGAGATTGCCCTCTAAAACCAAAGTGGATCTTGAGGATGCTTGAATGGTGCAGAGGGCTCAGCATTTCTTATTTTCATTTGGGATTAATACTGGCAGAATATGTGGAGTTTTGTAAATACTTTTAAAATGAATTTTTGTTTCTGTAGTATAGTAATTTGGTCAATTTTGGTCACAAATTCTAAATGGAAACGCTAGATCGAGAGTCAAGAGGCCAAAAAATACATTATAAGAATTAAATTGTTTAGCATTCCATTGCATTTGAACAGGGTCTCTTGTCATTGCATACAACGTTGTGATTACATTCCATGCAACAACAAAAAAGTTTTGTTTTTTTAACCATCATTTTGTGATTGAAAAGCTCCACTGATTTAGCATTGCACTCTTAATTAAAGTTATTTATAATATTGCACTTAAAATAAAACTTATTGTCAATGAAGCAGAACCAGAGAATCGGTCTGATGAGAAACTATGTAAGCAGAAAAGTGTACTCAGGTAAGTGCATATATTTGCCAGTTGCGTCTGCGCAACAACTGCTGCTCTTACATTTTTTATTACATTTTCCCAACAAAAGAATGGTTGTTGGGGACCCCTGATATAGCGTATCAGATATAAGTCTTACTCACACACAGATCCACTAATGATTTGGATTCATGCAGCTGTCTCCTGTGGGAGCTCTCTTCCTTCAGTGCAGAACATTTATTAAACAGAATAAAATGTCAAAAATTGACAAGACTAAAACAATCTACAGGTAATGCTCAGCACCTGTTAGCCGCTAACTAGCTGCCCTCCTGCCGACGTCGGAAGACGCGCTAAGCTGATTCAGTCAATGCTCGAGTATTTCACCAAACTACAACTGCTATTACGTTTGACTGAGGAGTCCAAACTGAAGCAGTTGGTGATCCTTTTTTTAGTTAGTCTTTGTTAGTCTCTATTCAAATGAGATTTCATACACCAAGAAATGTACCGTTAAAGTAATCAAAACCTGAATGTTATTTTAAGTCACAGTATAAAATATAATTTAAGTGTTGCGATCAAACCCTTTTTCACCTGCTCCATCTGTTTGAATCAGGATCAGCCCGTTATCGGATTCTGTATTCATACTAAACATTGATATACAGTACATCCATTCCTCTGAGCATAGAGGAATGGATGAATGAATGAGCATAACACATATTAGGTTGACCAGTCCTGCAGTATGTAGGCCTAAACTTCTAGTTACCTTTAACAAGGTTCATGTCTCCACCAACGGAGTGGTAGAGCTCATAGATCCCCGTCACATTTCAGTCATGGGTTAAAAAAAGAAAGAAAATATTGACTAAAGCCAACATACGTTTTATATATTTTTATTATATTATTATATATCCCAGGATGTATTGGCCCAATAGTCCTGAGGTTCCGCAGATTCACACCAAAGGTCTTTTACAAAGGGCCAGAGGACTGACTGCCAGTGTGGTCTGGATGAGATAAACAGCTGGGCTTGAGGATAAAGCACAGCGCTCTGGCATTCCCAGGCCACAGGGAAACTCTTCCAAAATTGGACACTTACTATGAGCGTCCTGGATTTTGAGGCAGCGACTGTGCACCGATGAGGTGGTGATGATAACACAACAGGCCTTTTACCAAACGAGACAGTGAGCCAGAGGCGGCGTATTAACACCATGTTTGAAAGGCGGAGGTGGTGACGTGGTGTCAGCAGCGGCGTAATAGAGATTTGAAATTGACTATAAAATAGTTTTTATACTCCGACACTCAAAGAAAAATAAATACTCAATAAATAGATTCCTTTTGGACAATATCCTAATATGCATGTATGTGTTTGACCGTGGCATGCGCCTGTTTCTATCTGCTGTAATAGTGTGTGTATCCGTCTGTGTGTCTGGTGTTTCTGCGCTACGCCGTTTTTATTGAGGTTATTTATGCAGAAGTTATTGAGGGAAATCATTTTACAGCCAAATTATACTGTAATTATGGAAATGAGAGGCTCTTGTTTTGTGACACAAACACAGAATGGTGATGAGACGATGTGTGTGTGTGTGTGTGTGTGTGTGTGTGTGTGTGTGTACAGCTGCAGGGCACGCTGACGGTGTCAGATAAATTTGTATCTTAGGCAAGCAAACAAACTTCTGATTCCCTCTGATCAAGTGAAAAGCGGCGACTTCTTCTACTTCTTTCCTGCCTTCTATTGTCATGATCAACTCTCTTTTCTGCTCCCTACTCTGTTTTCTCCTCCTCTCTTTTCACCTTTCCATCCACTCTGTGTCTTTCCTAATTTCTTTCCATTATGCGAAGCTGAGTAAGGGGACGATAGTCATTTTTTGGTGTTTACTCAAACATCAGAAATCTATCCTCAGCACAATGAGGACGGGGGACGCGCGCAAACTTCTAAGTAGCTCTATTGAGTGAGTTAACAGGATGAATATTTATGATGCACAATGGCACATAGAGGACACTCAATGCTGACACGTGACATTCAGAGACGTGATATTTCTAAAATAATGACCCCAAATCAAGATGCCAGCTATGACATTCTCATGAATATTTATGAATTACTCTATGAAAGACACCAGCACATAATCTTTGCTTCTTGAGTTTTGGCTCTTTTTTTTTCGAGACAAAGAAATACATGACTGATGATTCTTAACATCTGCGTTAGATAACGTGTATTTGTTGCTTACTAAGAGGAATTTTAATTTGAGGAACAATTGCTTGTAAAAAGCCCCAAATATGTAGACCAGCGCAACCACTTGACGTGTTCTAATACATCATGTGCACGCTCAGAAAGGTCATGAGAAACGTGCGTTCAGGTCTACGTAGCCATGATTAACGATGGCTTCCCTACAGCGATCAGCTGCGGCCATCCGGGAAGTCCCATCTACGGACGCACGCTGGGGAACGGCTTCAACCTCAACAACGTGGTCAGCTTCGTTTGCAACAGGGGTTATGAAATGGAGGGGCCTGCACGGGCGCAGTGCCAGGCCAACCGCCAGTGGAGCCACCCGCCCCCAACATGTAAAGGTGGGGAAAAAAGTTAAGTGTATTCACCCCTAACCTTATTTACCCCTGACCGTTAACACCACCTCACCTCAGCTCTTGTCTTTATTTGCTCTTAATGCATTTTCCTATGACAACCATCCTCCTTTACCCCTGCCCGTTTTAGTTCAGCCCACTCTTTGACTTAATGAAGTTTGAGGTAGATTCAATACTCTACTTCCCTCCCGGCTCCAGCATTCTGTGTGGGGAAACTACTTGTTTTCAGCGAAACAAGCCCTGATTATTCTCCAGAAATGTCAGAAACCAGGTTAGCTTCACAAGTAAATGCACAAGCTATCGGCGGTCTGCCCACTTTACTGATCAAAGTGCCAATGAATTGTGTAAAATTAAAAATGCAACACACTGAAGCTGGATCCAGGACACACACACCTTCATCATAACACCGCATAACATTTCCCATGTTTATTCTTTCCAACACCAAACCCCAAATGAGTTCTTCTGTCTTCCCCACAGCCTCCTTATTATGCCCTATATTATTTTACAGAGCTTTATTCCCAGAGCGAAGCACTGGAAAACGCAAGAGGGGGAAGCGAAATAACCCTCTCTGGTTCATGCCAAATAACACATGCTTCTCTCTCCCGTTGTGCATTTGTGTTTGTGCGTCTCTGTGTCTCTCTGTGTATAGTGGTCAACTGCTCTGATCCAGGTATCCCAGCCAACTCCATCCGCCAGAGTAAAATAGAGCACGGCAACTTTACCTTTGGCACTGTGGTTTTCTACGACTGCAACCCGGGGTATTACCTGTTTGGATCACCTGTTCTCACCTGTCAACCTACTGGACAGTGGGACAAACCACTGCCTGAATGTATAGGTCAGTTTAATCCTTTTTTTCCTCCTCTTCCCCCTAAAAGAGAATGGGTTCAGTTGAGTGTTTGCTAAGCCCCACGCTCTTTAGTAACAGTTGCTAAGCCTGTGGTAATAACAATGGAAGATGAACCACTGGAAATTATCATTTCTTTTTTTTGAAGAATGGGTCCTTTAATGCCAGACAGAGGAAGAAAACAGCAGACGTCTCATTATTACGGTTAATGATGTGTTCTTTGGGCCTGAAGGAAACGCTCGGCTCTTGACAGCCATCTCTCTCTCTCTCTGATTAGTTGAAACGAGCTGTCCACCCTTCCTTCATCTGTGTGTCTCTGAACCCCCGTCTCTCCCTCTTTTGGTCTCTAGTTGTAGATTGCGGTCACCCCGGCTCTCCCCCTAACGGTGTGCTGAGTGGAGATAAGTTTACATTCGGCTCAACGGCTCGATACTCCTGTCTGGGTGGAAGACAGCTGAAAGGAGAATCGTCCAGGACTTGTCAGCTCAACGGGATGTGGAGCGCCCCCATGCCCTTCTGCTCTGGTAACCATTTGAACCCTTATTGAATACACAGACGTCCACCCTATCAGAAGGAGAGCTGGATGGATTGGGGATGTAGATGAAAGATGACACGTCTAAAACATGTAGACCCAATGGAGCGTAGAGCACTTCATGCCTTAACATCCTGCAGGAACACTTTGTTGCCCCCTTTTGCACTCAGCCAAGGGGTAATGGGATGGATGGATGGACAGGTAGAGGGTTGGTTAGGTGCATGAAAAGCGAATATATCAGTACCTGTCTGTTAAAAGGGTTGTGGAGCGTAACCTTCCTCTACAACCACTTAAATCATCAGCCGTGGACCCTTAGCCGGGTACCTTTCTGTTCTGCTCCTCTAATTTCAACTATTTGTAAGCCTCTCACAGGAGTTAGAAAGTTTGAGGCCTTTTTTCTTGTGATGATTCTCCCAAAATGACTTTTCCACTCCTGACGGATATGGAAGCTGAGGAATAAGAATTGGAGAACGCACATATACCCACGCTTTCTTCTCAGAGCCAGACATTTCAATTGGTCCAGTATTGTTTGAATAAACGGGCTACAATATGATGCTGTGGGCAACGCCTGGAAGTCGATTCAATCCAATCACCTTCTGTTTTTGTGTCATAGGACTTGCTGCTGAAAGACAGTAGTGCAAACTAAGGATGTAACGATTAACCAATATTTTTCGGAAAAGACGTATGGTTATATACAAAAACTGTAAATTGGTTGATTGTTGATATGTGTTGTAGTCAGTAAAGTCTTAGAGAGCTTCATTTGAACAGCTTTTCACATGTACGTGTATCATCCGAGAGAGAAAGTTGGGATGCACTCCTCTCCTCTTCCCCCTCTCTGTGTGCTCCTCCGCATACCGAGCGGGGGGAGAGGAGCGCAGTGCATTGCACTTGTGGCTCCCTCCTTTGCCTTGTTGGATGCGTCCCACCGCCATGCAAACAAAGCGGCTAGCTGGGTACAGAAGGTTTGATTACCGTCTACGGCGCTCCGTGCTTTCATTGCCGTCAACAGCGTGTCACTTCAGGGCCATTTTGTCCGTGGATCCAGTGGCGCACATATGTGCCATAAGACGCACCACTGTCATTTTTCTGCACACTGCTGTAACAAAAGCAGAGTTTCTACCATCTTATATAAACAGACCGTCTAACTCATGTGGTTCTCAGTGGGATGGCTGGGGGCGTGATTACGGCACTCCGGGGCTGAGTGGCTCCCAGCCACCGTTTTATGTAACAAACCAACTAAAAACGCATTCTGGACCAGTTGACTAGCAATGCATTGCTATTTACAGAAATTGCCTGGGGGGGAGCAGGTTGAGGGAGGGTAATAGTGTACGGAGGAGCGATTCAGGGTTTCTGTCGTGCAGGTTTGTAGCAGGACCCCGCAGAGATAAGGGTTCAGCCCATGATCGAAGTTCTGCCCCACGACTGTTGACGAGCAAATGGAATTTCTGATGTGTTATGTGGAGCTATGTTACCTCATCTCAGGGGGTACTGATTATTTTGTCTACACCTAAAACCTCAAATAGAATTTAGCTTTTTTGTTAAGAAAAAACATTTGACAACATGAAAAATATGTGATGGTTATCCTGAGCAAATAAGTTGTTGTTCTTTAATGCTTAAAACAATTTAAATGCTTCTACATACACTTTTATCACCTCACATTTGGTTGGAAAATTATTCTGTTTCATCACAGTTGTGAAATTCAAATTTCTAAACAATAATAACAACAATCACAGAGACGGTAATCATGAAATAGAAGGTTGGTAATGTAAAACCAAATTGTGAATCTGTTCTTTCTTACATGATAACTCCTCATTTATTTTTCACCATGCGAGTGAGCTGGCCAGCTTTTCGATTGGCTCATGTGAGGATTATTTACAATGATCACAAAAGAAGCAATTCACCACTATCAAGTTGCCATGGTGCTGTTTTCTCGATCAAACCCTCCAGTGTCCCCAATTGAGAACCATTTGGACTTGTATGTTTGAGCCCAAGCGATGACAGACGAGCGAGACTGAGACCACTAGACGTCTGTGCTTTAAAAATGAAGATGTAGTTAGTGTAGCTTAGCATGATTGTTATTATTCTATATATTTTAGTATCCGTACAAGAGGGTTTTACCATGGACAGGGTGCAGGAATAGATCTCCAGAGGGCGCAGTGATGCCTGCAGTCATCGCCATGAAGAGGCAGGAAGTCATAACTCTTGTGCTTCTTTGTGCTAAGCTTACTAAGCTAACCAACTGCTGCTTGCAGTGTCACAAAGTCAATTCTTGTATTTATCTAATAATACAAATTTAGACTGTTATTAAAAAAACATTTTATTTCAAAACTGAATCAAGTTTTACCTCAGACTTTTTTGGGTACGTCAGGTTTATGAGAATGTCTGCTAGGCCAAGGAGCCTCGGCTCGGTAACCTGTGGATTCACCAAAGCAAACATTTCTCTTTGAGCGCAGGTGCATGTGTGTGTGACCGATTAGAGGTTGTTCCAAAGTCACTTAAGGGAAACGACAGATTAGTTTCCACAATGCTCTTCAATAGAAACTCGCTCACACACATAAAAGCAACACTTCAACCCGTAATCGATTGCTAGTTCTCCCTGTTGAGACCACATACACCCGAGGCTACATTGTGCTTTGGAGCTGTGTGTGTGTGTGTGTGTGTGTGTGTGTGTGTGTGTGTGTGTGTGTGTGTGTGTGTGTGTGTGTGTGTGTGTGTGTGTGTGTGTGTGTGTGTGTGAGCATCCAATGGGAGTTGCGTAGGTGATATTTTCTCTGAAGGTGTAAAATATGTGAGTTTGTGACCTTACCGGTTTTCGATCTGATCCCGCTAATTAGAAAAGAAATTCAGTCACCATTCCCTCACATGCCCAAACTTTTAAGGTCAAATGATCATGAAATGATACAGTAAAGGTTCATTTGTTTAGCCATCCTGAGGCACAACAGATCTATGTGTTGTGTGTGTAGCATGTGCAAGCTCAATTTATGGCAGCAATCCCCTTGAGATTTGAGGCATATTACTAACCGAGCAAATGAGAAATTGGATTATTGGTCAAAAGTATGAAAAAAATTACATCCGGGTAATTCTTAACGTGGTCGATTATCACACAAAGCATTTTGTTGCAAGCTGAAAAAATGGTCTATGAAGGATGTGCATGGTGTGAGTGGTTATGTTTGGCTTGTACATGAGGGTGACAATGTGTGTGTTTCTGTGTGAAATAGTGTTTGGTTGCTCCCAGGAGAGCGCTCTGTCTGTCATGCAGAATTTGCTGACCAGGCAGCTCTGCAAGGGCACAGTCAGAATCACCCACCCACACACACACACACACACACACACACACACGACTGCGCGTACGTGAACACACCCATTATCACACACACACACACACACATATACAAAAATGTGTAAGCTTGTAAGCTTTGTATGCTGAGAACCCTTTTTTCTCACTCTCTCTTGACTCTTGTTTAAATGTGATGACCTTAAAGGTTTGAAACACGTCGTGTCTTATCCGGGGACCCGACTCGATGTCCTTGTGTTCTCCCTGTAGGCGACACAGCCGGTTCCTGCGGCGATCCTGGCGTTCCCTCCCATGGTTCGAGGGAACAGACTGATTTCAGGATCCGTTCCAGCGTTCACTTCAGCTGCTCGGAGGGCTACGATCTGATTGGTTCTTCAGAGAGGATGTGCTTTCCTAATGGGACGTGGTCTGGCACGCAGCCCTTCTGCAAACGTAGGAAGATCATTTTACTCTAAATCAATCTCTTATAATCCAGCACCGTGACACTGATCCAGTGTATGGATCTGCGGATGTACACAGGCTCCTTAAATAATCAGTCATACGTAGAGCTGCAACTCATTGAGATGCACAAAGCTTTTTTTTTCTCACTCATCCCCCCCCCCCAGCTGTCCAGTGCGGTAACCCTGGCACTCCCAGTAATGGAAGAGTGTTTCGTTTGGATGGAACAACATTTTCTCACTCCGTCATCTACTCCTGCATGGACGGCTACCTGCTCAGCGGCGCCACCACCAGGCTGTGTCATGCCAACGGGACGTGGTCAGCAGCACAGCCGAACTGCACCAGTACGTTACCCGGTCGAATGTTGAGGGACGGCCGAGTAACTAACTTCCCAGCTTGCATGTCGTTGAATAACATCTGATGGTCCACCAGCAAATGTAGTTCTGTACGGTGCTTTTTAGTTCAACGTTATTTTGAAACAACTGACATGCGAGGTGACTCGCACCCTAAAGAGCAGACTGTCAGCTTCAGGGAATACTAGTATTTATAATTAGAAGGTTAAATCTAGGAAATAGCGTGATGTCTGCAAACCATAAATATCGCCACGCTCCTGATGTGTAATTATAAGCCTTCCTTTCCAGCCTTTTTGGGACTCTATTTGATTCCTGGTTTTAAATCGTTCTACGATAGTATCTGTTCTGAGTAATGAAAGTATCTTCATTCTCTTGCGATGCAGAATCTACAGTGTCATGAATAACCTTGATCTGTGTTTACTTAAGCTAATTAGATTTTTGATGTATGTAAATATCCATAGAATATACTTTTTTCTCATATGAAATGTGACCAAAGCCATGGTTGAACAAGTGTTAATCAGTGCTGCATGTTACACAAATTACAAAATCTGCATGTAAATGGGAACATAACACAAAAAATGAACACAGTACACTGCCTAACAAATGTCTTGTAAAACACGTTCTGTCTAAAGGTGAAATTCAGAACCCCACGTGTTATTTATTTTCCAATATAAAGTACCTCCTTCTATCCTTGCACTGCGTCAAGAAGAATCAGTTATAAACTATATATTTATATATATGCTGAGTAACCACATCTCTTCAATTTCGGGGCCCTGGAAAGAAGAGCGTTTTTATAGAATCCCCTGACTTAACGGAGATAGCTTTTACTGTAGATTGCAATACATTACAGCCATGACCGTGTCCGGGCTGGTGCCTATTAGACTATGAAGGACAATGTGTGTAAGTGCAGTCTGGGGAATCCTAATGCTCCATAAAAGAGCCCAGGACAACCTCGAGCCATTTTTTATATTTTTGTTGTTTCATTTTTAACAAGAGAAGCCAATAACTAAATCTGAAGAGCTCATGTGGATTGCATAATCTCAGAGATGTGCTATATGCTCTCGGATCTCCTCAACTTTAAACTACACGGAACTAGAAGTAAGATGAAGCATACTTTTATGGATAAATATGCAGTTCTCTTGGTCAACGCCAACTTGGGTTTGACCATTCCGCTGTTAATAAATAGGAAAATGTGATTAAAAAATCAAACTCCCGCTGAAGTCCACAAAAATGTAATGCGGCCTTTATCCACGTTAAGTATCTAACCTCTCTCACTAACCTTTCTGCAGTCTGTCCTTTGATTTAATTATGTTCTGATTTAAATCTCCCTCTTCATCCTTCGTTATATTCAAATCACATATTTAAGAAGATCGTGCATGCAGAACCAATAAGCAAATGATGTTGTCCCACGGCATAAACTCACAAACAACCCTAATCTCCATCCCGCCTCCAACTCCTCTTGTCTGTTTCCTGCAGTGATAAACTGCGGGGATCCAGGTGTGCCAGCTAACGGGCTTCGCTACGGAGAAGACTTCACGATTGGTCAGAATGTTTCCTTCCAGTGCCAACCAGGATACAGAATGGAGGAGGACGGGTCACCTGTGAGGACGTGCACCCACAACGGGACCTGGAGTGGGAACATGCCAATGTGTACAGGTACGTTGTTTAATATCCATAAACTATACGTAACATCATCTTTAACTTTTCATCAAACGTTTCTGTAGAGAATGTCGCACAACCAACACTAACACCACTTTGACCAGCGGGTGCTGCTGGTAAATATAAAATGCCCCATCCGCACAGTGCAGCGTATATATATATTCATAGATGAGCTCCTTGTCTCACCTTAGCGACACTATGTAGAGTATGACACAGCAGATTCTGCTGCCCTTGCAGTCAGTGCCACTGTGAGGAAAATTAGAATAAACATAACAGACAAACTTTTCCACTCAATAGTTTATAACTTGGCAGCGATTGGTTACCTGCAGCTGGTTAAAACTGCATCTCTCTCTCTCTTTACGTCTCCTAGCTGTCACCTGCCAGCCTCCCCCTGTTATCAGTAACGGGGCACTGCAGGGCAGCGACTTCGAATGGGGCAGCAGCGTAAGCTACAGTTGCTCACCTGGTTATGAACTGTCATTCCCGGCTGTGCTGACCTGTGTGGCCAATGGAACCTGGAGCGGCATGCTACCGCAGTGCTTACGTAGGAACACACACACACTCTCACCGTTGCATGCAGGAAAACACATGTACACCTGTAATATTTGCAACACATACTGAAAGGAGATCTGTGTGTGTGTTGGTGCGTGTGCGCACAGCCAAGTTTTGTGGTGACCCAGGTAATCCAGCCGGTGGTTTCAGAGAGGGACGAAGCTTCATCTACCAATCAGAAGTCTCCTTCAGTTGCGCTCCTCCACTCGTTCTGGTCGGCACAGCAACCAGGCTCTGTGAGAATGACGGTACCTGGAGCGGCACGCACCCTCGTTGCATCGGTACGTGGAATACACTCCGTGACCAGACAAAATGTGGACACACACAAATCAGCTTTAGTTCCACCTCATTTTCCATCTTTTTCTCAACAGCAAGGACATCGTGGTAGAAAACCTTTTGTGACATTTTTTCAACACTAAAAAAAAGAAGAAAGTTCTCAATTTAAATGTGTGAAGACAAGCAGCCACACAACAACTTATTGATTTGATAAGACAGGGGTCACCAACCCTTTTTGCCTTACGGACCGGGGGGGTGGTAGTAGTGGGAGGGTGGGGAGGGTGGGGGGGGCGTCGATTTTCAAAATAAACGATTTTTCAGAATTGCATTGCATTTTTTTTTTTGTGGTGCGGCCAGGTAGCGATTGGTGGCTTTGTGAGAGACTCATAAACAAGAACATGTATCTGGCTCTACATTGAATGCTAGATTTAGAAACGTAAACAGTTTTCAATACTTAAAAAATGCGATTGGAAACCCAGACCTGTCGGACTTCTACCAAGTTAGAATGTGCAAGTTACCACTTCGGTACTGTATTCCTCAATGAATTCACAAGTTCAGAAAACGAATATCCACTGTCCCTAGGAAGCGGTGTCTTACCCACTTCAAAGTCTGGACTGAAATGCAATATTAGTGATGGTAAATCCAACAGAGCCCTTTGACTTTTGAATGATATTTCTTAAATAATTAACATATCAAGGTACAACTGACGTCTATTTAATGTCTCCTGTTGTTTTTCCTTTCAATATATGTTTTGACTTTGTGTGTGGGTTTGTAACCTGTAAAACTAATGATTTTGTGTACGCTGGCCTGTCAGTTTATTATGACTGGTTTGTGGCTCGGCGCACGGCTGTCAGGTCGAGGTGGCGGAAGTGGGACTCAAACGTCGTTCTTGGCAACAAACGCACACTTTAATGAGAAAAACGGGTGACGGACTTTCAACCCAACTCACCAACATCGACAATGCACCTACAAAGAGACAAGGGACACACATGGTTTAAATCCACCGGGGAGGTGCGGGTGATTGGACACAGGAGGAAACAATCAGGGACACGGCAGACAGAAAATCACATGTAAGTGCAGTTAACTCAGAGACACGAGAGGCAGGAAACTACAAAATAAAACGAGGAACGAACCCACACGGCGACAGGAGCCTTCGCTTGTGTCTAATATTTGCCTGCCTAATGACCGTGGCAATTAGTGGCCCGTCGTTGACGGCCACATTTCAATTTACTGATGTGTTTGCTGTGCAGAGCAGCTGCTGTTCTGTCAAAGTTTAAGTTACACAGACTTATTGGAATACGAATGATGTTGGCACCTCTTAATCTCAAGCACAGTGTAACTGAATATTGAAATCCGCGTCATTAGTTTCAGCTTGAACTAAAGCCGACGGCATGTAAACCCATCAAGTCTGCTCGACAGCTTCATCAGAGAACCACTGCACTTTGAAAATGAAGTTACAATGGAGTTCTACACCGTTTTACAGGATTACTGAGAAAGTGTAAGATACAAGTACACGCTGCGACTTCCAGTATTTAGTAAAAGGTTTCCAGAAATGGGAACCGGCATCTGACTTCAAACGAGCCGCTGCTGCATCTGGGGGTTTAGAATAAAACGAGACGGGAGATTCAGCACACCTTCTACACGGTCCCACTGCGTTAGCTCTCCACCACGTGATGTTTAGAGCACCACTTCACGTGTCTGATTCAGAGCTGGTGCTTAGACATCAAGTATGGTGATGAATTGCAATAAACGAGAGCTTTTGTAGACGCTTGACTCTCTGTTCCTTCACAGCACTCGATAAGGCGCGCTTACAGAACATTACAGCGGCCATAAAGTTGGATGTTGCTTGTGAAACCGTCAATCTAAAAGACAAAAGCTCCCTCTGAAGTGATACTCTGTAGTTTAAGCAGGAATATTTATATTCTATATCGTGACATTCTTTGAAAACTAACACACACATAAAAATACCAGTTTTTTTATTTTTCCTCCGGACTGTTGGGTGGCGGGCTTTGCGTGGGGTTGCCGGGGTGATTTATTAGCGTGTGATTGCAGCTGCATGTTGGTGCGTGATGTGTAGCCTATTACTGTGACTGAAGCAGAATGAGTTTTGAGCTGAAGCAGCCTGCTCTTTAAATAAGACAGACATATAGGGGGAGGAAGGCGTGTGGGCACACCGGAATACGGTGACATGGAGAAATAAGAAGAGAGCAATGAGAGAAAGAGAGGAAGTGGGAGACAGCAGAGAGAGAGAGAGAGAGAGAGAAGGGAGGGGTGGGGGGCAGTTAGAGAGGTGCAGGAAGAGACAGAGTAAGGGAGAGGGGGTGAGTGATTCTGTCATTTCGGAAGCTGTATTGAATAGAGCTCTGCGTCAGGATGTGCTCTACATGCTGATGTTCCTACCACACACACACACACACACACACTCTCTCTGGCAGCCGGCCCTGCTTCGTTTTCCGATAGAGCACTACTGCCCCCTGCTGGAATCTATACCCTGCAGTTACCATGACAACAGAGGAGAGGCCAGTACAGTTGAGGGAGTACATACGACGCTGACGCTAATGCACCTTTCTGTTATGTTGCGTGTGGAATAACTCCTCTGCTTGTGCTGTTCTCTGCAGAGCCGACCAAGACCAGCTGTGATAACCCAGGAACGCCGCGCTACGGCTCCTTGAACCGCACATACGGCTTCAAGGTAAAACACCGGTCTGAAATAACGCTGTCTAGCTTCCTGCACAAGTAGTACAAGAGAATAGATGGTAGGAAAGCCAGACAGGACATGATTTAAAGATTTCAACTTGGACAATTTAACACAGTCCCTGTTTTGAGTTCTACAGTCGAGCCAAAGCCTCAGCTGTCTTAAGTCGGTCAAATCGAGTGGTCATCTTCGTCATGCTGTTGGGTGCTGCTGTGATGCCGCTGCTGTGTGCTACAAACCTACATCAAACGAACAGGAACAAGTTCCACCTGTACTGCAGCTCAATAAGGGCACACAATGTCGCTAAAAAGACATCTATGAAGGCAAATAACCATTTGATTGGACTCAAACTGCTGAAGCGGCATATTAGCTTTGGGCAAACTTAAATGGACTGTTGTGTTTTAAAAGTTTCAGTTTGCTTTTACATGCATTTTCAACAATAATCTACGTGTCTGATGGAATTATATATTTGGTAACTGTCATCGAATGCTCTAAATGTATAAACAAGACCTATTATGGAATTTTAAATGAACATTTTATTGTATGTGGTATTTGTCAGAGCAAAACTGTTAAAATGTTAACTTGCGTGTGTGCGTCTGTGTGTGTGTGTGTGTGCTTTTGTCCCATCCTCCCCACCCCCCTCACAGGTGGGGAACGTGGTGTCATTTCAGTGCCAGCCGGGTCACTTGATTCAGGGCTCATCCTCCAGAACCTGCCAGCCTGATCTGACGTGGACCGGAGCACAACCCGAGTGCATCCGTAAGAAAACATCTTATATTCTTGTTGTCGCCCGTCCATCCTCCTGCCGCCAGACTCACGTGCACGCATTTCCTTTCCACCCGCCAGCCCACGCCTGTAAGCAGCCAGAGAGCCCGCTCCACGTGGACGTCCTGGGGATGGATCTGCCGGGTTTTGGCTACACCTTGGTGTACAGCTGTCAGCAAGGCTTCTTCCTGGCGGGCGGCTCTGAACACAGAGTCTGCAAGAACGACGGCACCTGGACAGGAAAGATGCCTATATGTCGAGGTGAGAAAACAAAAAAAAGCTTGTTGTGCATTTGATGGAAGTAAAAGGAGTGAATATGTAGGAGTGTTGTGTGAGTCTTGCTCAAGGACTATTTGTCAGCGGGCATACTGGGGTAAAATGGCCATCTGGTGTGCGGTTAGATTTCCTGGTGGGCTGGTCGCAGTCTGGCAGCCCTGAAAAAGACAACAACAAAAATAAAAGCAATATCCCGTGGTGTTTTATCCTTTGGTAGGTAAGGTTATGAATTTCTCACATCTCCTGAGACAGCAATGATGGACGGAGTGTGTTCAGTTTTAACTGTGACCTTTCTAGCATATAACTATTGGGGTATTTCGTGTGATCGTGGCATTGCTGAAATATGTGCCCAGTATAATCATCCCAGGAAGAAAATCCTTTTTCTAAATCGTTAAATGTGCCCTTTGCGTGTACGTATAATGCGTTGATCTCTGTGTCCGGCAGTCTAGTCTCGGCCAAGTACCAGTTTGTACCAGTCCAGTAGTGGCTTCTTCTAACGTATATATCACACAGTATATCAGCAGAATTGGTTTATTGCCAAGTACGTGAGGATATAGAAGTTATTTGGGCTTGGAAAGATTGAATTGCACATGAGAAAAGGACGAGCCCTGTGTCTTATCAAGTGTTGTTAGCAGGGGAAGTTGTGGACCCACCTGAGTGTGAGGAAAAACTGCCTCAACTTTGAAACTGTTTCACCAAGGCCGTCACCTTTTTGCCCCGAGTTAGCCTCTAAAATGGGAGCACTCTCTGATCCAATTTGAGATTCTAGGACAAGTACCCGCTCGCTTTGCTCGCGTCTGCTTGTTCGCACCAAAGGCTGCATCTTCAAGTGATTTTTTGAAGTTTCCCCGAATGGCCGAAACCCAAAGTGTCTTGTGGCCACTTTTAAAAGCATCCAATATGCCCGAAAATGATTGCTCGTGAACTCCATTTGCATTGCCTGCAAATAGGCCGTAATAGGGTCTTATTTTGGATGACCCTTTTCAACGCGTTTGTCATCATGCCCATGTGTGACTATTAGTGACCCAACCCTCTCATTCTCACGTTATGCACACTCACCCCTGCGTAGACCGAGCGCAACCAGATACGAACAACATGAACATTTTAATTCCTTCTCAGTCTTTGTTCCCACAGCTCTGGTCGTGTTTTAATGAGACATAATATTTCACTCTCTGTCTCTGCGTGTGTTTAGCTGGCGAGAAGAAAAAAACGACGAAACCAGCAACAGGAACTCCCAGCCCCAAACTAAACGGTCAGTCTCAGCCTTTTCTATTGCAGGCCGGTTCAGTCCCGCCATCCGTTGTCTCGTCTACACTCTATTTATATATTCTGTTTCGGTACGGTTTAGTCTACTATAGCTTCGTAGCTTCTGCTCGGCTCATGTCCAATCCGCTCTGTTGTGTTTCACAGTGTTTTTCTTCTGGTTGTATATATTTCATTACACTTTCCACCTTAGTTTTGAACAAATTTTTTTTTCCTCACTACCCAAAGAAAGTTAAATGAACACTGGTGAAATCTGCCCTCCGCGCTCCCGTTTTGTTCACTTCCCTATTGACTCCTTTGTGATCTGTCCTATTCTGTAAATTAATTAAATCTCTTTGCTTCACAAGAAATAGTTTCCATAGCTACTGTATGCACAGCATCCTGCAATTATCAAAACAGCGAGCATCCTTTTGAATCAAATGAATGGTAATTATTCTTGTGTGAACCAAAGGTGCAACCTGAACTTTTCAATATTACATATATACAGTATGTAATGCGAGTGAGGAACACAAGGAAAGTACAAATGTAATCCTATTGGTATTTTTCTGTAAACCCAAACAAGAAAAACAAGCAGTCAGGCATTTGCTCATGCATGTTATCATTGTGTCTTATTGAAGACTATTGATCAATCAATATCTTTTGTCTTTTCTGTTCTATTATATTTGGATTTGCTCTGTTGCCTTATGTTCTGTTCTATTCTAATTCGTGCCACTTTCTTTGTTCTTTTGCATTCAATAGTTCCAGATGATGTCTTTGCGCCTAACTACATATGGAAAGGTTCCTATAATTACCGTGGGAGGAAGCAGCCTATGACATTGGGCATCACCAGCTTCAACTCCACAACGGGGAGAGTCAACGTCTCCCTTAGCAACGGCAACATGGAGCTGCTGCTATCAGGCATGTTTGAATACGCCCCAGTACGGCACATGTGACTGTACATGACAGGAGTTTTACTCTACTGTATGTGATGACCATGCTTCAGGACATTTTCATGTATAATCCATTGGTGATATTCTGTATAATATGGAACTCCTATCGGTTACACATTTACTGAGAGTCTATGAATCATTTCTTAAAGAGTGTGCAGTGCATCACTTTCCTAAAACTACAAAGCTTCTGTTCAATGTTGCAACTGCACCCCCAAACTCACGCAGACCTCTCAGGGTCCAACAACGACGTCAGCAGGGGGTAAAGACCCTATTGAAACACAAATCCTTCCTCAAGCTAGAACTGGTTCCTGGAGGAAGCAGAGAGAACAAACTCCTTATCACAAAACCCAAACTCAAAATGCTTAAATGAGCAGCTTGGCTATGGATCGATACCCCTCGATACTGTGCTCACCCAGAGACCAGAAGGCCCGGGCCCAGTTGCATCGACCTTGAATGCTTTTGCGCTTAAGATTTGCTTTTCTAAGAGGTCAAGTTTACCTTAACTTAGCACTGTGGAGGAGGAGTTTGGGGAAATCCACGTGTTTGCTTTATTTCTGAGAGAAAAACGAGAAGAATAAATCATCTTAACTGAGCATAGAGACGGGACGCAGAGGCAAGTGGATAGCTGGCTACACCCAGAAATGTTTTTCTAGTTCATGTCTAGCAACATGATTTCTTTTTTAATTGGACAAAATACTGCATATACATATTTCAATCTTACAATCTGTAATAAGCCAGCCATTGTTCTGTGTACTCAACCTCTTCCGCTGTTGTGTTGTGAACCGCTTGTTACTGCTGCCCTCTGTAGGTGTGTATAAGGCTTCCGAGGCCAGGCTGTCACTGCTGATGTACCAGGTGAACTATGCGAACCAGGGAAACCAGCTGAAGGATTCAGCCATCTCTCCAGCCAAAATCATAGAGGACTCCTGGACCATGGATGGATTTGTAAGTCGTGGATAAAAAGCAGTGAACTTATTTAAATTCTGCAAAACTCATTTACAGGGGCTCAAACTAAATGTGACAGGCTTCATTTTGTTGGTTATCAAAATTTGGTGACTTACATCAAAGACATTTTACTGCAGTATTGTAATTTGAATGGACACATGCTGGTCACTCAGAGTAGGAATGCTCACTGCTTATTACTTGGCATGAGGTTCTAGCAAAGTAAATTTTGTTCTGAAATATTTAAAAACTATTTGAATACAAATTCTGAAATATGTGTTGAATTTGTGCTTTTCGTGGTGTTGACACAAACAGGAAGTATAAGCTGCCTTTGTAATGTCCTGTGAATGTGTCCCATGTTCTCATGTCTCCAGGTGTCAGCAGAGCCTGATGGTTCAAGTTACGTGTTCCAGGGTTTCATTCAGGGAAAAGACTACGGGCAGTTTGGACTTCAAAGACTTGGTAACTCTCTCTTAGGTTAAGTAAAGCATCACAAAAGGTCGATTTGGACCAAAAATGATATTTGGAAAAATCTGATGAACTTGTGGAGGAAGTGATGAGGGAGCTTCTCTTTGCTGGCAACTCAGCCCTGCACTGGACTCATTCTCACCAAATGCAAAAAGCTGTCATGTCACAAGGACTGAACTCCATTAACCTCCATCCAAAGACAACGTCCACCTCCATCAAATAGACTTGAAAAAAGTCCTTCACTTTAAGTTTCCAGTATCTGTGTGAGGCCATACATATATTTGTAAAAACAACAAATGTAATACCATCTGAGCACTAAACATCCTACAAGTGTACAATTAAAACTTAAAAAAAATAATGAATTATTTAATCATCCAGCATCCACTGTTGACAAAATGTCCCTTATGTCTGCGGTGAGAAATCAGTTCGCAGCCTCCCTGCCACAGACGTTGTACATACTGTGCAGTAGTACTAGTACTACAACTATTGGAGGAATACTGGATTTCACTTGACAACTGTTTCAATTACGTTACTAAAGCATCACTTTTATCGTGTCGTCCAGTGTAATCAGGTGGATAAGGACAATGCATTTTCTTGTTCTTCTTGTCACAGGTCTGAATATGTCGGAGAGTCAGAACTCGCCCCCCCCTCAGCTTGGTACCAACAGCAGTTCTGTGGCCATCGCTATTCTGGTGCCTTTCTTTGCTCTCATATTCACTGGCTTTGGCTTCTATCTCTACAAACAAAGGTATCTGCTGCAAGGGTGCTTCTTCATTAAGTGTTTTTCTTTGAAATTCCAGCGGCAGAAAATTATGTTCTTGTCACGGCGTTATTACATCACCTCTGTTGAGGCATGGTTAACATGTTTTTTTTTGCATTTTTGGTTGTGGAGGTGCACAGAGACAGTCGAGCAATTGTCTGTTGCAAACCGCAGTGCGAAACGATGATGTTTAGCAGGTGTTAAATTGGATTTTTAAGAGATATGATTGAAGCAGAATTTGCTGGTGTTAGCATTGTCAACAGATGCCAATAACATGTTCTGCTGTTAATATCTCAAGGAAAAGCTTGCTGAGGGAATTAGTTTTGGATGGGCTGATTGGAATCTCCCCACGCTTCCTAAGAAGCACAACACAAAGCGTGTTCTCTGTGCCTCTTCCCCAATGGCTGCGTTCACTTGGCCACTGGCTTACCCAGTATGTGAACTTTAGCCGGAAATTAGAACTATTTCATCACACTAATCTTATTTTTTTTGTCCACAGAACCACACCAAAAACACAATACACGGGCTGCTCGGTCCACGAAAACAACAACGGGCAGGCTGCCTTTGAGAACCCCATGTACAACACCAACGCCAAGGCCGTGGAGGGGAAGGCTGTTCGATTCGATCCGAATCTGAATACCGTCTGCACCATGGTCTGAGGGTCGATTATCTTCTTCCGAACTTAATGACCTGGACATCTAATGGGACCACAATTGATGTGAGACTGTGCAGGGGGGAGAGCCGTGTGCTTCCGCGCAGACCGGAACAGCGTCAGCAACACGGCGTCTACATTGAGTCCAAAATACCTTCAGTCCCAGTTCAGAAACCGAAGCTCCCCGAGCAGAGGATGCGCTCTCCACTTTAAACCAAAAGGCAGCGTTTGCTCCTTTCTTTTACAGGGTTTGGTATCCACGGATGAGATCGAAAACACACGTGACCACCAAATGAAAGGCCTGCTGCCTTCGATGGATGCAGCGCGGCCAGTGTGAGATGCGCCATCAAGTGACCTAAATGGATGCAACCCAACGGAAAAACGAAACCTTCTTACTGCGTCTATATAGCCCCAAGACTCGGCTCTTCATGGATAGTTTATCATTCGATTCTGCATCCGACAAAGCCATTTCAATTCAACCTCTTATTTAACCCCCTTCAGTCTCTGGAAAACCAGAAGTAATGATGAAGCCATGACCTGCTCGTCGGTTATCGTGATATGTCACCGTGTTTCCTTTTTAGACACAGCTCCGGAGAGAAGGACCCGCTCTCAGCTCCGCGACGGAGAGAGAGAGCTCGTCATCAGCACTGGCCGTTGTCGTACGTCATGGGGATAAACTGGGTTGATTTAATTTGTACCAACTTTTCTCTTCATCTGTACCGAAAAACTCACAGGAACAAAGAAGTAAAATAGCTACAGTTTGGGGGGAAATTGACACACAAAAAAAACCCAGTTTCTAAACATGTGGGTTCAAAATTGACGGTGGAAGACGCCGTCGCCAGCCGAGCATCAGTTAACCGCACCGACTGGGTGTGAACAGGAGCCTCTGAATCCCGACACCCGAGCAAACAAACAAGGACAACCTCCTGTCTCCGGGGCAACCAGAGGCTCGTTTTACCGGCCTCTCGTATTTTTCCTTGAAAGCGGACTCCACGACGGCTAATGCTAGCAGACAGTAGCAAGACTCGCTTTGGAAAAGAGACCAGCTCCTAAGCAGAGGATAAAGGGCAGCGCGGGCGACGGAGCTGTAATCCTAACTGAACTGGGATTAGAGCAAAGCAAAACTAAATGGAATGGAAGGGCGAGATAGCACTAATGGAACGGATGAGAAGAGACTGCCTCATGTAATGGCTGAACTGCTCCTTCATATCCAATGGATAAGAGAAGGGGACACAGGAGACAGAGACGACCCCTGACTGAACTGGAGGAAGAGTAAAGGAGTCGTCGAGAGAGAAGACGAGATCTTAGAATGCCAACGCAGCCAATCGGAGCCCGTCTGGTCTGGAATCAACCGAGAGAGGTCAACCTTCCCTCTGCATAATGAATCAGATAAAACGGAATACGGCCTCGAGGAAAGATGAACCCGATCCCGTGAATTCAAATGGATTCTGATGAGAAAGCCGCTGAACGGAAACAGAGGACTCCGATGGACTAACAAAGAAAAAAAGCTCTCGCACTAAAGCACATTTTACAGGAACACTACCTGTCTACCCACTGAGAGACAGACTAACGGGGGGGACGGATAGAAAGGTTAGAGGGAAACTGGCAGAGCGGATGACAGGTACACACACTAACAAAAGTCTGTAAAGACAGAAAGACCCACAGACACAGAAGGAGGTTGACACGTTTCAAGACAAGCGGGGCCTTGAGGCTGTTGCATTGTCCGTCGCTCCGGATTAACAGGTTGTTAGACGGTCGGGCCGAGCGTCGGGAGGAACGGACAGACGGACGGACACTGACAGGCTCAAAGAAAAGGCAAACAGGGTTTTAGCCCTGCAGCTGTGGACGCAGCTCCACTGTTAATCCTGCACTCTGCGAGTGCTTCTCTCCTTTCTTTGTTATTGCTGCAGAATCTTCTGATCTGTAAATCTACTGCATATATATTCGGGAGCATTCACCACCTATATTTTTGTGCTATATATTTACCACAGGGGGAGGCGGCTGGAGGAGAAAGATTATAGCAGAGAGTTTGTTTGTTTTTTAGCAAAAACTAAAAAAAAAGAAATATCACAATAAAAGATTATCCAACCATGTGCTGTCAAACACATTCTCCTTTCTGACATGGAATTGGTTTATTTTAATACCTTCTGTAACGTGGAGTTCCTCTCACTATCACTGTATTTCCCTTTGAGTGTCGGTGGTATTATTGTTGTCATTATTGTTGAGATGCAACGTTTGCCGGCGACAATTGTGCCCTTTAGAGTTGACGTGTCATCAGATGCAGTGCAGCGGCCGTTGGTTTTGCCCCCCGTCACTAGAACTGTTGTCTTCTGTACATTTCCTCCACAGTTGTCCCCCATTGTGACACAGACACCATTTGTTGATCTGCTGGAATAACAGTTTTCCAGCTGTCGATATGATTCCACAGATTTGGGGCATCGAAGCAAATTCGGTGTTGTCAGGGCAACAAATGAAGCTCTTGAGGCCCCAATGCAATTCAACTTATTGATTACACGTGTCCGATCTGCTTCATGACCAGAGTCAACTGGACTTCTCAGAAGGCCACGTCAACCCATAATATAAAAAAAAAAATATTATTTATAAAAGCGGTGATGGCTGGTTAACTGCCCAACATGTAGTTTGTGGACGATGTATGTACAATATGTTTCGACTCATGTAGAAAATGTGTGTATCAGTTTCATGTTTGTATTTTTTTATCCCACATTTTGGGGTGTTTCCAATGCGTTAGTTGGTGAACTAAAATGACTATTTAGTTTCTTTTGCAAAATATGTTTACAAAACCTCTGGAAATCACCTGAGTCTTGGTTGAAGAGTTTGCGTGTTAAAGATATCACAAAGATGAATACTGAGATGTCTGAGGTCCAAATTAATTTTGTTTTAGCGGTTCGCTGATGAGACTTAATGTGCCCTTGTTACAAAATCCACACTCATTATTAGTTGGCGCATGTTATTTTCAAGCCTTTGACTTTAGTTGTTTGAAAAAAGTTTATAATACACTTCGCCATGTCTGAGAATTGCGCAGTAGATTTTTCACAGTGTTTTGCTTGTGTACAAAAGCTAGAAGGCCTTCAATGCCATTTATTTCAGAAACACTGAAGCAGCGGACCGTCCGTTCGACAGTTGAGTAAATCCACACACATAACCGCGGCTGTTGACATTCAATACTTCCCCTTGCTTGGGCTTATTTTTATTTCATGAAAATAGAGCCTTATAATCTTCGCTCAGTGTTGCTTGGCTAGTAGTTATTCTGTTTACGCATCTGAATCACCGCTTCACTGTATGTAGCGGCTGTGAGCCGCTGGAGGCCGCTATTGCACATGTTGCCGTTGGTGCACCACTGCCGAGCGAAAAGCGGACGCTTGATTTTGGGTGAAATCGTGCATGAGACCCACATGGTGATGTCAGAGCTTGGCCTGAACGTGTACCATGAGTTTCAATGTTACCGCTTTGAAGCCCATTTCAGGAGACAGAGAAGACTTGCTGTAAACAGCCTGGTTTAAAATGAATTAGTTGAGTTTGGGCCCCACATGTAAACAAAGCCAGTTATTTTTAATGAGTTTGGGTGTCAGAACTTCTACTTTTCTTTTAGAACCCCTGCTGTCGTGAACACAGGCTGACAGAAAACTCTGTTTTTGGATCAATCCTGATTTAAAAGCAGTGGTAGCTGAGGCGTCCTTGTTCATCACGACTGCAACTGTCCTGTAACTCATCGCTATGGTGACACTGTTTTTACAGTTTAGGTTAATTGTTGCTGCTGTTATTGTCATTGTTGCTGTTTTTTTTTTTTCTTTTTCGGTATGGATCTGACACAGTGCCTACCAAAAACCATTGGACCCTCCCCATCACCTACACACACACACACACACACACACACACACACATGCACGGTCTTTCAAACACATACACGCTCATACGCACACACCTGCTCAAGCGCTCTCCTTCATCAGAAGAAGTCATTTTTTTCTAAGCTTCAGTCTATTTTGCCACAAGCTTTTCCTACTGACTGACCGCAATAAGACCCATGTGATTTAAAAGACTCAAAGCTGTTCCTGCCCGGGGACATTGGAAATATTCACCATTTGAAGAAAAAAAAAAAAAGACGAAATATAGAATAAAAAAGTGTTTTGTATAGAAATATATTTTTATGATGAAAGTATTTGTAAAATGTATGAATCTATTATGTAAATTTTCAATGCAATGTAAGATTAAAAAAGGCTAATTGCTTTTGTAAAAAACTGTCTTTACTCTCTTTTTACTTCTGATATTTTACGATGCAAACAGACATGATGTCACCAATCTAACTAATATATATCTATGAAATACTATGATTTATGAAATATAAATTTAGGGAGTTCATCTCAAGGCGAGATAGCTGCACTTGAGATTATATATATATATATATATATATATATATATATATATATATATATATATATATATACACCAACAGAAGTAGGTGGTAGAATCTATTTTTTGTCAAGCATTCATAGTGCGAATCTTTCTATACAACTTTGTATATTCATTGAAATAATGACATTAAAGTGGTAATACTAAATCAAACAGGGCAGCTTAACAACTACTTGAACTAAACATGAGCCCTGAATGTTTAGTTCAAGCAGCCAATACCGGCCGGCCCTCCAGTCATTAGCAGCAGGCTCCAGTCCAACCGGATATGAACAACAAGTAGAGCCTCTCATTTGGCTTCTTGATCACGTGATTTGATCGACGTTTCAAGAGGAACTATTTCATTTAGTTCTTCTGTTTAGCTCCTTTATGCCAGAAAACAGGAAACACGAGAGCAGATGTTATTTCCGGCCGCCATCGTCGTCGCCTTGTAAACCTGGGCCTGGAGGCAGGGGGCGCTCGTGCGCTCTGTCCCCCCCATCATGAGAACCCGCAGCCGCCGCCAAAGTGAGTTCGGACTGCAACCAAGAACAAGCAGGACATCATCCAGGTGTGCGCACCGCGTTCTCAACTGGACCCGCATTCCAAATGGTAGGAGCCATTTTTTTCCTGCTGTCGTTCGCACAAAGTTGCGCAAACCTGTTGGTGCCAAATGCCGCGCGCGCGGCTCCACGTGCGCGCTGTGCCAGCTGTCACGCGCATGCTTGTTTTCGGAGCAGTGGACCCGGTTGTGTTTATTTGAGTGTTGGCCGCGGTTTGCGGTGCTGTTTGTGACGTGGTGTCTCGGTTTGTTTTAGGTGATAATTAGCCCCGGTCGATCGTGGCCTCGTGAATGAACAGGTGTGCGTGATTAGTAAGCAGGTGTTGGGACGGATATTCCAGAGAGGAAGGAGGATACTGTAAAGTAAACTATCCAAGCGCGTTTCTAATGTTTACCACATGGAGCTTTTACTCAGATAATCGCATTGCACTCATATCATCAATCGTTTTGTTTGAGCTACATTTAAACAAACGATGGTTTGTCTCTATCTTTACGCGTCAGGCGGCGAGTTGCTAAGTCATCTTGGCTGCCACGGATTTTTCTCATTTTTTTGGGGTGTTGTCATTAGTCTATTATTTTTACAATATTAATAAGGGTATTAGTATTTGACGGTGAATCAGTTGTTGAAATGCAGGATGAGCTTTTGGCCTCACATGTTTATTTACAGCACATGTCCACTAGATGGTGTCAGGTGACCTCCATAGCTCTTGCAGGATGCATGTATTTAAAAAAAAAAAAAGCAATCCAAGCAGCGGGAATTCTTGCTGATATACAAAACATGAGCTTAAATTTAAAAATGTTTGACGGTGTTTATTTTGATGGATTAGTTTTCAATAATTAATTGATGGTGTGGCTCGGATGTTGATCAAAACGTCTTCTCTCAAACCAACTGGGACAATCTGTCTTATTTTCTGTTATCTGCTTCACTTGTGAGTGAATTCGTTTTTCAAGTTCAAGTTCAATTATATTTATATAGCACGTTTAAAAAACAACTCGGTTGACCAAAGTGCTTAACAAGCTCGAAAAGCAGCGATACAATAAAACACAGACAGAGCACAATACAAAATATATGACAGTAGAGAAAGAATAAAGTCAAAATATCAAAGCTCAACTTGAATTAAAAGCCAATGAATAATAGTGGGTCTTAAGCAGGGACTTGAACGTTGCAATGGTCCGAGCTGTTCTTACATGGATAGGTAAACTATTCCAGAGGTTTGGAGCAGCCACTGAAAAGGCTCGGTCACCTCTGGTTTTTAACCTGGATCCAGGCACATCGAGGAGCATCTGATTAGACGACCTCAGTGCTTTGATAGGTGTGTGGACATGTAAGAGGTCCGACAAGTAGGAAGGCGATGTAAGCTATTGCCCTGCATTTCCTTTGGCCTTATTGCACTGTATTTATTCTGAGGATTGAGGCCTGTGAAGCTGCATACTCACAAAAACATAGGATACTCACATGTAATATGTATACTCATATGTAATACTCTGGTTACATAAATGTGCTACATGCAGCACTTGTATCATTTGTGTATATTCTAAACATTCTGGCATTTAAATCCTATCAATTTAAATCAAATATGCATAAGTCAGTCGGTGCTAGATTTAAATCGGTGCTCACTTTGCTGAGCACATTTTAGAATTCTTTATTTCATTTTTTCTTTTGGTTGTACCATAATCAAGGCTCTCCGCTAATACCCAAAATGTATTTTATTGTATCGGCCTTGTGAAATCACTAGATGGCGCCAGCGAACCTTGGAAATGCTTCGACCTTGTTGGTCCCAGCTGCTCTAAAATGTAGGTGTTGTAAATATGTAATGTGCCTAAATGAGAGTTGACTTAAAGCAGGCGGAGTGGTCAAACAAACGATAACATTAAGACTTCAGTATTATGGAATATTTATAAAAAACAAAAAAAAAGCTTGCAATGGATTAGCCAGAAAATGTGAGGTTTTATGAATCTTAAGAGAATGTGAATAACTTACTGAATGTAAGTTATACATACTAAAGAAGAGGGGCATAATCTGTGAAATATGTTTTCTGTTACTTTTTTCAGCAAAGGTTTTTTAATTCAAAGAGACCCTTAAAAAAGGTAAAATATCTAATCTTTTGTTAAATTTGATCCTAAATACAGAATCCTAATTGTTTCTGCAGAATAGACAACCAGCTAAACTATTTGTGCACCAATATAGCAATCTGTGGTATGTTTAGTGCTTTTGCATTGGTTTTGTATTTGCCATACAGAATGTGGTCAGTAGATGGAGCTTGATGACCTCTGGTACCCGACTAGCTGTTTATTACTGGAGTAGAAGGCATAAAACGACTCATCGGTGTCGATGAACTTTCCCGCATGCACTTTAGTTTTCTCACTCGGAGGCAATGATGAGAGAAAGGAGAACAACAATGACTCAAATTCTGACTCGTTTCATTCAAATTGCTCCTAATATTTCCAGAATTCTTAATCAGTTTGGTAAGTCTGCGCCTGTAACCGATAATCTTTTTTTAAAAGCTTTTTATTTTCTCACTGCAGCGACAAAGAACATTGAGTCCGCTGTGTGTTCTAGTCAAACTGGGACAAGCTGAGGCTGCAGGGTCCATGCAGAGATAATGATGCAGAGAAGCTCCTCGCAAAGCCCCTGTGTGGCCATGTGACTGTAGAGGAGAGCGTATCGACAGGGTAATTGCATCAAAGACAAAGCCGGGGACCATCATTTGCCCCCACTGCTACAGCAATGAAGAGAAAAGGTGGTTTACGGTTCAGGTTAACAAATTAAAATGGTGTGGATGATATTCTGTTGAGGATATGGCTGTTTTTTTTTTTTTAACCTTTTTATAGAAACAAAAAATTGGTTGTAACCAGAGGGAGGAAGTAAATGCATTTTTTAACAGTAGACAAATTAAAAATTACATTTTAATAATTTATATAGGATGCATCTCTGGGGTATTCTCTCCTTCACTCCCTCTCACAGTTCCTCTGTGTGTGCATAACATCTAAGACATGCATTCAAACACAAGAAATAGGAAAGTAAATCATGTGTTCCAGTCACCGCTTGCATTGTCTCTGATATCTCCTTGTCATCACTGAGAGAGTCTGTGCTTTCTTTGCCTCCTGTAGTTTCTCTCGGAGTATCCTGCAATCTCAGCTTTCCTCTTTGTGCATCTTTCTCTCCGAGACAGTGAACCGCTTCAGCTGTACCAGAATAAATACACACACACATTCATACCGCAAACAAATCAGTCTGAGTTGCTGCTTTGAACGAATAAGGTCAACCAGTGATCCTAATTATTTAGTAAAGAATAAGGTACGGGTTGTGATTTAATTTATTTTTAAATGAAACTGACCACTACGTCTCCAGATGGCTTTGAATGTCCAATAGTCACGCCGGTGTAGATCATCGCGTTCCCGTCATTTGTACACGGTAGATTCTTCCCAAAGCTATTTTATCCTCTCGTTTGAAACCGGAGCTTTCAGAACTGTTTCTTCCGATCACCCAGCTTCCCGTAGTCTTCCTCCTGTGACGGAGAGCTTTCCCAGCTTTCTCCAATCAATCTGGGATTAGGCTTTATTACATGGATATCCCTCTGAGACGGTTTATTTCAATGAATCAGTCGAGTGAATGAACAGAAGTGCAACAGAACGGTATTTTGTACCAGCCACATAAATTATGCATAGTCTTTGGATATCAACCAGCCTTGATCATCTTTTTTATGCTTTGAATTCCGAGTAAGAGAAGTTGTTAATTGCCAGCCGTGTCACATGTAATCTTGGCTGCGTTTGATGCACTATAAGGCTTCCGTCTATATGTTGGTTATTTATTTATGTGGTGATGGAGATGCTGTGCGGGATGAAAGGAAGACCGAGATGAAATGTCAGTGTGGTGATTTACAACGCATGTTTTTTGCTAAAATAACGACAAGCTGAACAATAAGAATTCAGTGATTACACAGGAACTTAGGAATATGTGTATTTTGTCTCATTTTAATACATTATCTCTCTACTGGTTCATTCTCTTGCTAAGCCACATGTTCACAGCTCACCTCATGTTTCCGTGGTGTAAATTAAGAAATAATTCCGCAGCATAAAGAAACGGCGTCTTTCAATCTTAAACCGTCTCCGTGTAGCTTTTGAGGTTCCTCATGAGTCATAGCAGTGTTTCATGTAAG